ATTGTAAGTGCAACCAAATCACTCAGCAGACAGGTGGCTGAAAAATTCTATTGTGAGTGGAACCAAATCGCTGAGCAAGACTGATGGCTGAAACATTCTATTGTGAATGCTACCAAATCGCTCTGCAGCCTGATGGCTGAAACATTCTATTGTGAGTGCAACCAAATCACTCAGCAGACTGACGGCTGAAACATTCTATTGTGAGTGCAACCAAATCGCTGAGGAAGACTGATGGCTGAAACATTCTATTGTGAATGCTACCAAATCGCTCTGCAGCCTTATGGCTGAAACATTCTATTGTAAGTGCTACCAAATCACTCAGCAGACTGACGGCTGAAACATTCTATTGTGAGTGCAACCAAATCACTCAGCAGACAGGTGGCTGAAACATTCTATTGTGAGTGGAACCAAATCGCTGAGCAAGACTGATAGCTGAAACATTCTATTGTGAGTGGAACCAAATCACTGAGCAAGACTGATGGCTGAAATACTCTATTGTGAGTGCAACCAAATCGCTCTGCAGACTGATGGCTTATACCATACACAACACTAGTTCCGTTGAATGCATCTCAATGTTAATGATTAAAAACAATAAACATGCTGATAAGTTTTGTACATCAACATGCTTTTGAGGACTGCAAACACTTCAATTAGGCCTACATGATGACACAGAATGTACATCAAGCCGTGCTGTTTTGAAGCATTACAGCATGCCATTTGAAGCATTACAGCATGCCATGCATTGGTTACATAATACATGGACTCAAGAAATGACAAATGATAAGGCTATCAATAAAATATGCGTAATGACCCACAGTTGCCTCGTTTACCGCTTGTCTATACCACGCTATGGCTTACAGATCATTGTGACCCTGACTGTATGATCTGGTTATAACCTACCAGTTGTCTCACTGCAGTCTCGTGTATCCTTTTTCGTAAATTTCGTGATGCTTTCACGGCGTATACTCCCCTCTCCCCTTGGTCCTTAAATTCCCCTTGTTTAGAACTTCCTGCCATCGTTTACATATAGAAGTAGGTAGGTGGCACAACATTCCACCTGAAGAAAGAATGTGTAACCTCTGCGACACGTGTGATGTTGGCGATGAATTTCATTTAATTTTTCTCTGCCCTTTATTGAAACATAATCGGAAAAGTTATATCCCAAACCAGTATGTTAAAAATCCCAATATTTTAAAATGTAACTACTTGTTGAACAGTAAACACATAAGTGTTGTTAAAAACTATGTATATTCTGTAATACCATGATGAATACTGTAGAATCTTCCATGTAAACCGGGGCGGTGGGGTAGCCTAGTGGTTAAAGCGTTGGCTCGTCACGCCGAAGACCCGGGTTCGAATCCCCACAAGGGTACCATGTGTGAAGCCCATTTCTGGTGTCCCCCGCCGTGATGTTGCTGGAATATTGCTAAAAGCGGCGTAAAACCAAACTCAGTCAGTCCATGTACACCATGCGCCATCACATGTATTCCCAACTGTATACTTGTACCTGTTATGCCGAGAATCCCGGCCTGAGGGTAATAAAAGTTCTGTCCAGGGGCTCCTTTTACACAGCAACCTTTACTACGGTTAACCTTAACTCACATTCTTTAATAATAATATAATAATATAGATCATTTGTAATGCGCTTGACTCCACAACACTTGGCCATGCTCTAAGCGCAAACACAAGACAGTCAATAGCGAAGAAAAAGAAATGTCTTTAGATGAGATTTAAAACTTGAGAGAGTTGGAGCAGATTTAATGTCTGTAGGGAGAGAGTTCCACAAGAAAGCAGCTGAATATTTGAAGGATCTATGTCCGAAAGTTTTGAGTTTATATGGAGGCACACCAAGAAGTGTTTGATCGGCAGATCTGAGATTCCTCGGTGGGACGTAGGGTGAGACAAGGGCTTGGAGATAAAGTGGAGCAGTTCCATTTAGTGCTTGATAAGTTAGAGTTAAAATCTTAAACTCTATTCTTTCTCTGATTCTCGACCAGTGGAGGGACTTCAATGCAGGCTTCAATTCTTTAACATTGCACTAAGGTTACCTTAGTGACTTACGATCACCTTAGCGCTGTGTGAAAGGAGGCCGGCCTGTTCTGTTCTGTTCTGTACAGTTACAAGCGGCATCCAACACACACTCATGATATAGTCAGAATTGTACACTCGACTCAGTAGATATTTCTTATGGATGTTGAAAGGGTTTTGTCCTTTCTATCTTTATGACTTTGCACCCTCTATTCTTGATAAATTATTCATTAAGATGATTATATGAATATAATATAATTAATATACATGATATAAATGATATTAAAATTAACAGGTTGAGGAAACCTCACATCGATTGAACCATAGAACAATTAACAAATTAGTTATGTACGTTACATTCATTGAGGGATATCACACACACAGAAAAAATTTAGTTAATTGAGTAATTGGGTTCTTGATCACTTCAAGTTCCTTAAATTTGTCCATTTTCCAAAGGTCACAGTCACAGTGCTTATGTCACCTGGCTTGATGTGTAGAGTTTTACATGAACAGATCGACTGACGCCCTGCTCAGAGCATGGTTTGAAGAAACAATAAGTGCATAAAAAGATATATGGATTGTATAAAAGACCAACGGATGCATGGTGGAATGATCGATAAATTTAAGAGGTACATCGTTTGGATGAGCAGAAAAATATTCAGAACGAACGATGGTTGATTGAAGGAAGGACCGATGTATAAAAAGATCAGTGGGTTGATAAATTGATGAAAGCGCTATGGTTGTAAAGGCTGTTTGACGGTGAGGCCTCTGAAGGACTGAGTGAGCAGGGCCGTAGTTAACTTTTCTTAATAAGGGGGCCACTATCAATGCTCCGCCCCCAACACACACACACACACACACACACACACACACACACACACACACACACACACACACACACACACACACACACACACACACACACACACACACACACACACACACACACACGCACACACACGCACACGCGCGCACGCGCGCGCGCACACACACACACACACACACACGGCAGTGTTCCAGCCATATCGTGAGCCTCTGAAGGATGTATTGGTAGATGGAAGGATGATAGATGACAGTACCCATGGATAGATTGATAGTAAAACACCGATGGCTGAACGGAAGAAGTGTCGATACAAGAAGAGATCGAAGTGCAGATGGATAAAGCGATGACAATGTACATAAAAAAAGGTATAAGCAGATGGATGAACAGATGGGGTGAAGTGGTATAAGCAGATGGCTGTATAGACTGAGGTGCAGGTGGGTGAACAGGTGGAGATGTGGAGGTATGAGTAAATGGACGTGTAGACGGAGGTGCAGGTGGATGAACAGGTGGATGAACAGGTGGAGATGTGGAGGTATGAGTAGATGGAGGTGTAGATGGAGGTGCAGGTGGATGAACAGGTGGAGATGTGGTGGTATGAGTAGATGGAGGTGTAGATGTAGGTGCAGGTGGATGAACAGGTAGATGAACAGGTGGAGATGTGGAGGTATGAGTAGATGGAGGTGTAGATGGAGGTGCAGGTGGATGAACAGGTGGAGATGTGGTGGTATGAGTAGATGGAGGTGTAGATGTAGGTGCAGGTGGATGAACAGGTAGATGAACAGGTGGAGATGTGGAGGTATGAGTAGATGGAGGTGTAGATGGAGGTGCAGGTGGATGAACAGGTGGAGATGTGGTGGTATGAGTAGATGGAGGTGTAGATGTAGGTGCAGGTGGATGAACAGGTAGATGAACAGGTGGAGATGTGGAGGTATGAGTAGATGGAGGTGTAGACGGAGGTGCAGGTGGATGAACAGGTGGATGAACAGGTGGAGATGTGGAGGTATGAGTAGATGGACGTATAGATGGAGGTGCAGGTGGATGAACAGATGGAACTGGAGAGGTATGACGAAATATTGACGTATGAAAAGATATGTACAGGGGGGTGGGGTGAGGATGGAAATGCATTTATGAACTTTTGCATTGAAACAGCGATGAGTGTGTGTACAAATAGGTGGATGACTGATGTACAGCTGGAAGTAACAACTGATGGTTAGAATGGCTGGCACAGATGGAGGCATGATCAGAGAGTCAGATGTCCACACACAGTATCAAGAGGAAAGCAGTTAGTGTTGTTACCAAGCAATGACAGCCTTCCCTTTTGTTTCTCACTGATTCCTGGCTTACCGTATCATTCAGTGAAGACCATGTGTTTAGAATGGAAAAGTGTTCAGGATCTTATGAAAACGGTATGCTTTGACTATAATTACAGATGTCTTGCCTTCAATACTTTAATTCTCTATTTTCATTCCTTCAACAGAAGGTGCATAACAACGGTAATTATGTTGCCTAGTAACCAGGTTGGTATTGACGTCAAGAATAGTGTGAATTACGTCAGGGACATATCGTTGCCTAGCATCCTCTACAGTCCTTAGCAACACAGCAAATTATTCAAATCCAGTGTCTACTCAGTTAGGGTGTAATGAGTGTTAAATGTCCACTACCGGGGCTCAGTAAAGAAATGCAGGGACGTTCGTCAACATACATCTTTACCGCCAAAGAAATCTATTAGAAAGTAATGAGCTTTCAGTGAAATATTCTACATTTCCGCATTCCCACTTAACAGAACATGTACAATGTCATTTATGCAATTCTAATCCAATGTGTCGTAATTTTCATCAAAATAGCCCACGAGAATAACAACATTCACACATATTGTCCATGTTCTATGTGTTTCTGCAGAAAACGATGACCTTATTGACTTGTGATAAACAGCAGCTCATTTGCAATCGATGACAATTAAATTGTGGGAAACATAACGAATGGAAGGCAAGTCAAACTGATGCCGTTATGAAAAGCTGGTTCAATATTTAGACACGGTGCTGAAATACAAAACAGGGCCATGTTACAGATGAAATCAGCGTTATTTTAAATATAAATGTAAACTTGTCTCTGTATTTATTCACATACTAAAGTCATCATCTTTGTCCGGATGCGTCAGTTTTACATAGAACTGAAATCGGCCTTTGGCACTATATTCATTTACGTGATAGACAAGTCTCATTACTTCACAGAACCGCGAAGATACGGGATAGAATTGGTCTTCAGTAACCTGCGCTTGTCGTAAGAGGCGACTAACGGGATCGGGTGGTCAGGCTCGCTGACTTGGTTGACACATGTCATCGTATCCCAATTGCGCAGATCGATGTTTATGCTGTTGATCACTGGATTTTCTGGTCCAGACTCGATTATTTACAGACCGCCAACATATAGCCTGAATATTGCTGAGTGCGGCGTAAAACTAAACTCACTCACTCACTCACATTACCTAACAGACGAGTTATGTTTTACACAGAGACAGATTGTAAGGAAGGTGATCTTTTCTGGTGATTTACCATATTTCCTAACACTCTCCACGATACGACGATAGCTGCAGATGTCTTCATTACAAAGATATAATTCAACATTCTTCACTTCTGTTTCGATATCAGCAAGTTGTCAGTTTTCAAAAACACATACCCCTGAGCGATACAAATATCAAAATAACTTCTTTTCTAACTGCGTGCTTTCAATATCGTAAGGTGAAATCTAGAACGTTCTGCTTCTCCTGTATACTTACAGACCTCTGTTGTAAGGCAATATCACCACAGTTTTAATACGATTTGTTGTGCTATTGTCACGGTCAGATCTCCCGTTCAGATTCGACCACATACTTTGTGATAGCATTGTCCCTATCGACTCCACGATTGGGTCGCGATCTGACACGATCATCACGATCGGGGTCACCGATTTGGGACGATGTGGTACGTGCAGGTACGTTCCGATACGTTCATCACTAACCGATGCACTCTGTTGGGATAGGATACGGTTGTGGTCGCGATGTCTTTCACGATCACGATCGAGGTGATCACGATTTGAGCAACGATTGGACCCCGACGGGTATATATATACAGCCCGACTCACCATGGACTTCACTGTTTCTTGAACTTCAACAGAGTGAACACTACAACCCACAACCACGATTGATTCCGATCACCACGGTTTGGAAGCACAACAAGACGCGATATGTTGCGCTTTGTTACGATTCAATACGATCTGATGCGATCATTACGATTGACAATTAATCGTGTTGATCGTAGAACATTTTTTAACCGTCCAAAATTGTTCTACGATGAACACGATTGCCACTGACCTCAAGATCTGAGAGGATCACCACGATTAGTCCACAATTAAGACCACGATTTTAGTCGTGGCGCGAATCGTGATAGTGTGAACTTAGCATAATGAATAACATCAGCAACTAGATCATCGACGAGGTTACATATACACTGGCGTACTTGAACCCTGTGTATATATATGCTTTACTTATAACATGCATCTTTATTGTACTGGGACAATTCTTATAGGTTCATTGGCCTTATCTCGACACCCATTTTTGTCTCCTACCATGAAGAACGCGATGAATGTCCAGTTGTCTACAGGCCGACGAGTTAGTCAGGTGAAATGGATTTTAAGGTCGCAATCATGATTTTTGCCGTTATTCAGCGACGTGAATGCGCGCAGGTACCTATGTGCGCGTGTGCGTGCGCACGTATGAATGTTCCTCTCTCTCCCTCTATTATGTGTATTTCACCCAAGAATTCCATGTTTGAATGGAATGACCCATGTTGTGTCCCTTTGCTGTGCCAGGGTGCTATGATCACCGGTTCAAATCCGACATTCAAGCTGTTTATGTTTCACGTTTTCTAAGCATAGTACTCGTACTAGTGGATTTGACACACTGGCCAACATTATTAAAGCCATTCCTAGTTTATGATACGCTGCAATATAACGGAAATCAGCTTTAAAACGGAATAAAACACAACTCACACAGTGTTCATCCGAATCATCCGTATACCCATGAATAGTGAGCGAGTGAGTGAGTGAGTTCAGTTTTACTCAGCTTTTAGCAATAGTCCAGCAATATCACGGCGGGAGACACCAGAAATGGGCTTCACACATTGTACCTATGTGGATACCCATGAATAAGTCCCCTGACACGCAAATCATTTAAATCATACACAATTTTCTGCACAAATAGAAAAGAAAATACAAAACAATTTTTAATTAAGAACACTCAAATGGGATAAAACGATAATGGATGGATTGTAGTTTCTTTCGTTATAACGGAGCGTGTTTATAACGAGGTAGGTAGTAGATACGCCAGCATAGTGGTAAATCCATCAAGCGTGCTGTGGAGACATACAGCGAGGATACATTGCACTAATAACTCAGCCTCTTTGCTCATTACCGACTCCATGGAGCACCTGCGGACGGACAGGTCAGCCATGTGGCCCTGGTGGTAGCTTTCAACCGGCGGAAATCAATATACGGCTGGAACAGTGTACACACGGACTGCCTACCACGATGAGGTCGTATACCGTATGAACGAGGGTGATGTTGATGATGGGTCGGATGCTGCAGAGGCTGCAGAATGTTTCAGTCCCGGTGGTGTGTTGATAGTGGGAGGGAGCTACCGTATTCCTCCTGGCTTCCTGTTTCATCAGCTGTTCCTTAAGAACAAGAGGGACCAACGGACAAGCCGTGCTGTGCTGTGTCCGTGGTTGCTTTGGTTGGGTTGTTGTTTTACGCCGCACTCAGCAATATTCCAGCTGTATGCGGTGTAAATAATCGAGTCTGGACCAGACAATCCAGTGATCAACAGCATAAGCATCGATCTAGGTGAAATTGGGTTTAACGTCGCTCATATGACGACGTGCATGCGTGTGTATATGGATGTGCAGCTGCTCGTACTAGCCCAGACTGAAGCTGGTTTTATAGTGCTAGCTCACTGAGATACCATGCCGCAGTGAAGCATGAATACCCCACTCAGACACATTATACTGACTCCGAGCCGACCAGTCCTTGTTGTACCAATTAATGCTGAGCGCCAGGCAGGGACCAACAAGTACCATATTTTAACGTCTTTTGGTATGACGCGGTCGGGGATCGAACCCGCGACCTTCCGCTCTCCGGGCGGACGCTCTAACCACTACACCACGGAGGCGGTCAGGTGGACTTGTAGTTAGTTAGGGTACGATGACATGTGTCAACCAAGTCAGCAAACCTGACCACCCGATCCCGTCAGTCGCCTCTGACGGATGGGATGCTGAAGACCAATTCTAACCCGGATCTTCGCGGGTAGTCCACGGTTGGATTTAAAGGCAGTCTACTTATCAGATTGTCTGCAAATCATGAAAAATAGTTTTAAAAAATAGCCAACTCTTCCTTAACTACTTACCCCCAAATAAAGTATACTTTATTGTATTTGATATTGCGATAACCCTACCCGATAAGATTGGTACCGCGAAACCAAAATATGCAAATGAGATCAACGAACAGGAACTACTTTTTCCTATTTTGATTATACCATTTGGTAAAAACATTTCCAAAATGAACATTGATTAAGTATTCCGAGATCTCTACAGTGGTGTGGGGACGTGATATTTATAGGTAACGCTTGAGTAATTACGTGTGATCACGAGTTTTCTGCATCTAACGGCTCAGTGAACGTTGTACGACGCTGTCTGCAGCATCATGTTGATGTGGATGTTGTCTGTAAATACCTGATCCCGGATCAGACAGCTTGAGACAGACGACCCAAGTCGTGATGCAGTCAGACACACAACAACCCGACACATATTACCACTATTTGGTCTACAGTTTAGACGCCTGTGTGGGGAAGTAGGCGCGTGGTTTGACCTCGAATCCCCACAAAGCGCAAAGGTTGTTGGTTGGTTTTATAGTTTTAGGGCGACGTGGGCCAATAAGAGGCCTATTTGCGCCCAACACATTGACTTGATTTAATAAACAATCATAGGTAATTTCATTGCCAAAAGGAATCGTTTAGTTAAGATAAAAGAAACGACAACACTATTAATTTGGATAGATGTATACATATATCGAATAACCTCTGCTTTGTGTTACGGATTAAAAACCTTAAGTAATCACTTCCATTTCTGAAACATGAAATACTCATTCAATAAAAAAGCAGTAGGTTCAGATGACAGAGTGTTAAAATGATTTAAAACCACAGAACTAAATCTGTCTAAGCCATTCGAGAGCCTGTCTAGATTACATCATATTTTCCAGATGACGAGACAAAATCTAAAACTGCCCGTTGCACAGACCCATACATGATATTGGGGCCCAAAACTGTTTCTAATGAAAATACATCATCAACCTCAAGTACAGCACTTCTGAGATTATGTCTTATGTTGTTATGCCCAGGGCATGTAATTAGATAATGTTCGATATTTTCAGGCGTCTCCAAATTGCAATGGCCACATTTAGAAGAGACCGTCTTATCTATAATACTCCTGCAAGCATTTAGCCCACAGTGTCCAAGTCTGAGACGTGAAAGAATAACCTCATCACGCCTTTTACGACGACGAATTTTATGACCAGATTTTAGTGATGGTCTAAGTTTGTACATATGTCGGCCGGTAGTACCTGTATCCCACAACTGCTGCCAACTCCTTGTAACAGATTTCGATAAAACATTTTCATAATCTTTAGGGATTGGTTGAAATTTAAATAAATCAACTTCAGGAAACTGTAACCCGGATTTGGCCAAATTATCTGCAATCTCATTCCCATGTATTCCAACATGTGCTGGGACCCACACAATGTCGCATGCAATGTACTTCATGTTTAAAGATGTATCCAACTTTAATATCTCATGAACAATGTCATCTCTAGATCCATTTGCACCAGCTTCTATAGCTTTGATTGCTGCCATGGAATCTGTAAAGATAATTGAATCTGAACACCTTAGCGATCGATAAATTGGGTATCCAAAAAGCCCCAGCAGTACGATCATTGGATGGTTCTTTCGATGCATCAGTGTATATATGTGTGAAATTAGAATAATTTTCAGACAGAAAGTCCTGAGTTATCACTTTTATTATGTTTTGGTCCATTCTCTTATTCACGATTAAATTGAGTTCAGAATTCAATCCAGGCTTCAGCAGAAGCCACGGAGGTGTGACAGGCGGAGCAGAAGGATCAACTGGGTTACAGTTGTAAATACCATGTTGATCAGCTAATCTCTGTATATTCAAGCCAAAGGATAATTTGCCATGGGTCCAGTCTCACATGACATATTCCACACAGTCATTAACAATCTCAGTGACTGCATGGTGTTTGTTCTTGGTTTTCATTTTCAAGAAATATTTCAAAGATACCTGTTGTCTTCGAAGGTGAAGGGGTATTTCTGAACACTCAACTTGAAGTGCTGAGGTTGGAGTTGTACAATATGCACCAGTGCATATTCTCAAAGCTTTAGACTGAATTCTATCAAGCTTATTAAGATGACATTTAGCTGCCGACATATACACCTTACAACCATAGTCAAGTCTGGACAAGATAAGGGCCTTGTACAGCAATAACATAGTTGACTTATCAGCGCCCCACTTTGTTTTTGAAATACACTTTAATAGATTGATGATCTTGTTACATGTGTTATACAAATGTGTGATGTGATGAGACCATGTTAATCTTTGATCAAAATACACACCAAGAAATTTGAACACTGACACCATTTCCCGTTTATGGTGTCCAAGAGTTAAATTGATATCATGAGGGATCTTATGTCTTGTGATCATCATTGCCACTGATTTTGATTTTGAAATCTTAAACCCCCATTTTGAACACCATGTACTGACTTTACTTAAGCAGTTTTGTATAGATTCTATGACAAACTGAAAATTACCAAAGCGTCTCCAAAACTCCCAAAGGAAAAGTATGCGGAGTAATGTCCCTTTCAATGCGTAAAGACCAAGCTCCTCACGGTGCGTTCGACGAGCTCTCTATACCGTCTTCGCCACCAGTCACAGCTCCCAGTTGGTTCTGTGAGTCTGCAGTCTGATTATTACAAACAAACGTGAAGTCATCTGAGAAAACCTAAGTCAGTTGTAAATCAGTTCCCCAATTCATTTTTCAAAATTCTCTGAATGGCCATTTACACACTGGTGGGAGGCAGCGACGAAACATTGATCGCCATGAAGGTCACGCGCTGAGAAGGAGTTCGACCACAAGATCACCCAGCAGATGGAGTACCCGAACTGACAGGGTCAAGTCTAACTATAAATTAACTATACATGAACTATAACTTAATCTATATCAGCTTCTCAAACTGAAGGTCAATCGCAGCTGATGTGGAAGGTATTTCCAATATACTACAGGCCTTAGCTTTCTGATACGGCCGGCCAAACATAGATAAGGTGTAACTGTTTATACGCGGTATTGTTCATACACATGCTTGTAGTGCCTTGACCTCAGTCAGGTGGAGCTCAATCGGTGAACTTTGATTACTGTTGTATCAACCCTGGAAATCACTACGTAAACACTCTTCAGTTGATACACAAGAATAGCCTATACATGTACTTGCAATTTCATAAGGTCCTGTTTTGCTGCCGGCTGCAAGTCACGCAGTAGTGGAGTAACCGTTGTTCTCCTTGTAAGTGGTGTTGTTGGTCGTCATGGTAATCGTGCTTGTGACACTGTGATTCAGTTATCATTTTCCCGTTGTTCAAAGCCTAATGCAAAGGTGCACTGCAGTTCACTATTTTGCTGAAACAATTACCAAAATAGGGTCGACCAGGGGTTCGAACCTACGACTTGAGGATCCAGGAGCGACCAAGGTACGCAACTCCGTATAAATAACTACAGGTCCACCGTGATGCTAATAAATAAGGCACTCTGAACGTTATACCGAGAGTCGAAAGTGACAGATAAAGCCAGCAGCCATCCCTGCCAGGCCGTAGAAGAGACTCACAGTCCAGCTGTATTCATGTCACGTACGGAATGCGAAGATTAATCAATTAATAACTCTACAGATGTCTCTAATTGGGAGATACTAGTAGGTTGTCACAGTGGTCACACTGAATCATATGACTTCGTCCTTCACTGACGGCTAATAACCACTAATTGACCAGAACAGCCGGCATACGGAACAGCAGTCGGGAAACTGAGAAAAATACATTATTCCCATCAGAGTGCGTCATCATACAGACATCGTTTAAAGAGGTTTCCAAAAATCGATATAAATCTTCATCTGCAGATGCTGTTGATTACACTACCAAGGTTTATGTTGGATAAGTAAGGGCGTGTAGTTAAGATAACGGTTGTTTCAATGGAACACATATTACAGATTTTGTTGTGTATTAAAATCTCGCATGATATCCTAACGCAATACACATGAGACGTTATTAGACATAACTGTGCAATTAATCTGCAAATGGACATACATTGAACGCGATTCTCCGTACTCTCCGAGAACAAATCAAGTGTATCGATCGCCTGAAATTACCTGGCTAATTCTTGAGTTCCAGCTCTCATTTATACCAATTTAGAGACGACAACGTCAGTTGAATTCTACGTCCGGACAGACTGTTTGTTCAAGGCTTTATTTTATATAGCTCTGGTTTTGGGTAATAATTAATGAATTCCAGATTAACGCTTGAATTCTCTTTTATTGGCAGCATCTTGAATTGAGATGCCGATTGAGACTGACGGTAACCCTGTTTATCCAGACGTGATCAATTCCAGTGAGAATGGCCAGATTAGCGAGGTCGGATAAGTACCCTTCGTGACATTTGACATTTTGATACAAACCGCATCTAACATCAATGGTCATTTTTGCGCATGCAGCTTATGAATATTGTGTTATGATTTGGCTTGATGTGGTTCATTAGTGAAAAAGCCAGTTTTTCCAACTTCAGTAAGAAATATGACCGTTGGCAAATCCCTGACCATAGATAATTATTTTGCCATTTTGTTTGAACTGCATTATCCCAATCCCCAAAGCAAATCAGCTTCCGGAAAAAAATGGTCACCCAAACGTACTGGCCCCATCACCGATACGTACTGGTTACATCATCCAATCGTACTGGCTCCTTCATCCACACGTACGGGCCCCATCATCAACACGTACTGGTTCCATCATCAACACGTACTGGCTCCATCATCAACACGTACTGGCTCCTTCATCCACACGTACTGGCTCCATCATCATAACGTACTGGTTCCTTCATCCACACGTACTGGCCCCATCATCCACACGTACTGGCTCCATCATCCACACGTACTGGCTCCATCATCCACACGTACTGGCCCCATCGTCCACACGTACTGGCTCCATCATCATAACGTACTGGCTCCATCATCAACACGTACTGGCCCTATCATCCACACGTACTGGCTCCATCATCAACACGTACTGGTTCCATCATCCACACATACTGGCCCCATCATCCACACGTACTGGCTCCATCATCATAACGTACTGGCTCCATCATCCACACGTACTGGTTCCATCATCCACACGTACTGGCCCCATCATCAACACGTACTGGCCCCATCATCAATCCACACGTACTGGCCCCATCATCAACACGTACTGGCCCCATCATCAACACGTACTGGCCCCATCATCAACACGTACTGGCTCCATCATCATAACGTACTGGTTCCATCATCCACACGTACTGGCCCCATCATCCACACGTACTGGCTCCATCATCCACACGTACTGGCTCCATCATCCACACGTACTGGTTCCATCATCCACACGTACTGGCTCCATCACCATAACGTACTGGCTCCATCATCAACACGTACTGGCCCCATCATCCACACGTACTGGCTCCATCATCAACACGTACTGGTTCCATCATCCACACATACTGGCCCCATCATCCACACGTACTGGCTCCATCATCAACACGTACTGGCTACATCATCCACACGTACTGGTTCCATCATCCACACGTACTGGCCCCATCATCAACACGTATTGGCTCCATCATCAACACGTACTGGCTCCATCATCCACACGTACTGGCCCCATCATCCACACGTACTGGCCCCATCATCCACACGTACTGGCTTCCATCATCAACACGTACTGGTTCCCTTCATCCACACGTACTGGCTCCATCATCCACACGTACTGGCCCCATCATCCACACGTACTGGCCCCATCATCCACACGTACTGGCCCCATCATCCACACGTACTGGCCCCATCATCAACACGTACTGGCCCCATCATCCACACGTACTGGCTCCATCATCCACACGTACTGGCTCCATCATCCACACGTACTGGCTCCATCCTCCACACGTACTGGCTCCATCTTCCACACGTACTGGCTCCATCATCCACACGTACTGGTTCCATCCTCCACACGTACTGGCTCCATCCTCCACACGTACTGGCTCCATCCCCCACACGTACTGGCTCCATCATCAACACGTACTGGTTCCATCATCCACACGTACTGGCCCCATCATCCACACGTACTGGCCCCATCATCAACACGTACTGGCTCCATCATCAACACGTACTGGCTCCTTCATCCACACGTACTGGCCCCATCATCCACACGTACTGGCCCCATCATCCACACGTACTGGCTCCATCATCCACACGTACTGGCTCCATCATCAACACGTACTGGCTCCTTCATCCACACGTACTGGCCCCATCATCCACACGTACTGGCCCCATCATCCACACGTACTGGCTCCATCATCCACACGTACTGGCTCCATCATCGATACGTACTGGCCCCATCATCAACACGTACTGGCCCCATCATCCACACGTACTGGCTCCATCATCCACACGTACTGGCCCCATCATCCACACGTACTGGCTCCATCATCCACACGTACTGGCTCCATCATCCACACGTACTGGCCCCATCATCAACACGTACTGGCTCCATCATCCACACGTACTGGCCCCATCATCCACACGTACTGGCTCCATCATCGATACGTACTGGTTCCATCCTCCACACGTACTGGCCCCATCAAACAAACGCACTGCCTTTATCATTCATTGATCCGTCATTCGTAAATACTTACTCCATTTTCTGTACTACTAGATCCATCTTTCATACTCACAGGGTTCAATGACTCGTACCTTAAAGATACATCAAGCCTTTCTCCAAGGCTGTACTGAATGCTGAGCCCACGGATGTATAGTAATTCTATCCTTCGAAGAGGCAAATCTAGATAAGCTGACAGTAAGGGCCCAAGTCTGTTATTTATTATTCTTTTAGAAATTATCATTAAAACTATTAATCTTTACCTTAGAAATTTGTGCAAGTCTAAGATGCATCCATTCCAAAGGGATACGGAAGCGAAAAGTATATTTTCGACACGACCTGAACCAAGCCCTGGCCTGTCGTATATGCAGACACATGTACGCCACGCATCAGAGGTAACAGTAATCAATATTCAATACTCTCGTTTATTTGTTCTGTATGGTTGAGTGAGGAACGAGAAGACATCAGATAATGGCAATTTTTAATGATATAAGTTTACATTTGTAAACAAAACAGAGTCCATGGTTATTAAATAGTCAATAAACAGGTGATCAGGTACACAACATGATACACGTTATACAAAAATAATCTGAAAAAATATAAAGAAATTGTAATGTAAAATAACTCAGTTTGAGTACATGTTTAACTCAATTTGTGAAGTAATTGCGGATTCTGTGCGGAGTTTTGTCAGAAAACACTCAGGCCTGTAGCACTTAAAGGCACGTCGTATGTTTTTTGCTGGACATCGCTTTCATTTCTCCCGAAGAATGGGCAGTTGTCTTATTTATTCAGACGTCCAGTTCTGAAAAGAGAGTGAATGAAGGATATTGTTTTGCCCCAGTAGGCATTGTACAGATGGCCTGTAAAGATCTGAGTACAGACCAGGCAGGTGGTGATAGTATGGGCTGGGACCCACAACATCATACATTGTGTCATCATTCCTCGCCAAGACAGGTTTCGTCACTTGGGAGCGTTTCAGACTAGGAATTCCCAATGAAACGACATGTAAATGGTATATTTATGTTTTGTGGAACCTTCCTTAACACCTGCTGAACATTTGTGTTCAACAACCATGTACATTACATTACCGATTACATTAACACCAACGTAAAATGCGATGAAATAGATCGAATTGATCTAGCCACTGGACATCAAACGGTGCTACCTAACTGAGGGATTTAATTAAGAGTGCTGACCAAGCCAAGTTCCAAATCAGCTTCTGGGATTTAAACCAACGATAAAAGGAATCTTGCACACCTAAGTGACGCAACACTGTACAGGGAATTGCAGCACCTTGGGCAACTAGGCCGCCCATATCCGCCCTTCTCTCGTAGGGTACTAGTGTCAGTATGTGGTGCGATGTGTTATAAGCATAGTTCATATCAACTACATACTTCACTGATGCTGACGGGACCATGAAGATCCGGATTAGAATGAGCCTGTCGTAAGAGGCGACTAACACATGTCATCGTATTCCAATTGTGTAGATCGATATTTATGCTGTTGATCACTGGATTGTGTGGTCCAGACACGATTATTTACAGACCGCCGCCATATAGCTGGAATACTGCTCAGTGCGGCGTTAAACAACAAACAAACAAACAAATGACTAATGCTGACCAACCTTAACATTGTTCTTGATAACTTGTATGATACGCAAGCTCTCCTCCCATGTCTCCTTCTCTGCCGCCTCAATGTTCTCCTCCGCCAGTTCCACACCCTGGTCAGCAAATCATATAACTGTAATGTTTCACCTTTCATCAACAATAATATTGTGGTATTGCATTGAGTGAGTGAGTGAGTTTAGTTTTACGCCGCACTCAGCAATATTCCAGCTATATGGCGGCGGTCTGTAAATAATCGAGTCTGGACTAGACAATACAGTGATCAACAGCATGAGCATCGATCTGCGCAATTGGGAACCGATGACATGTGTCAACCAAGTCAGCGAGCCTGACCACCCGATCCCGTTAGTCGCCTCTTACGACAAGCATAGTCGCCTTGTACGGAAAGCATGGGTTGCTGAAGACCTATTCTACCCCGGATCTTCACGGGCCTGCATAGATTGAACACACGGAGGTCTTGTACTGGCATTTATGGAATCACACTTTTTCTGATATTTACTGATATCTATAGTGATAGTTTTCTCGAAGCCAGCCCTCCCTCTAGTGCCAGCAATTGTGCGTCTCAAAACATCGATTTCCCTTAACTGCTGCTGTAGCTTAAATTTCAGGTTATTCAACTAATGGTATTTATAGGGAACAGGCCGACCATTTACTGCTGTTTTGGTGCATGGATTGTTGTAGACAAACGACAGACTTTGGATTCACAGAGGTCACCATATCCAGGGAACTATTATGTTATATCGTTTGTTATATCGTTTTTTCAGATGTTATAAACTTTCCCCCTACTGTCAAGAGTAGATTACAAACTAAGGATAGATTACAAACCGAGACTTACCTTGTTCCCGATGTTGCAGGCCTTCTCCCTGTCTAGGATAGATTACAAACCGAGACTTACCCTGTTCCCAATGTTGCAGGCCTTCTCCCTACTGTCTAGGATAGATTACAAACCGAGACTTACCTTGTTCCCAAACCGAGACTTACCCTGTTCCCAATGTTGCAGGCCTTCTCCCTACTGTCCAGGATAGATTACAAACCGAGACTTACCTTGTTCCCAATGTTGCAGGCCTTCTCCCTACTGTCCAGGATAGATTACAAACCGAGACTTACCCTGTTCCCAATTGTTCCCCAGATGTTGCAGGCCTTCTCCCTACTGTCTCCCTAGGGATAGATTACAAACCGAGACTTACCTTGTTCCCAATGTTGCAGGCCTTCTCCCTACTGTCTAGGATAGATTACAAACCGAGACTTACCCTGTTCCCAATGTTGCAGGCCTTCTCCCTACTGTCTAGGATAGATTACAAACCGAGACTTACCTTGTTCCCAATGTTGCAGGCCTTCTCCCTACTGTCCAGGATAGATTACAAACCGAGACTTACCTTTCCTAATGTCAGGCCCAATGTCCAGGATGCACCGCCTTCCCAATCCCTACTGTCAAGGATAGATTACAAACCGAGACTTACCTTGTTCCCAATGTTGCAGGCCTTCTCCCTACTGTCTAGGATAGATAACAAACCGAGACTTACCTTGTTCCCGATGTTGCAGGCCTTCTCCCTACTGTCTAGGATAGATAACAAACCGAGACTTACCTTGTTCCCGATGTTGCAGGCCTTCTCCCTACTGTCCAGGATAGTGTAGTAGAATAGGGATATGTTGAGAACGAGACCAAGTCTGTTGGGATTGGTGGGCAGCAGTTCCTTCATGGCGAGCTCCATAGCCTGCTGGTACGCAGTGGTGGCGGCAGTCACAGACACTGAGGGGGAAGGGTTGATGATTTTTATAAAGAACTGTGTAAGTAGATTAATTACTAAATCGCCTGTGCATTAAACAACGATTTGCTTTAAGACGAGTGCCGACGGTGAGGCAGCATGTTCAGCTTTTTCGGGAACATATGGTGTCATCACTATTTGATGATGTATCGACGCATGGTCAGGATATGGTAGACTAACCACTAGTCTCTGAAATGAAATTATTTACAGAGAAAAAGCTCATAATATAGAAAATAAAATATAATGAAAAGGAGCCCTGAGACTTTCTTCATTTTCTGAGACTAAACAAATCTGCAGAGGGATAATTTCTTGGAATTTCACAACATGTAGAAAAGTTCTTATCACCCATAACTGCTGAAATTGTGTGCGACAGGAATATTTATTTCCCCAACACATTCCTGTCCTACTGTCAGTGGTGAGGGCCGTTTTAATGATAATGGTTTCTGGGATATATTTGCTTCAGGGTCTGTATGACAGACTTAATGATATGGTCGGAACTACACGACCGACTCTGCTTTTGACAGGGATGTCTTATGAATATGAAAAGTTGTTTTGCGATGAAAGAAAGACCAGTAAGTATGATTTAGTCGTTTGCGGGATGCGGTTTGTTTGAACGCGTCCAAGTATTTGACCTAAGCTGATCTTCTAAAGAGATGTAAGTACAGACACTGATTCACTAATTCAAAAAACTTCTTTTTCACTTTTGACATGTTTTATACTTGATCAAATCCTTAACTTGCAAATCACAGAAGAAGGAAAAAATAAAAGTGAATAAAATATAGCATGTAACTAAAAAAACTCAATAGTTTAACCGTTTCAGTATTTTTATATGTACCGTTTCCCAAGGGCCAAACTCATTCACCGCCCTCTCTTTTCAACGTCATATTTTAACAATAACAATGTGAATGTTACTCCCAGGGGAAATGCGTATGTTGAAATGAAACGTATGCACTTTATAACGATCTTAACCTGTCCTCTTCTCTCCAGTCGATATTTCAGCCATATACCGAGGGTAGTCTCCCTTTAATTTGAAAAGTAGGACTCTGGTATCGGGGGCGGTAGCTGCTTCGAGAAGGTGCTTCTCCAACAGAGTCTGAAACATATTATAGTTAGCATGGCGTCGTTTCGTATTCATGGATTCGGTCAGTATTGTTGACAAGTATTTGTAAGGATAACCCGTGAAGATCCTGGTTAGAATTGATCTTCAGTAACCCATGCTTGTAGATGGATGTTCATGCTGTTGATCACTGCATTGTCTGGTCCAGACTCGATTTTTTACAGTGAGTGAGTGAGTTTAGTGTTATGCCGCACTCAGCAATATTCCAGCTATATGGCGGCGGTCTGTAAATAATCGAGTCTGGACCAGACAATCCACTATCAGCAGCATGAGCATCGATATGCGCAATTGGGAACCGATGACATGTGTCAACCAAGTCAGCGAGTCTGACCACCCGATCCCGTTAGTTGCCACTTACGACAAGCATCGGTTACTGAAGATCAATTCTAACCCGGATCTTCACGGGTAGATTATTTTCAGACCGTCGCCATATAGCTGGAATATTGCTGAGTGCGGCGTAAAGCTAAACTATCTCGCTCATTGTAAGGATATTCTGTGTTTAAAAAGAATATAATGAACATGATGACTGAAACACTCTAGCAATAGATAATTTAGATAATCAGTCAAACTTAACTAACGTAATACTGAACATCTATGAGAAGGCAAAACAGAATGATTACTTTCTTTGCAGCCAAAATGTGTATTGCCTTCAGTATATAATGAGAATATCACCAGAAGGTCTTCACAGATGTTTGTAATTTCCTTCTCTAATACATCCATGTATTCCTTGGCGAGTTCCCTCTTGACCTCAGTTCCTGTCTTTGCTTTGTCCTTCTTGGCTTCAGCTTCCTCCTGGCCCTGTTTGTCCACTTCCTCCTGTGTGCACTGGTCTACGATGTCGTTCATCACCCGCCACGCTGACCTTCTCTCCCCCACGGCGTTCTTAAAGGCCACCGACAGCAGGTCCAGCGCACCTTGTTGGAGACAAAAACACCAAGCTCAATAGGTAATTTTACTTAAATTAGAAACCGTCCATAATTTATGGCTAGGGGATGAAAGGTTGGAGTATGTGATGATGGTTTTGTTTATGGAGAAGCATGTACAATGTGATGACCCCCTAAAATGTATGTATATAGTAAGTACATTGTATCACACACACACACACACACACACACACACACACACACACACACTCACACTCTCTCTCTCTCTCTCTCTCACACACACACACACACACACACACACACACACACACACACCTGCATGCCATGTAGAAACAAATCAGTTACCCCTTCCCCCCTGATTTTTAAGCATAATTTTAAAATATTTAATGTACAAAATTTCTCACCACCACCACCACCGCCCCTAGTACATGTGTACAGCATTGATGACGCCCCCTCCCTACCTCCCCAGAATGAACGGTAAGGGAAATAATCGTCCAGCCTAAAAATAGTGACGTTTTCTAGTGTAAAGACAGTTTGTTTTGGTTATTTCTCCATCGCTTGGATATTGCTTAAAAGGGTGTTAGATTGAGCTGACATACCATATAAAAGGACAATTACTATATGGCATCCAACCCTTGAACCAGACACATCCGACCTGTAACAGGTGTAGGTTGTCATGTGGTTTAATCACATGGTGAGTGAATCACTCTATCGAGCATCACATGTCTGTTGCAAATCAATAGCTCGCAGTTTCTGCATGCGATGGCGTCTCGGTTCACATGCACTAAGATAGAGGACTTGAGATTGAAATGTCAATGAAACCCAAAGGTCACTTTGCTCTGGCTGGTAGTGAACGTCTCCAGGGACGGATACATGGCAATTGTACAGTCGAACAATCCGGCATGTTATTACACTACGTGGTCGGCAATTTTGGCATCAAAGATCCATTGCAGTTGCTACTCTTAACTGACGCTGTACCATCTACTTGTGCGTTAATCGGTACCCCGTGGTCTTACGTGACCTCTGAACATATACATTATATGGAATTGCCGAACTGTAGCCTGGCTGAGTGAGTGAGTGTTACAAGAAGGGCAGAATGTGATTTAGGCTACCTTACACATTCCATTTAAACTGAAGTACACACTCAGGGGGTGGTGGGGTAGCCTAGTGGTTAAAGCGTTGGCTCGTCACGCCGAAGACCCGGGTTCGAATCCCCACATGGGTACAACGTGTGAAGCCCATTTCTGGTGTCCCCCGCCGTAATGTTGCTGGAATATTGCTAAAAGCGGCGTAAAACTAAACTCACTCACTCAGTCGCTCACTCACACAACGCGTTTCAGCGTTTCGAAGACTGTTGTTAGTCTAGTGTACTGTTGTCTACTTTCTCTCGCCCCACAAGTATGTATGTATGTGCGTGCGTGCCAACGGATGGAAGGATGGATGGATGTATTTATATATATGTGTGTGTGTGTGTGTGTGTGTGTGTGTGTGTGTGTGTGTGTGTGTGTGTGTGTGTGTGTGTGTGTGTGTGTGTGTGTGTGTGTGTGTGTGTGTGTGTGTGTGTGTCCGAGATGCACAAGCGTATCCACTTGTAAACCTTCATACACCTTTCTCTACCTACGTTAATAACAATCTTCCTACCGACCTGTTCTTTTTAAAATATAACATAATCAATTTTTGCAACAGTAAACTTTCATGAACGTGGACCAAAGTCCATACAACGGGAAGTCTGGGGTTCTATTTTCATTTCTGTCCTATATTTATTATTTCGAATCGTGTGCCACAAGAAATATATACATAAATACATTTAAATATCCATACACAAGAAGTGTAATGAAAATAATACCCATCATGATATCTTGTTTTGAAGATGTAGCCGTACAAGCAAACCTGCTGTCCAAAGACGACCCAAGCTTCCAGTGGCAATGGTTATAAAGGATGAGAGAGTGAGTGAGTGATTATACAGGATGAGAGAGTGAGTGATTATACAGGAGTGAGTGAGAGAGTGAGTGATTATACAGGATGAGAGTGAGTGATTATACAGGATGAGTGAGTGAGTGATTATACAGGATGAGAGAGTGAGTGATTATACAGGATGAGAGAGTGAGTGAGTGATTATACAGGATGAGTGAGAGTGAGTGATTATACAGGATGAGTGAGTGAGTGATTATACAGGATGAGAGAATGAGTGATTATACAGGATGAGTGAGTGAGTGATTATACAGGATGAGAGAGTGAGTGAGGATGATTATACAGGATGAGTGAGTGAGTGATTATACAGGATGAGAGAGTGAGTGATTATACAGGATGAGAGTGAGTGATTATACAGGATGAGTGAGTGAGTGATTATACAGGATGAGAGAGTGAGTGATTATACAGGATGAGTGAGTGAGTGATTATACAGGATGAGAGAGGAGTGATTATACAGGATGAGTGAGTGAGTGATTATACAGGATGAGTGGAGAGTGAGTGATTATATACAGGATGAGTGAGTGATTATACAGATTAGAGTGATTATACAGGATGAGTGAGTGATGAGATGAGTAAGAGTGATTATACAGGATGAGAGAGTGAGTGATTATACAGGATGAGTAGAGTGAGTGATTATACAGGATGAGAGAGTGAGTGATTATACAGGATGAGTGAGTGAGTGATTATACAGGATGATTGAGTGAGTGATTATACAGGATGAGAGGAGTGATACAGGATTGGAGAGTGAGTGATTATACAGGATGATTGAGTGATTATATACAGGATGAGAGAGTGAGTGATTATACAGGATGAGTGAGTCTGGTTTTAGCAATATTCCAGCAATATCACGGCGGCGGACACCAGAAATGGGCTTCACACATTGTACACATGTGGGGATTCGAACCCGGGCCTTCGGCGTGACGATCGAACGTTTTAACCACTAGGCTACCCCACCGCCCCTGTACAGGATGAGCTGGACTAGTGCACGACATACCATAAGAAACACTCTTCAATGTCTATAAGTGATTAAAGTATTTACTTGACACTTGTAAATGCCTCAATAATGTATTGAACAGATCAATATTCACCCAAACAATCTATACACATTGTGTTGCAAGTATATACTACATGTATCTATGAATCATGTAATGGAACACTGGCAATGTATACTGTGTTTTGAAAATATATGTTAACGATGCATAACGGTTACAAATATGAAGATATACCCAATAGAGATGTAAGAAAACACATGACACAAAATCACGTTCGTGTTGAGGTGAACTATCATAACGTTTCAGATACACACAGAAGGACCACAAAAACCTGCCATGAGTTGTCCACCCTTGTTTTGTACAAAATCAGCTATAAAGACTTAAATGACGCAAACGGGGACACCAACTGACTCTTCTGGTCACAAGAGGCATTTACCCCAGACAATTTTCTCTGACACTTTCAGTGCCTGATTAAAAATTAAAAGTAAGTGTTATCGACTTAGAAGTAACACAAAAAGAGACTCACCATGTTTTTCTAGATAATCTGGGTAGTCTTTCACTAAGCATTTCACATATTCCTTCATCTCATCAAACCTCTCCCCTTGTTCTGCTAACTGAATCCTCACCAACATCCTTTCCGGACTTTCCGCCATGGTGTGTTTGATTTTGTGTTCTATAATTTATAATTGTCGTGAGTTTTTACCTTATAAATGTTCTATGAACCCTTCCTAGAGATATACAACCCGCGCCTAGACAGACACATGGTCACCGTAGGGACTTGAAAGGTTAATTATGTTGTTGTACTAGCATACTTCAGAACACCAACTGCTCATGGCGGGAACATGATCGTTCATGCATGCAGTTCCTCTTTGTATTGTTTGAGTCCTCTTTTCCAATCGATAGTTTACTTGTTGTTTTACAGGTATCGATAACTAATTAATAAATTAATAGGTTGGCAGGTACATTGTTCTTACTTTTCTACTCCAACAATTTCAAAACATCGATCTTGGTGCTATCTCGTGTGTTAGTAGGAGGGAAGAATGGTATGAGTCTCCTTTGTTACGGTGAGATATTTTCCTGTCACAGTGGGTATTCCTCTCTATAATAGCACTGGGAGGAGAACAAGTGGATGCATGGTCCTGGGAAACTCGAGTCGCTTCTTCCTCTGACTTCTTGTTCGACAAGTCTCATAGAAACGTACTGACACGCAAACCACATCATGTTTCTTAGCTGAGCTGTTTCTTGCTCGGAGAAAGTTGGGTTTAAAGTTGTGAAATCTATGTCCATCAAATCCCATCGTTCTGGCATAATCGGAGAGAGACCCAAAGTCACCCACGTCTTAGACTGACTGACTGAGTGAGTTTGGTTTTACGCCGCTTTTAGCAATATTCCAGCAACATCACGGCGAGGGACACCAGAAATGGGCTTCACACATTCTTAGACTTTTAAACCAATAAGCAAGCGTATTGTGCTAACATAAGATCCATTTCCAATCAAAACTAAGACATGTACAGTTCATTTTACCGTCCATCAGATAATAAATAACTGATCAGATTAAAGAACATTCAAGAAATTCTCTAATTTTGTAGCACAAACCACACATGATAGAGATACACTTCCACGCTGTGGTCGACTCAACCTAATTCATGTACTCTTACTGGCGTATCGATCTTGCAATATTAAAATATGTGTTTCGTCGCGTCTATCTCCTTGAGAGATAGTTAACAGAAGATGGTAGTCCGGTAAACGCGTCCGTGGATAAATGGCCCATTTGCACAAATTGATGTAGAAGACACGCGGCCGATGGATATCGCCAAACGGGAATTACTCGTAAAGACAACTGACACATACCGGAACTAGACTCCATTCCAGCAGAAACAACACTAAAAGAGCGTTAAGATTACTTTGTACAAAACATCAAGTTCAGGACACTTCCCGCTGCATTATTCTGTTGACTTAGCATTCAGTCATCCGCTCACTCTTTTTGTTGACGTTGTTAAAACAAGACATCCTAAAACATGGGTCTTCCTAGCTCGTCAGTTGACAGTGTCTACCTCAGATACCTGACACGTCGCAGAGTAAAATCACACTTGACACGTGTGTCTATCTCACCCACTAACTGACATATGTGTCTACCTCACTTGACACGTGTGTCTATCTCACCAACTACCTAAAACATATGTCTACCTCACCCGACACTTGACACATTTGTCTATCTCACCCACTACCTGAAACATGTGTTTACTTTACCCCACACTTGACACGTGTGTCTATCTCAACCACTACCTGAAATATGTGTGTACCTCACCCGACACTTGACACGTGTGTCTATTTCACCCACTACTTGAAACATGTGTGTATCTCACGCACTACCTGAAACATGTGTCTCTCTCACGCACTACCTGAAACATGTGTCTATCTCACGCACTACCTGAAACATGTGTCTATGTCACCCACTACCTGAAACATGTGTCTCTTCACTTGACACGTGTGTCTATCTCACCCACTACCTGAAACATGTGTCTATCTCTTCCAGACACTTGACACATGTGTCTATCTCACCCACTACCTGACAACATGTCTACCTCACTTCGACGACACTTGACACGTGTGTCTATCTCACCCACTACCTGAAACATGTGTCTACCTTCACCCGACACTTGACACGTGTGTCTATCTCACCCACTACCTGAAACATGTGTTTACTTCACCCGACACTTGACACGTGTGTCTATCTCACCCACTACCTGACACATGTGTCCGCCCCGACACTTGACACGTGTGTCTATCTCACCCACTACCTGACACATCACCTCACAATACACATGTGTCTACTCACCCACCCCTGACACACTTGACACGTGTGTCTATCTCACCCACTACCTGAAACATGTGTTTACTTCACCCGACACTTGACACGTGTGTCTATCTCACCCACTACCTGAAACATGTGTCTACTTCACATGACACTTGACACGTGTGTCTATCTCACCCACTACCTGACATATGTGTCTACCTCACCAGACACGTGTCTATCTCACCCACCACCTGACATTTGTGTATACCTCACCCGACACTTGACACGTGTCTATCTCACCCACTACCTGACACATGTGTCTACCTCACCCGACACTTGACACGTGTGTCTATCTCACCCACTACCTGACACATCTGTCTACCTCACCCGACACTTGACACATGTGTCTATCTCAACCACTACCTGAAGCATGTGTTTACTTTACCCAACACTTGACACGTGTGTCTATCTCAACCACTACCTGAAATATGTCTACCTCACCCGACACTTGACACGTGTGTCTATTTCACCCACTACTTGAAACATGTGTGTATCTCACGCACTACCTGAAACATGTGTCTCTCTCACCCACTACCTGAAACATGTGTCTATCTCACGCACTACCTGAAACATGTGTCTATGTCACCTACTACCTGAAACATGTGTCTACCTCACCCTACTGGTATGCCCTGTTATCTCTCTCTATTATCTACAATTTCTAAATGATGTATATGTCTATTTAACCTGTTAGGAATAATTTGAGGCCATTAGTCACTATAAACGTGATACTTTATATTTGCTTGAAATCTGAACGAAGATTTCGTGACAAAACAGTTCGTAAAATGCCGAGGATGGTCTAGGTCACTGTCTAGGTCGTGACTGGGCTGGGTTTACCAAAGTAGATAGGTAAATACAAATACATGCAAATGGAGAGGTTATTTTGTAAACGCAGGGTGTTTCCTGTACACGTATTCAGATGATATCACCCAGCAGTTATAAAGCTTTAGCTTTAGCTGCAAACAAGTGAAGCAAGAGGGGGCAAATCCCATATGTGAAAAGGACAAATCAACAACATGTACACATGTACACATGTAGTATTTATTAAGTGACGCTCACGTATTACATTGTTTCTGTTTGTAAATGGTATTATTACGTCTTGCTACATAACGGGGCGGTGGGGTAGTCTAGTGGTTAAAGTGTCCGTTCGTCACGCCGAAGACCCGGGCTCGATTCCCTACGTAGGTACAATGTGTGAAGCCCATTTCTGGTGTCCCCCGCCGTGATATTGCTGAAATATTGCTAAAAGCGGCATAAAACTCACTCACTCACTCGAGCAAGCGGATTATACACTCAAACACTCCCGAGTCGAACTGCAGGATTTTCTCGAAGTACAAGCTTGGTCACTGACTATTCTTTCTTTAGACATCTTCCTCGACACAACAGTGTTTGAATGTTCCTCAACCAGCTCTACGCGATGAACGAATATAAAGCTATACGTTAATTGCAATCTATCGCCCGATTTGGATGGGACCACAAGGTGCGGGTAGGTGTCCAAATAGCTAAATCGTTCACTGTTGACGTCAAAGTCTAGGGTTCGACTCCCCAAACGGGTACACTATGTAAAACCTAATCGTGGTGTCCCATGCCGTGAAATTCCTGAAATGTTGTTAAAAAACTATATTCATCCACTCACTCATAACGTTCTTCGTTTTAGGCTCCTCGGTGCCTAAGGTAGAATTTATGTTTACCTGTGGCAATCAGAATGTTGTGAGTTGTGGCAAATGTACACTCAAGACATTATTTACAATACCAACTTTTATTTCCTCATAATCAGCAGCAAATAATGGAGTTATCTTACCAGAACCTCTTACACACAGTTCTTTTGAAGGGGATACTTATTAATTAACAAAATGTTGCGAAATTTACACTATAACTGATGTGTTGAAAGGAAGATTTATTCAGAAACCCTTGAAATCGTTCTCAGTAAAACATATATGTTTAAAATATGTATTGCCTTACAATTAACATCATTATTACATATGTCTTTTGTAAATGATAAATACGTTTGAAAAAATGACTTCATAGGGTAGAATTTATAGACTTGACTTAATAAAATGGGCCAACACGGTATTACTATTTCTGGTCAAAGATCACATACAAACTAGTAAGTAGAAGAAAGCTACACATGGATTGTAAAATGGGGAGTTGTGATAGTTCACAATCTCCTTAAGAAAGGTCAGCATAAACATTATGGATTTATACCACCGTCAACAAATAATACTATGGGTGATCAATTGAAACGTTCAACTAACATAATGCCTGTATTGATTTTAGCATACGTTATCAACAATGACTCTCTGGTGATCAATGTTATGACATAAAGGGTTTGCTCAGAGCGCTTCTAAATATCAATATGTTCAGTATATATTGTAAGTGAAGTAAACTGATGGAACATATCCTGTGTTTGATGTATCGGAGTGTGCATCAATCTGTACTGTCATCCGGGTCCTCCGAAGTCCATAACTAGAACATAGAACGGAAAGGTTATCTCTTCCAATACGGTTTGAAGAAACATACTGCAACATAATCAGGGTTTTGATTACATCAACATGACTGAAGACTTTGTGTCCGACTCCTGTGTCAGATGAATAAATGTCCGAAAGTGATAGCAATTAGATTATGAATTTCTGTGTGCAATTACTTATTTTCACTTATGGAACCATCAAGTATATGTTGTGAGTGTGTGAGTTGAGTTTTATGCCGCGCTCAGCAATATTCAAGTAATGTGGCGGTAAATGTCATGACATAAAGAGGTATTTCGAGTCTCCAGGTCGACATGTTGCGATGTCGTACAGTGTGTCGTGGTGGAACTTACCGTTAAGTTATCTCTGATGAGTTGGAGTATCTGCGTGCTGCTCTTGTAGTTGGTTTCATCAAGGTTGTCCAGGTCGGCAATGGCCGCGTCGAACGCCTGAAAGTAGATACGCCGCTTTTAGCAATATTCCAGCGATATCACGGCGGGGGACACCAGAAATGGGCTTCACACATTGTACCCATGTGAGGAATTAACCACTAGGCTATCCCACCGTCCCAACACCAGTGAAGATCCGGGTTGAAACTAAACTTTAGGAACCTTCGTTTCTCGCCGCGACAGGAATCGGATGGTCAGACTCGCTAAGTTTGCTTAATCCAAATTGCTTATTAGAAGCTCTGGCGCTAGCAAAATGCAACTAATCAACCGATCCTAACTGAATAATCGTAGCAACGACTAGCATTACCTCCGAACGCTTCTAGTCCCTTCATTTTAAGCCTTTTTGATTTGGTAAAAGACTGGAGGAGACAACAGCTGGGATCATATGAACATATAGTCACGTTTGTGTGTTTTCGGTGCTCGTACTATCGTCCACTATCTATTCAATGCATACACATTATCGTTGAGCTGTCCTTCAAAACGCTGAGACATCTCCCCATACAGCGGATGTACTGACCGATTTGGCTAATTTACAAGCATGGTGGCGGTTCTCTGCAATCTCATAGTAGAACACAGACACGTTGAGAGCCAGGCCAAGCTTCTCTGGGTGGGTCGGAGGCATTGACTCCACTTCCGTCATGGCTTTCTTATAAAACGTCTCTGCATTGCTCACCGATGCTGAAATGTTAACATATTATGCATTATATCACGTGTCTTAAAATATCAGTGTTATCAAACGGCATTAAAGAGACTAAATAACGACATTACCTGCTTTTTTGTCAGCTGTTTGAATTTCCGCCATATATCGAGAGTAATCTCCCTTGGTTTTGAGAAGACTGACCTTCGCATCCATCGTAGTTGCAACTTTGAGTAAATGTTTGTCGATAATGTCCTAGTCAGGAAAAAACAGAGAATTGAGATAATAAAGTTCATGCAAAGCCAATTTCACTATAGAGGTCATGTTCACATATACTGTTATCTTACCTCACACATAAATGTCGCTTTCTGATTGGCTGAGCACTCTTCTATTATTTTCAATGTACCCCGCTTACAAGCGAGTAACATTTCAATGTACCCCGCTGTCAATGGCAACTCATTTGGTACTTCGTGGTAGTAATTCTTTATCTCGAATAACATTGAATCACGTATGATGTACGGAAATTACCGATGTTTTGCGAATGCAAATCGATGGAAGGGAGATAGCTCTAAATCTGTTTTTCTTGTCAGCAAAATCTAGCGATGGCTACAAAAAGATTTGTACCCGTGCTTCAAACAATTCAAAATTAACATTAAGGTGTTCGGTAAGATAAATTCGTTGTTCACTGGTCACAAGTGGGGCATGGGTTGGTTTACATGGGAAATAAACATCGAGGGTACATCAACCCATGCCCCCCTCGTGACCAGTGAACAACTTATAATGCACAAAAGAACGTACACCTGGTTTTTTGAGACTATTAAAACAACGTAAATATTTTGCTAGCAATGTTCCAATTGGGTACGATATCTATAGTGTTATTGCAACACGTACACAATGTTTGTGACTTGTGAGTCGCAATCAAAACATTTTTCTAAATATTACGCTGTTTTCAGGAAAACATTTTACCAAAGCATCAGGTGTGTACTTTACACCAGTTAATGACAGAGATAGTACGGATAGAGGTAAGAACCACCGGTATAAAGCAGGAATATTGATGATTGCAGGTTAACACATAAATCACCCAATAACATGGTAAATATGTAATAAACATAAGATACCACTATGTCTGTGCAGTACTCTGTGAGCTCGTCTTCAATGTTCGCCAAAAACCGTCTCATGATATCTTTCGTCCTCTCGTTGGTGGCCTGGGGCATACTGTTAATGATTCTCCACGAACAGCGCCGGTGTCCAACACAGTTCTTGAAGGCGATGGACAGGAACTTCAGCTGACCTGGAACACCAACATGTTTCGTAGACAAGAGTCTAAAACATAAACAGTTTGGGCAATCTATGGGCCATGGTGCTGTTAAAATGTTCATTAACTTGGAACAAACACACGTTCCTCTAGTCGACTGCAGGTCATAAGAATTTGAGTTCCTGAAGACACTGACCTTGGACTTAGTGGTGTTCCGATGATCGATTATAATCGAAAATTGATTGGTTACCCTTTCACGACGCGACAATTGATTGCAAAATTTCATAATCGATTGTCGGTAAGAATTCTTTCGAAAACAGTAAAGAATACCCAACTCAGACCACAAGACAACTGCCAGTTACCGATGATCATAACTTCTATCCGCATTATTTACAGAAATCACAATCATATTGCGTCTACACACGTCTCGAAATGAAGTGTAGTTGACAGAAAATGGATACGTATAAATATTTTGTTTTGCTAAATGCAGGGGCGGATATAGCTTTTTTTTAGAAAGGGGGGGTTGCACCCTCTTGAGAAAGGAGGGGTGCACACTTCATTTTCACCCGTTTTCATGGGTCACGCCTATGTAAATGCCATATTTATTGGAGCTGGCTATCACAACAAACTGTCATGTGCATTTCACCTCATTCCATGCGCGTACAACTTCCGCTTACCATGTTCATGAGGGTACGCATTTCGCTCCGATAACGATAGCACCAATTTAACATTATTCTTAACAATCACAAACTGATTACCGCCTCGCCATCAATTGACCGCTAGTTTACAGTGACATAGGTGAAAACGTGTGTGCGTGCACGTTTATTTCCATGCGCATACAACTTCCGCTTACCTTGTCCGTGAGGGTCCGTATAACCTTAGTGTTGATTATACATAATTTACATTTATAGAGTAATACTTGTAAGTAAAATTACACAATGCTGAGATATATTTCTCTTGGTAGAATAATAGTTTTAAATTATTAAAGTTTAACGATCACTGCGTCAGAATTCATCCTGTGATATTATTGGGCATGTTTCAACAAGATCGCCGGGAAACGTGTGCACAGCTGATTGCTATTTCCGGCTACGAGACAAATACATGTACACACGGTAATCTTAATCCCTGCATATAATGCAATGCCTAGCAAAAACAAATTAGAACTGAAAAGGTAAATAATCTTGTCTAGTGATGGTTAATTGCAAATTTTACGTCTTCACTGACAAAGTCATTTTCTCTTTATACTTGTGCGAAGTGATACGATGTCCAGGAAAAAGGTTTGACGAAAGTGTTACCCGTAGATAAGTCGACCCCCTTCTATAGGCTGCCTTTTTTGGTCTTCAAAATTCGGCTTATCTACGCTAATATACGGTATTACCTTTCTTTGAAATGACTTTAATGAGTTTAAATACGTAAAACTCGATCTTCGAGGTAAAGCGAGCAGACAGTCACTTCTTGTGCTTTTCCGGCGGCGAATAACGCCTTTATTTACGTATCCATAGTTACGTATCTAAAAATATAGTAATAGTAGAACAGTAGTACCCAGATGCAAAAGTTTGAGTGGAGGTGTCATTCCCATTGTTTGAATGTTTTTTATTCACTTTTCTAGTCAGTCACCGGCATTTAGTCATGTAGTGTTTTTATGACATCTGACAAGAGTTATTGTTTGATTGGTAATTGATGCTGTTGATGGTAAATAATAAACCATAAAAGAGCCCCCCAAAATCTTTTCTTTTGTGTACCTCTACATGTTCAACCATCTGTCTCTGAACTGTACTTTACCTTTAGAAGTCTGAGACAATAACAAACACATGGAAATCACAACCGATTCCCAATTTCCCACCACTATTTGAACTTTCAACTATCCCAGAACCAAAGAACCTATAGGTCATAAACTGTAACTTCACCTAACCTAGACAGTAGTGTTGGGAATTGGTTAAAATCTCATAATTGATGATTGGTTCATTACAACCGATCAATCGTCGAAAATAATTGGTTAGCGTCATGTATGAAATGTTCCTGATATTTTTGTAAAAGCACAAAACCATAAAGAAAAAACATGTTGTTCATTGGTGTGTTTTTTTGCAAATTGCACATCTTTAAATGATATCTAGTACCTTAGGAACATAAATTTCGTAGGGTTTTAAAGATAAATTCAATTGTCACTTGGAACGAGCTTGTAGTGCTCATGAAATGTAACAGACAGAACCAACCGTGTGAAAAATATTGTTAATGCAAAAATGTTCCAGAATTGTTTGTGTTCGATTATGAGAAAACATGATCGATTGTTTGGTCGTTTAGTCACTGCGACCAATCTTCGATTATTTCAATTAATCGGACCAACACTACTAGACAGCAGACATCAGGGAGACTGTAAACTGTGACTTCGATGGGTCTAGAACCAAGAAACCTGCAGGTTCTAACCTGTAACCTCACCTGACCTAGTTAATAGAAATCATGTAGGTTATAAAACGTAATTTCAGCTGATCTTGAACAAGTGTTTGCGCGGGTTATATACTGTAACTTCACCCGACACAGAAATCGTCTGGGTTAAACACAGTTTAGTTTCTCTTGAACTGGAGTTCTTGTAGTTTACAAACTGGTACTTCAGCTGACCTACAAAGGGATCCTACAGAATATAATAAGTATCTACAATTAGCTTGGAACCCGAGATCCTGTAGGTTGAACACTGTAGTGTCAGCTGGTCTGGGACAAGAGTTCTTTTAATCTGTAAACAATAACATCAGGTACTAGAAGCAGTGTTCCTGTGTGTTATAGTTGACGTAAGACTGGAGTTCCTGCAGTATATAAACAGGCAACTGGGTTGTTGGCGACCACTCGCTCATCCCCAAAACATTAACACCGACTCATATAGCATACTTCGTTTTGATGTTTTCGTTCGGACTCGGATGCTGGAGATAGATGCTTTCTTTACTATAAAGTGCCACTGCTGCAATTTAGTTACGCAATTTGTCACATGAACTCTCTCTCTCTCTCTCTCTCTCTCTCTCTCTCTCTCTCTCTCTCTCTCTCTCTCTCTCTCTCTCTCTCTCTCTCTCTCTCTCTCTCTCTCTCTCTCTCTCTCTCTCTCTCTCTCTCTCTCTCTCTAGCATGGAGTCAATATTCACAAACAGATGTTAATAATACTGATGTTAACGATTGAGTAAACAACAATATGCCTTCCAACAATCACATCAGAGTTACAACATGTGACCGACGACTTATCTTACCATGTATTATCGCATTCTATTTAATGCTTATCTGGGGCCCAGATGAGTTGCAGGTCATACGGTGTGTGCTCTGTGCCAGCCCGTGGACAGCAGAGCTAATGCCAACTCACCTTCTTTAATGAGATATTCCGGGTACTCTTGGGCCAAACGTTTCACAACTTCCAGCATGTCCGTGTATCGTTCGGCACTCTCGGCCATCTTCAGCTTCAGAAGCAACTTCTCCTGTTCGCTTAAAGCCATATTTTTGTAGTATTAACGTCTGTGTTCTTGCCTGATAGTATTGTAGGTACGCCACTTAACTCTCTCTGCATGTATCCCACACAACTCCAGCTTTACAAAAGATAGCGTTACGTTATACTCGGTAAGGGCCATTCTGTTTACTACTTTGGCCCTGATAGACTACATCTTCCGTTACAGCGTGGTAGTACAATAGCATTATTGATGAAGTGTATATTCATTGATCAGGAGAAGAGTCATTCACCCGTGCAAGCATCTCGTTCGTGTCGAAAACTATTAGACCGTTGCTTATTAATATTAAAAACACCAGTATAATAACGATTTATAGGATTGGTTTTAATAACCTATTACAGGCTTTTCGTAATACATATAGGAATGTGAGATGTTGCATCATCAAGTTGCCGGCCACGTGGTGAGTTATTGATCCTTGGAGGTGAGCTATGGACGAAGTGTTTTGGGGGCATGTAAATATATGTGAACAGGTTCTGTGATGTGGACAAATATAGCTTGTGTAAGCATTTGCTTACACACACATGCAGGTGGTTGGTGTTAAACGCCGCACTCAGCAGTATTCAAGCTATATGGCGGCAGTCTGTAAATAATCGAGTCTGGACCAGACAATCCAGTGATCAACAGCATGGGCATCGATCTAAGCAATTGGAATACGATGACATGTGTCAACCAAGCCAGCGAGCCCGACCAACCGATCCCGTTAGTCACCTCTTACGACAAGCATGGGTTACTGAACTCTATCCCGGATCTTCACAAGTCGTAAATACATATAGATACAAAACGCCAATCAAGCAAATGACCAGCCCCGAATATCCACCGTAAAAGATTCCATTGAGGTAAAGGCAAAACAGTCACTTGAAACATACTGACCTTGGTCAAATGGTCAGGTTAAAGTTACCCATCGTGATCACTGAGTTGTATGTGAGAATGCCGTATCACGCCACATTCACCATTATTCCAGGTACATGAGTGACTGGTGTCTTACGCCGCCTTTGTTAACATCCCAGCAATATCACGACGAACTGAGTTCTTACGCCGCTTTTAGCTTCCCATGGCGGGGAACGAGCTCACACATTTGGCTTTACGAGCGAACGATTTAACCAGTACCGCTCCCAAATATACGATAGCGGTCTGTCAACAGAATCAACGAGTTTGGACCAGATAATCCTATGTTTGACTTCATAAACATCGATCTACGCAACTTGATAACGATGACACACATCAACCAAACCTGACCCACCGATCCAGTTAGTCTCCTCTTATCGGTTGCTAATGACTATTTCCAACCCGGATCTTAACCGGTCACCACTGCTCAGAGGCTGCGTGGAGGGCAGAACCACAATCTTCAATAAAGTCTCGGAGAAAAAGATATAAAAGCACTGACGTTGGATTTGTATCCTTTTTATTGCAAAACACAAAACCAGATACCTTTTGATACAACAAAACCCTAACGCCGCTTACCACAACGGTTACGGGTATTTACGATATGCATGCAAGAAAACATCTCCAAAATATACAAAAAATACAAAACAGGAGTTAACTCCAGCCTACAATCGATGTCAATAATGTGCAAGCCGTACAACTCCTACACCGTCAGACCTCTGCCCACAACAGTCTGACTCCCACATATGTCTGCGATTCCACCCACTCCGGAACAATTCAGGTGACATGTAGTTAGAATCCTGTCGAATCAAAAAGTGAGTTATTAAACGTTCCCCAGTCCACGATAGTTCGTCTGGTGAGATCTGTATTCCCCTCTCACTTCCTGTCTGGCAACAGCGTCCATTGCTGAAAGAATAAAGTACTGGAATTAAAGTCTCACTGTTTGGTTGTATCTGACAGGTCTGAGTCTCAGGTCTGAGTGAATATTTTACGTTTAAAAATTAACAGTTTGCTGACAGGATCCTTTACGGGACTGCAGAGCACGAATGAGTGAGTGAGTTTGGGTTGACGCTACTTTAAGCAGTATTCCAGTTATAACACGGCGTGTCAGCTGTAGCCGAGGTGAGGCCAGTCGGAGACGTTCACCAAACTGAGTACGGGCATGGTGCAGACAAACCTAGAAACAATCGTTACGAACCTGGATTCGAACCCAGAATCAACGAACGCAACTGCACAGCAAATTTCAGCCTTAGACAACTGGACCAGCCTCTACTGTGTCTGAGCTTAGTTTGGATATGTTTCTGTCTTGCTCGTCTTTGTTTCCTTCTTAACCTCGCAGTTCCAACCATATGCCGGTGGTAAATAATCGCGTTAGGATCGGTAACCTGTTCACATCTTAGCAGCCCCGTTATTTGCTCACCTCTCAGTAACTGGCTCAAGTACCCGGCATCATGCTCACATCCCAGTTACTTGGTAGCTTGCTCACCTGTTCACAGGTATGTAAGTCAGTAACCTGTTAACATCTTAGTAACCCAATCGCGTCTTCATATTGTAGTAACACGGCAACGTACTCATATTTTAGAAAAATAGTTGTCCGGTAACTTGGTCACATCTTACCAACCCAGTAACTTTCTCGCATTTTGGTAACCCAAATGATTGCTTACATCTTAGTTACAAGCTAACTTACGGACATCTTAGCAACCCAGTAACTTTCTCGCATATAGTAACCCTAAAATTGCTCACATCTTAGTTACTAGCTAACGTACTGACATCTTAGCAACCCAATACCTTTCTCGCATATAGTAACCCTAAAATTGCTCACATCTTAGTTACAAGCTAACTTACGGACATCTTACCAACCCAATACCTTTCTCGCATATAGTAACCCTAAAATTGCTCACATCTTAGTTACTAGCTAACGTACTGACATCTTAGCAACGAACTAACTTTGTCACATCTTAAAAACCCGCCAGTTTCCCCCCACCTCGACCCCTTGACCCCATGCACTTACGAAGAGCGTCATGGTAAGTGGCACTTTATCTCCAGGTCAACAAGATGAATTGCAGTAATACCAAGACGATATACTCTGTTATACCGACACTAACACAATTCCTGAAAGCAGCCTCCAGGGACTACCGACCATGCTGGAACTATCTTCCTGGATCTGTGCATGTCTACTTGATGGATACTTGATGATATCAGCGCGCCGCCAGGAGTTCTCTTCTTAAATATCTCAATACGGCCCCGTGGTGCAAATTACCGAATATACGTTTTGTAGTTTAGTCATTAATATAACACCATGGATGTCTTCACTGAACTGTAGAAAAGTATGAAATGCACCTAAAAAGGTGGTTGGTTGGTTGTTTAACGCCGCACTCAGCAATATTCAAGATATATGGCGGCGGTCTGTAAATAATCGAGTGGACCAGACAATCCTGTGATCGACAGCATGAGTATCGATCTACGCAGTTGGGAACCGATTACACGTGTCAACCAAGTCATCGAGCCTGACCACCCGATCCCGTTAGTCGCCTCTTATGACAAGCATGGGTTACTGAAGATCAATTCTAACCCTGATCTTGCACTGTAAAAGTGCCATTGCCTAATGCAGAATACGGTTTGGTTATGTTGTTGTTGTTGTTGTTGTTTTTTAGCTGCCCTTATTCCAACCATGTGACTGCTGTAAATAATCAATCTGGGACCAGACAACTCACTTATTGATATTTTGCGTTCGGAAACGGAGGACAGCCCAACGGAATGAATCATGTCTGTGCGTCTGACCGCCCAATCCACAATGTTGCCCCTAAGGTTGGTGGGGGCCTATTTTAACACCCGGTGTCACCATGAAACCCCTCTTTAATGTGAAACAAAGGAAGAAACACATGTACTTTCGAGCGGATGGAGTCGCCTTGTAGATTAAGTGTTTGCTTGTCATGCCCGGACTAAGGTTCGATAGAAAATGCGATTAAAGTAAGAAACCAAATACTCATGTTCGCGCTGTGTTGTTTTTTGTTTGTTGGTTGGTTTTGTTCGTTTGTTTTGTTTGTTTGTTGGTAGGTTGCCCCCATGCCAGCCCCCATGGCTCAAACGACGATGTTAGCACTAGGTTTTTTCAACACAAAGCTCATAACATAATATTTAGTCGTAACACAGTGATAGGGGTGGAAACCGGTCCCTGTCGCGTCCCAGCTTGATTTGATGTTGCTCCTTATACCACCGGGTACCGCTCAACAGCAGAAATACTTACAACCAGATTGTCTCTCAGTATCTGCATGGTGCTGGTGCTGTTTACGTAGTCTTCCCCGTCTACTTTATGCACAGTATCCATGGCGTCTTCAAATGCCTGCAACATGGTTAGATAGTGTACTGTAGTCGGATAAAAGCCCCCAAATAATGTTTAGATTAGTGTTGCAATGTGTGTAATGTAATAGGACCTGGAGTAGTCCAATTATGAAATGTTTTGGTTGTGATGTCCATCTCGCCCTGTCATTTTACTTAGGCACCAATAAGTTGCCATGTGCAGTGGTTGATATCTAAACGCACGTGTTAGTCAGGAATCATCTAACAATGTTATTCCATTTGGAAATAAACAGCGTTGGGAATACTGCTCCACCATTCATGCTAACAACAGAACGCGCAATTTGAATGTAAGTATATATTTATATAGAACAATGTTAAATTATCATTTATTGCACCAAGATGGGTATATCGGTGTATACTGAAGTATCGTCCCGCTGCTATTTCATTGGATTGAATCCCGGGTTGGCACAGGCTAAGATTGTTATGAAATCTTGCATACGCTCTGTTTTAGTGTTTACCAGCTTACCAGCTTGGCTATCCTGCACGCCTCCTCCTGTTCGTGCATCTCAAACTTGAGGACGGAGTAGTTGAGAGCTAGTTCTAGCCTCACTGGGTGACACGGCCGCAGCACACCTATCACCCTCCTCATGGCCTCCGTGTAGGTCGCATCAGCGTTCTCCAAGGAATCTTAAGCAAAACATTCAGTGTGGTTTGAGAATCTTATTACCAGAGCAAAAACTCATAGATTAACTCCTGGCCAGTACTCCAGGCTAATTGCAACACGATTTACTTTTTATTTATTGTTTCGTAAAATATAATTAAAAGCAATCTGTCACTTCAGTTGAATACCCCTTGTCGAATCTGAGTGAAATATCTGAATTTAATATACTTAGTTTGAATACAGGCAGATTATCTAGATATCATCATCCGCATCCGCTGGATGACGCCTACAGAAAGTGCGTGAGGTTGGTTTAGCTTCGATCTGAACATTACTCCAGCATTAACACGCCGTGTCAGTTCAATGTTGGAGAAAGGCCTAATTTGCAGTTCAAGATTATGATATTACTACCATTAATAAAATTACATTTGAAAGATTACAGATTATTTTAATCACGGCGTATGTGGTAGCGTATGATCAACAAACAGTCGCACTTCTAAGGGGCGTAATCCTGCATATCCGTAACGCAAACATACAGTGAACATCTATTCTTTTCATTAGCCGGGTAATATACGATTATTGTCTAGAATTCTTAATGGCAAACACTAAATAGTTATGAACAACTCAGCTTTACCTAACTAATTTGACAAACCTTGCTTAGCTTCTTCTGTCTGCACTTCCGCCTTGTACCGGAAGTAGTCACCTTTAAGCTTCAGAAGGAGAATTTCATTGGGATGGTCTTTCGTCTTGGGAAGAAGATGCTTGTTTATCAGGTCCTAGACCAAATAGACAACACTGAAAAGGTACTGATGACAATGTTCATCTACTAGAAGGTTGCGGAGTGCACTGGTCTGATTCACTTATTTAAGGGCCCCGAGAGATCTTCATCAGTTGGGTTTTTGACATTATGCTCCATCATATCGGCTCATATTTGGTATTAAATGATATAACTGTATATGTGGGTGAGTGTATTTGAGACTTTTGCCCAGAAGCTGCGTGAACATGGTTACAACTTTTCGAGGCTTCTGGAAGGCTGTCAAACAGTTATAGCAAACATGTGAATCAGTCACTAAAACACTGTCTGATGCAAAACCTTTTTTGACTTGAACAATTGACTTGCATTTGCAGGTGTTTGTGATGTGTGCCACCGACGGGATAGGATACGGTCAACCTATTTTTCCACGAAGAAAAGGTACCATCACTATATGAATGACATTCATAAACCATGGCCCCTCAGTCGTACAATCGACTCCCAATTTGACAGATATGTCTTGTGATATGGAAAGGTATGCTCGTTTTCATCATGAAGTAGGTTAGTTCACTGATCATTGATCTGGTTGATCAACGCTCCACGCATTCTACTGCCATTTCAACGATTAGACACTAACCAGTATACACTTCTTGGGCCAATTTCTCTTGTTTTCATATTGTCAGTCCGAGCAATCGAAGTCATATACTAGTAGATGAAGAAACAAATCTACAAAAAAGGGGAGCACAGGTGGTACCCATGGGGATGTTTAACTTCTTGTCTAAATGTCTTATCACGAAATTTCACAAAGATGTCATCAATGCGGAAGTTCATTTCACGTTTTGTATTTTCTGTAACCTTCAGATGGCATTTGCTCTCAATTGCAAATAATCCTGAACTTTTGAAGACAGACTTAACTGCATCTATCGTCACCACGTTAAGTCACAAAAGCTCTAAAGATAAAGGAAAAATCAAATGTTTCCACACAAGTGAAACGCAAGTCGTGTGAAATCATCTGAAAGTTCTGGACTGTAGAAACCATTCTAAACACATTACGTGCTATGATAGTGCATCTTAGGAAATATAATGCTATTTATAATGCTCAGACTGCAGCATGACACCTCAGCCAGTCGAACTGTGTCACAGTGACACAACTCAAAGGTATTTCCTGTTTCCTTATACCTCATGAACTGGCTGGATACATTGTTTCTTGGCTTTGGTTAAAACGCTCTATGTTCAAGACCAACCAATATCAATAAGTTTCTCTATGTACTCATAACCGAAGGATTCCTATATTTACCCATCAAAGAGTTGTAAGAAATGTTAATCTCGTAATTATATGTCTCTTTATACCGGGGTTTTCGCCTCATGTGTACCTCTGCTTGACGTCTTTGTTTGTTGAGAGGAGTTCATTGATAATCATCAAAGAAAAGATAATGGATGAAAATACGAATGCGGTTCAATTCGATGTTAGAGGAAACGGGCACAATCAATATTGCCGAAGGGCATTTATTAGGCTAAATAAAAAATGTTAATTTTACGAAAGCATATGTAGGTGTTAATACGTTTTATTCACAAGAGTCAAACTTGGACGAATGTAACATATTGATTAGCTTCTACGCACGTGTTTCATTTCCCCATTAGAAAATTTCAAATTGCACTAACATCACTTTCAACAAGAATGTTATTTGCTTTAATAACAAATGATTTTCTTAAAAGGCTTACCAACATCTGTGTGCAGATGTCCAACAGCTCTGTTGCTATGGTGTTCTGGTAGTCATGCATGACCGCCGCCTCCTCTTTCGCACCGCTCCGCTCCCATTCGTTCACACTCCTCCAGGATGCCCGACGTTCCCCCACAGCGTTCTTGTAGGCCACAGAGATGTGGTGAAGGAGTGAGGGGTCTATGAAGTTTCCAGAATGGTTCTCTACAAGGTCATTTATGAACTTGACCATGTCGTCATACCTCTCTGCTTGGTCGGCTAGTCGGACCTTAAGAAGCAACTGCATTCCTTCCTCAGACATTTTGATGTATTGGATTCGTCAAGTTAGAAGTCCGATCAAGTGTCTCGTATTGATTATTGAAGATGTCTAGTAAGCGTGGTTAGTCTCAAAGCCTTTTTGTAGTAGAAACTAGGGCGATACTTTTCAAAAAACGTTCAGTTGCAAGCAAGAGTGGATGTGTATGGGAATGACAAGTGTTTATGGATGATCAACTTCTTCATTGTACAATAGCGACATTTCGGTATAGATACCTATACTGTTTTCAAGCATCAATTACTATCATCAATAAACACTTGTCATTCCCATTACTTACAACTTCTAGAATGCCTCTCAAACAGTGGATGTGTATGGTACAAGATACGTGCGTATCTTGAGAAACTGCGAGGTTTTAAGACTTAAAAATCGTATCACCAAAATTGTCAATATCTGACGCAACTAGGTCTTCATTACGTACCTTGGCTCTTACCCGTGAAGATCAGGGTTAAAATTGGTCTTCAGCATCCCATGCTTATCGTACAAGACTACTAACTGGATCCTATAGCCAGGCTCGCTGACTTCATAGATATACAGTGTCGTCCAAAAGGTATTCGGACACTTGACGTAATTTCCATAGACTTACATGTTAATTTAGTGTAGCATAAATAATTTTCATGAAAATCTGGATATGTATAATTAATCTACATAAAATAGTTGTAATTTTGCTATGAAATTTACTCACAAATCCCAAACATTGTTTCCAGCAGCTAAAACTTTTAGGTCTCGAGAACTCATTGGGTAACCAGCAACAAATGCTTACCATACGAGGCAACTTAATGGATCGGGACGTCAGGTTCACTGTAACCATTCGATCGTTTGTCGTTCATAATATCAATCACTGGTTTGCCTGGTCGAGAATCGTTTATTTACAGCCCGCCGTCATATATATGGAGTTTTGAAGCATTTGAACCTGTTTTTTCGGGGACGAACAAATTCCAGAAATTTCTTGAGACGACCCCCTATCTACATCGCTACACATTGTTGTGTTAATGTTTTAGGTTGTATGAATTATCGATCTGTTTCTTAATGTTTTTGTATAATAAGATCCAATACCATTAGTGGCCTCCGTAAAGCCGTCGGTTCTACTTTTAAAATAAAAAGTTTACAGTATTTTTTATGCTGTCTTAAGTTGCTGACCAACAGTTCTTAAGCTAGACCAATTTCGGGTTAGGGAGATCACAAAGGGGAGAAAGTATTCCGAATATAAACCTTTCCTACCAGTTGGGGTCGACAATGCCCGATCGATAGCATTACAGCATGAACCTTAACGTGCCTAGCCAGCAGCGTATGTAATATACCTGCAGGCATCATCTGTGGATCATTTAGTTCTTTCAACATAACGGCCAGCATACCCACAAAAACGTATGACTTTTTAACCTTTGCATCCACAACACCAGGTTAAACTTGCCACTCGCACTTGTACGTCACAATGGCACAACTGATGATTACGTCATGTTGAGAATGGGTGTTCGAATACATCAAGTAGTTGTCTTGCTTCAGACATAGGTAGGTAAATAGTCAGGTCGGGAACAAACAACCCAGTGACCACTAGGACTCTGACGGGTACTCGAGTACCCGGCAACGGGTCGGGTAAGGCAGGACTCGAGTCCAAATTCCAGGACTCGAGTATCCGACAAAGATAGATAACTCTAAACTAAACGTGACCACGTGCCATGGATGATAAAAGGTCGAACGTATGGGCCCATTTTGATCTTGACACTTCAAAACCAAGTGTCGCCTTTGCGGCATTATGATGAGTTATGCAAGGAGCTGAACAAGCTCAATGAGAAAACATCTTAACATGAAACACAAGTCCAACGATTCTTCCCAAAATCCAGTCAAAAAGCAAGCCACGCTGACGTAGGGATATTTGGGGGGTTACAACCGCAAAAAGCATACGAGCCACACTCACCTGCAAGGCCATAATGATGTGCGTTAGAGACCTAGCTCAGACCTTTGAACCTTGTTAAAGGTAATGGTTTTCGTGATTTTTGTCACTCACTGAATCCAAGCTATATCGTACCGTGTCCAAAGGTGAGGTGAGGTGAAATTGGGTTTAACGTCGTGCTTGAGGATATTTCGCCCATATGACGACGTGCATGCGTGTGTTTGTGTATGTGAGGCTGCTTGTACTAGCCCAGACGTAAGCATGTTTTATAGTGCTAGCCCACTGAGATATCATGCCACAGTGAAGCATGAATACCCCACTCAGACACATTATACTGACTCCTAGCCGACCAGTCACTCCAGTCCTTGTTGTACCCATTAATGCCGAGCGCCAGGCAGGGACGAACAAGTACCATATTTTAACGTCTTTTAGTATGACGCGGTCGGGAATCAAACCCGCGACCTTCCGCTCTCCGGGCGGACGCTCTAACCACTACACCACGGAGGCGGTCACTATGTCCAAAGACCATCCATAGTACCTTATGAAGGAATATGCCGACACCAAAACTCAGCTTAAGGATATTCTAAAGCAGTCCCCTGGCGTATCTTTGACAACAGATATGTGGACCAGCTGTGCCACCCACGGTTACATCACCGTCACAGGGCATTACATCACAGACGAGTGGGATCTAAAATCATGCATTCTTGACACTAGACGCGTGGAGGATCGTCCATGATGCACTTTGTTACAAAGCGCAATCTTTTTCAAAGAAATTCACATTTGGTATTGGTTAAACGAAATGTGGTTTAATAAATGTTCTGATTTTGACAATGGCTTGTTTTTTTTCTGAGTTTTGTTCTCTGCATTGTGGGTTCAACCTCATTGTTACCCCAGTCTCAAAGCTTTTCAAACTCTCGATTTCGTGTATTCATAATCACGTGTTGCGACATGTGACGCTATACCTCACATGAACTGGTTTCTGCTATGGGCTGTTTGCGCCAGTGCTCAGTTGAGTAATGTGGCCCTGCATAGACCGATGCTAGTCAAATAAGTCAATGATATTAGGTTTGTGGTTCGTCAAATTGATAACCACGCGTTTTAAGGAAAGAATTCGTGTAAGTTTTCAATTCAATACAGACGTTAAGTTATAACTTATAAGTGCGGCATTCTTGTGTGAAATTCCATTGAAAACTACCTAAAACAGACGCACGTACCTCTCACTAAAATTTATACTATATTTTTCGGGTACTCGAGTCCGGGTCGGGTTTTATCCCCCGGATACTCGAGTCCGCTTCTTGCTACCCGTCAGAGCCCTAGTGACCACTATTATGGGCAACAATCCACAGAGTCACCTGTTACAAGTATAGTTTACTGGGTACAAATTCTTGTACCAGAGATTACCTTCACACACAGTGCTCATGTGGGTTATTGAACCGGGTCTTTAATGTGATGCTTTTATCCTCTATTTATCCACAAGGGCACGGCCAAAACGTGCTATTTGTTCGGCCATATGATAACTTGAACCAATTCAGGATCAACTGAAAATCAAAATATTCCTTTTATCTAACATATCACGCTGATGACCCCTGTCTGGGCGTTTAGACCAGCCTCACCACATACTTTGCATCCTGTTTGAACGTTCATTCCACGTCAGACAGTGACCTAAACAATGGCAGCCAAACAAATATGTTAAATATAAGTATGCCCAATCTTAAACTCTATTCTCGGACGCATTGGTCTTCAGCAAACCATGTTTGTCTTAAGAGGCGACTAACGCGATCTGATCAAGCTCCCTGACATGGTTGACATGTCATCCAATTGGGTAAATCAATGCACATTATGTTAATCACTGGATTGTCTGGTCAAGGTCGATTAGTTACAGACCGCCACCACATACCTGGAAAATTGCCGAGTGTGACGTTAAACAAACAAATGCTCGAGTGGCATTTTATAACCATTCCAGAATTGTCCATATTTTATGACAGGTGTAAATGTGTTGTAAATGAAGGATAAGAAAGAAAGGTTGAGAAGGAAAGAAACCTATCAATTATATTTCTTGATCTAAAAGCCCTACAATATATTTAATAAAGAGGGGGGCGGAGTTGGAATGTGCCTTGGTAAGCAAAAACTGTCAGCATTTAAGTCCAAACGATATCAAGTTTTAAATGTCAAAATGAGACAACAGAATATATCGTTGATATAGTCTTCATATATATCAGTGACACTATACCAAAAATGATATATTCAACGGTTGTTTGGGCTTGGTTTAACAGTACTCAAGTTGTGTGTCAGAATAATATACTACTCACACTTTGCTAAGGATCACAAAATTTAGCCACTTTACTGAAACGTACATTTATAATTTGAAATTGTATCCATTTAAAACTGGATAAATAATGATATGGTAACTCATCTTCATGAAAACAGCCACTTTAATCTAACATTATGCATTTGAAACATGAGTAACCATACAAATGGTTTTCATGGCACCAACCAACCATTTTGCCAATAATGGCACGGGTCATTGACAAGTACACAACGCCTGTCAAAAGCAGGTATGGGATCCACAAGATGCAGTGACATACTGAAAACTTGGATCGATGCTTACAATTGGCGTGGCTATTTAAACCGAATTTGACCCCACATCATAGTTTTCTGTTGAATCAATGATCTGATCCTTAGCAAAGTGTGAGTAGTATATGAGCGTAAAGAGAATCTCATGCAGTGTGTGACCTGTACCACTTTCAGCTGTGGTCAAGTAAATAATGGTCAATGGTCGAGTGGTTTGTGAAGAAATTTTTATGGACTAATGGAATGCTGGGCTTTTTAAATTTTACTTTAAAAATATGAAAAACATGTTGGGACATCCGTTCAACTCAGCAAAGACGTTTCCAGACATGCCAAATGATCAAGTCCCTTTGATCTCCAGTCCAATAGAGTCTAACATCCAGCTCATAGTATGAAGAGTGTACAGGTTGAAAATGAGGTAAGAGGACTCTCGTGCAATGTGTGAGGCTCTTCTTAATTCCTTCCAGGGGCATTTGGTCAATATTAATGTTAAGATATCCTGGCAGAAAGTATTTGTATACTTTCTATCCATTCCGAAGCTTGGGGCTTTTGAGTAATGTATAAGCATGTTGTGTTGTGTATGTGCTAGTTCCTAGTGGTGTCTTCTTCGAATCAGTATTCTCACAATTTGCATAATTGCTCATCTTGAGCGTAAAGGCTTAACCCAAATATAATTGGAGATATACTTATATTGGTCAGGTTTTTCAGTCCATTCAAAAGGGGCAATAGCCATACATTAAGAGATTTAACCATTTGTATTATGGACATTTTGTTGTACAATGCCTCATTCTTTCATGACACAGAAATTACTATTGATAGGAACTGTGTATGTATTTATCAGTTCCTCTCTTGCATGTCTGATGATAAATATGAGTTTCTTGTGAAGAAATTTACAGAATCATCCATAACATGAATGACTTCCCTTCTATCAAGATCATTTATCTGTGGATTCATATGGAGCAATAAATAGAACATTCCTACAGCCATTACCTTCCAAGTGTGTTCATTCCTAATTCCTGCCAGAAACCTTGAGATGAAAATGTATGTGTGGAAATGTTAACCTGTCATATTACAGTGTCTAATCAAAAAACAATGTCCACTTAAACTGTTCAGCAAAAACGATTGTCGGAAATTAATATTCCTTCATTTAGATGAATCAGTCAAAATGTATTGAACTATGCACTCTTCATGCAAATGGCTTAAGTGAGTTATGATTGTAATCCCACTATTTATCCATCAATAGCATAAAGTTATCACAATCTTCACATGTTTACTTAAATCCACATTTCAAAGGCAACAAAATACAAATCTTAGTTCTCAGGCAATGCCAAATTATTCAAACACTCACACACAGTATCACAATTCTGTTTAGAATTCCAGTTATGAATGAACAAGGATATGCATATGAAATCAACACATTTTACTACACCAATATTTCCAGTGGCCGTGGACATGTTCAAACAGTGATTAGACACTGTAGACAGCTGAACTGTGGCGTACAGGTTGTCAGAGCTGCACCGTCATGTTATCACTACAGTAACACCTGGATCAACAATGGGGCTGCTTGGGCACAAAGTCATATCTCAGGAACCTAAGATTTATTCAGTTTATTTGATGTGAATATTACTCAAACTTAACTGACAGCCATGCACAACACTGATGTACGGCAATTATTACAACTTTCGTTTTGCAAGAAAAAAAACAAGACAAATGAAATTTTATGGTGAGGTGAAACAGTATTATGCATCTTTATCAAGCAAAGGATAGATGAAACATTAATACTCGCAAAAAAAAAAAAAATATTGGGTACATGCCAATGCTTTATCCAAACAGTATAACCCGTATCAGCATTATTGAGTACCCCTCTCAAAACTTCTCTACTCCAGCATACAGCATCTTAATTAATAGTCTTAAATAGATCTGCTAGTCGCTTTCCAGTTATGACAAAGCTTCCGATCTGACAACAGTTATCCACATAAAGTCAACAATGGGCAACAGCAATGACACACTGACTACACAGGATAATAACAATCCAAGCAAAGCCATTTTAGCTGTGATGTCATGAAAGTATCTTTGGTTGTACCCAAGATGGTAGTTCCCCAGCAGATGACAGGCTTAAGCATTAGCTGAATTTCGGTCCTACATTTGGGTGGCAACACAAGCAGACATTCATCTCATGGCTAGGACATAGTAACAAGTGAAGTGCACACAGCAACATCAAGGTCTGGTTTCTTGGACATTATTATCAAGGATCTGGTCACAAACTAGAAAGGGGAATTAAAAATTCTTGGTCCTTACTAATTTGTTTAGGAAAATCTGTGCAACAAAGTGAAATTTAGAGTTTTCATGACAGCCGTGACTGAAAACTGATGAACAGTGGTCTTGTCTGATCTCACCAGAAGGGGGCATACTGTGTGGATCCAAACACATATTGCTTTATATGCCAGCAGTCACAGATTGGAGGGGGCAAAATAACAGAGATGTCAAAGCACATGTAGCAAACACATTTACCACACAATCAAAATTCACAAGGCAACAGCTTAACCTGCCTTTTCTGGCATTAAAATGAAACGAGACAGGGAAAAGTATAAAAAATTCAGCTGATCACTACACTTCTGTGACATCTCTGACAGATCAAAACAAAATGACTTCATCAGAAGAGCACAGTTGGTAAACAACTTCACTGATTGGTAAATCATAATACCCAACCACTCATGAAATAAGTAGATTCTGCCAATAATGTTCACAAAAAAAGTAGCTGCAGTCTGCATAATAACTGACATCATCCTTGTAAGTAATACATACATACATACAATGAATATGTATATCTATGTTATGTAGGGCTAATAGTGTACTTTTGGTAAAGCATGCTTCTGTTTAGACAATATTTTGAATTTCTATCTAATTTCCAAACTGACCCTATGTTCAAAAATGCTTAACACATGTTTGTCCGATTTCCAATTTATTATTATTTAAGTGCCACAATAATATCAATAATGATAGATTAACAAGAGCAGCTTGCATACTTGGAAAGATAGACGATGCATCAACACCACAAGAAGTTCTGAGATTACAGGGGAAACTACTATGTACTTACGCCAGTAGTGGATAACTACGATAGACTAGAATCAGTAAAGGATTACAAACATACACAATAACATATAAAAACACTTTTTCTGTTAGTTCCAATCCAAAACTCAGGTGACCATTGTATCAACAGCTCTAGCAACACAAAGGAAAATAAGGAGAAAGTGAACAAGTTGCCCAGTTCAAACTCGGTAATACAGAGTACATACATTAATGAATAATTTCTGGGCTATCTTCATCATCACCATCATCATCATCATCAATGCGATCTGACCATGTTCTACCTGTCAGCTGCAATGTTGTACTAATTATTGTAGATAAGTATGTATGTAAGTATGTATGCAAGGCTGAGTGAAGACTGTAGGATCAGTAATGACTGATGACGATGGATTCACATCAAGAATAGACACATGAGATGTAGCGCTGCAGAGATAATAAAAAAAAATTCCACATCAGATACAACTTTCGTTTCCATTTTCTGTTTCACAAAGCCTGGGCACAGTAAATCATTTCACCTCAAGTTTATCTCAATTGAACCATGACATATTCTTAGTTATCAGCGTACATGGAAATAAATGACATTGAGCTTGACTGTCTGCTGTATAAAAGTGACCAACGCAATGATCAACGAATCAATCCTAAATGGCGATGGATCCTGCAGTGCCTGAGATGGCAAACCAACAACTGTCTATCTGTCTGCATGTCTTGTCTTAATGTCCATCAGAGTAAGTGCGCGCTGCAGTCACCACTACCTCCCCCTCCCAGCCACCTTCCCTCCCTCATGCCACTGGCAGCAGCAGCTGCAGACGGCCAACAAAGCTAGGCTGGATCTGTCTCACTGCTGATCGTGCTGTTCACCCATTTCTCCATCATCTCCTTGTGCATCAGAGGTCCACAGCTGAAACAATGATCATTACTCAGTATAGTCTTCCAAAAGTACACCGACAGGTTATTTCATTAGCACAACATTTTCAACCAATAAGACCCTATTGGTCTAAGGCAAACCCTTGCAAGTGAGCAAAAGACATAATATATCTTGTTTTACAACCTACTGACTTTTAAAGAAATCCATGGAGGATTAGGCCAACAAAACCATTAGCTTCGTATGTTAGTAAATAACTGTCACTAAGCATTTACTCATTCACAACAGTTGTTTGCTATAACAAGAAAGTTCAGGTAAGCATTCATGCCAAAGCTTTATAATGTTAACAGCTGAAGTATTGTCTAATAATAACACTATCTCAAACCAGTTAACTCAAAACACTTCTAGTGTCCTCCAAAAGCTAGCAAGCCCTCAACATGAAACTCAGAGCTGTCAGGAGCTGGAACTTCATGGCCCCTGTGTATACATATTATCTGTTCAAAATTAACCATGCTCAATCTTCTTTGTGCTGACTACTCCTTTTTCACACCTGTTATTATTGAAAATGCAGGGTATTTACTGTAATATATTGGTAGTCAATCTAAAATACATTAATCATTGGAACTTTGAGCGCCTTCAAGCTTTAGGCATCTACAGGATTAGTGGAGTTTAGTTTTACACCGCACTCAACAATATTCCAGCTATATGGTGGCTCAACAATATTCCAGCTATATGGTGGCGGCCTGTAAATAATCGAGTCTGGGTCCCGTTCCTCAAAGCGATCGTAGCGCTACGACAGTTGTAAGTCTATGTTAAAGTACGGGAGTTACGATCATTTTAGCGCTACGATCGCTTTGAGGAACGGGGCCCTGGACCAGACAAAGCAGTGATCAACAGTATGACCATCGATCTATGCAGCTGGGATATGATGGCATGTGTCAGCCAAATCAGCGTGTCTGACAAACTGATACCATTAGTCGCCTCTTACGACAAGCATTAGTTACTGAAGATCAGTTCTAACTTGGATCTTCACGGGTCACAAGAACTAGTGAATGCATGCATATTACAATACACAATACTACTCACCGTAAGGTTATCTCTGAGAAGCTGCATTATCAATGTGCTATCCTTATAAGACTCTTCTGAAAGTGTATCTAACATGGCAATAGCTTCATCAAATGCCTGAAATAAAGGAGAAGAACTACAGTGTTCGGAACAGTAGAAATGTAAACGTAGACAAGAAAATCTTTGAAAATAATGATAACAAGTCCCCTAAAACGTCATAAATCATAAATTTAGGGAAACAGCCTGAAAAGAGAATGCTGAACAAGAAAATCTGTTATGAAGAAAAGAGCTTGATCACAGCCCTTCCCAAACCGGTGAAGGCTAATCTGAAATCTATCTGAATTTCCAGCAATTTTTATCATCTCAAGATGGTCAGAAACCCATATACACTGTAACTGTTAAGGTACAGCCCTAAGCAATCCCTGATTTAATAAATTCATAGACAAAGTTAAGTGAACCTTTTCCTAAATAGACAGCACTTGCTGCAAAGATTAATATTAAGATAACCTTTGTGGACTGAAGGTTACACCCAAATACATGCAAGATCAGTGTTTAATAGACATGGGAGGCAACTCATATATGGCAAAGATCTTTCTCATTCAGAAGACATTAATCAAGTGTCTATTTCTCTTCTCTTGGTGTCAACATTTCTAATATTGGGAGTCATGCTCATAGCTATTGTCACTCTTTCAAAGCCAGTTAACCAGAAACTTTTACTGTTCTGACACCCAAGTTCCCAGAGACTCCATGGTGATAGATGAAGTATATTTATCAATGAAATTATCTTCTCGAACATTATAGCTACTACATTCCATACACAATTTGTGAGGTCTATTCCTATTGTTAATAAATATGAAAGTTATTTTTATCATAGTATTAAAATAATAGCACAACAACTTGGTTTCTAATTACACTTTTCATGTGGTAATCTCCTATATGGCAGTAAATCACATTACAGCTAATGTTCAATTCATTCATTTAAAAATTTGCTCAAAACATTGTTATTTTGCTCGTTGACATTTTAGATGTGGACCCATTGCCTAAGGATGTGTCTGAGAAATTTTTTTTGGGTAATTACATTACAGAAAACAGTTACTCATTCTAAATCAGCAGATAAAAAATGGGGAATTGAAATGTAATTTAAGTGTTGTCAGTCACTGTGACAGATTTAATAAATGAATCATATGACAGGAAGGTTACTAAAATTATATATCACTTTGATGTGAGAACGGCCTGGCTGGTACACTGGCTTTTAGGGTCTGGGGACTAGTCATTGGTTGAAAAGAGTTTAACAGCAATGATTAAATATTATGACAATAAGTTGACTTTGAATTGATTTTATCTAGCAGAGTTTGTTTGCTGTTTAACGCTGCACTCAGCAAATATTCTGGTTATATGGCAGTGGTCTGCAAATAATCAATTCTGGACAAGACAACCCAGTGATCAACAGCATGAGCATCGACAAACACAATTAGGATACAATGACATGTGTTAACCAAATCAGCGAGTCTGACCAACGGATCCTGTTAGTCGCTTCTTATGACAAACATTGGTTGCTGAAGATCCATTTTACCAGGATCTTCAAGGGTTATATCTAGCAGTTAACAGAAATATCATGTACAATGCTGGACACATATGTTAACACCATTCCATTATATTGATACTGTGGACCCGTTGCCCACCAAGTGCTATTTTGAATTCAGTTTGAATGACAAGCCTAAAACTTGTCTGACTATATTTGGACTATACAGCTGGGTTTTTTTCATCATGGTAAACCATCAATTACACTTGCCAAAGTTTATCATATTTACAGTTTAGCCAGTTCAGATGATAGACCTTTCTTAAACAATTCAAGAGTCTGGAGATGCATACAGTTTCATTTCAAACTTTAACCATTCTGTAGTTACCATACAGTAAACCGACAAGGTTATGCAAAACAAATAGGTGGTGCAGATGTTGAATTGAATAAAGACACGGTCTAATCATAAGACTTTCCAATTATCATATTGATTCTGCCATGTCATTCATCCACACTGTATGTCCCAAAACAACTTGTTTTCCTTATTCACGTTTTAAATGATCTTCTTGGTGTGTATGCAAGAATCCTCATACTTACACTTTTCGCTAATTGACAAGCCTTTTCTGGATTGTTGGCAATTTCATAGTAAAATACAGAGAAGTTTAGAGCCAGTCCTAATCTGATGGGATGAGTTGGCTCCATTTTCGCTGCAGCCGTCTCGTTTGCTTCCTTGTAAGCTGTTTCAGACTTATCTACGATAACTGCAACAAAGTAAATAAACAAACCATATAATTGTTAGTCTGACCATATTATGTTAATGGTTTTGTAAAGGAAATTAGGGGTGTACCTGTTCAAGCTATGTGATACAGCGTTTTAGATTGGGGACCCCAAAAAGTTAAACACTGGAGTTTTGAACCGTGAACCATATTTTCTTGATTGTAGTGGGCACACAAGCATAATGCACTGCACTGCCCTCCACCTCTAAAGGATTCGGTATTTCAGGGAGAGAACAACAAAAAAAAATCAAGCACACAAAGCCACCAACGCAAGATCCTCTCAGTGAAATCAGGCACAAAGGAATAAGTAGTAATAAACTTGCTGAAAAAAGATAACTAATTTGACATCCCAAGACAGTTTTTTCTTATCAAAATGTACCTTCTGTTGTTAGCCAATGATATATGCAGAGATTTAGATTACTGTGCGTATTGTTTCGTACACTTATAGCAGAAGTAGCAATCACCTTCACGTGCCCTTTTCGTCATCTACTGGTGATTCGCTAAAACATACTTCAAATAATTTTAGTACAAATTTTGAAAGAAAAATATGTTTCAATATTGGGTAATTTGATTTGCAGTGTTTAATGGATATTTTTTCAAAAGGACTATAAGCAAAGCACCTTGGTAAGACTGATTTCTATTGTCCTTTAAGTTGTTTGTAGGGAACAATTTGACGATTTACTGTCAAGGTACCCACAGTATCAAACTGCAATAAATATAACTTTTGACGAGTCAAAGTATGGCATTTAGGACAAATTCAGATAACTTCACACTTGATTTTGCCAAAATTAAATATTAATGTAGGCACTGAATGAAAATCTGAATAAAATTTATACAATAGATAAAATGAAAAGTCCAGGTATAGGATGAACAATTTTATACAGTGTAAGATGATTAAAATGTGTACTTGAGTATAGATTTGTTAACAGGGTATTTCCAATGTTATGTCCAAGGAGGAATGTTGTATTGGCAAAAGAAAACTGTCACTATTGTGGCGTGTACTATAACACACTCTTAATCTAAACAGCTGGGTGATTTGGTCTTTTTAAAATGTATGATATAGTCATGAAAATACTGTTACATCATTGTAAACAATACCAATACAATAGGGCCCATAAGTAGGTCACGGCACTTTATGAGACCTTAGTGCTTCTGGTGACAATGTTTCATACCTTTTCGAATGGTCTCATGGTTGTCAGTTGATAGTAATGAACCGATCATCCTTGCAGGAATAACAAATTTCAAATCTAACCATCCCCAAATTAGCCAACTATTACGACTGTCAACAGCTGTGAAAGCCAAGCATGGTTCCAGTCTAGCAGGGGTGGAAATAACCATTGCACGACATCCGAGTCCAGTGTTTTTTTTCTGTCGGGCAAGCAAATTTGTATATCACACTGTACCGGTGTCCAGTTGACTTTCCAATGTTAATTATGATGTTTGTTTCAAAAAATCAACAAGAAAATGTCCGGTATAGTGGAAAAATTATCAGGGCAAGTGATTTTACATGTGCCACTGTTCCAGAGTACACTAGCAATTTTAAAGTTATTTCCACCCCTGTCTAGTAAAGTCATATTTGGCGGTCGTGCAATTTACAACCAGAACTGATTCACGAATATACACCTGTGACTGGCAAGCTGGTACAGGAAGTAAGCTGGGTATCGCAAGTTGGCACACGCAAAGGGAGCCTGGAACTAGCTTAGTACCAGAAGTAGCACCTCGCAAGACTTATCAAACTGACCAAAAACTAAAACTGACCAAAGCAGAAATGGATGAGAGTTGTACAGAATATTATAGTATTTACTACTTCATTTTCCTTACTCAAACTTATTAGTCAACATGTTCAACTTGACCCATTTATTAACTGTGCACAGGATTTGACCACAGGGGCGTGTAACGCTAAAAACTGCCATCAAGGTATATACTGTCACTAACGGGGTCTTAGTACTATATAAAAGGAAAGGGATGTAACGAGGTCAACACACCAGGTTCGTTTCGGGGTGAATTCAACAATACTCACTGTATTTATCCCATTTAAAGTATGCACATATTTCAAGCAAATAGATTACTGAAAAGACCCTATTAGTGACAGTATATACCTTGATTGCAGTTTTTAGCGTTACAAGCCCTTGTGGATTTGACAAGAAAGTGTTACAAAATTATTTTTTGTTTACTTCACTGATGACGAGGAAACCATTTGATATATATGTTAACTCACCTGCCCTGTCTTCCCCTGACCTGACTTCGGCCAAGTACCGGTAGTAATCCCCCTTCATTTTCATATAGAAGACCCGACTATCATTCTTGTTGTCTTTAGCATTGCCAGCCTTCACGTCAGAGGAATCTTCTTTTGTCTGGGGTATTAAGTGTTTATCCAGCAATTCCTGAAATGAACACAGAAAAATCAATGGTTACTAAAATGAAAGTCTTAGTTTTCTTTTTCCCTGCAACATTTTAGCTGGCAAGTTTTCTCCTAAAACCCTGAAGTCACCAACATGTTTGCAGTAATCTGATGGAGTAAACATAAGTGATACAAACACAAAAGTAGGAAATACCTCATCTATGTTCAACAGAATTCCTTTAATGAGAGGAACCAACCTTCATTAGGCCCTAGTGATGGTAAAGGTCATATACATTGATTCAAAGAACAAAAGTAGTTTGTAGAACAAAAAGTTCCTCTGTAGTGAAGATACTTACGTATATCTTCACTACTGAATTTTGGTTTAACAAGACTGACAGCCTTATTTAATGAGCTTGTTAAGCACAGATACTTGGACAGATACTTAAACCTTTGCCTGAATCCAAACATCTTCTTTTGTGTAGAAGGGTGATAAAGTAAATCTTGCTTTACAGTGAATCCCTGAGTTTAACTAGCATGTCAAGAGTTCCTATTCTTCATACTAGTCATAGGCTGAAGTTTGTGTTGCATATACAATTAAATTTGACTTTATCTAATTGAAATAAGTTGTTAACCCAAGAGTAAGTGTTCATTTTTTAATATGTGGCATCATCGTATATTTCCTATCAGCTTGCAGCAGTTGGGCAGGTTTCCAAATCAAATCAAGCATTCACATAACAAACATATGCAAGTGTGTTATTACTAAAACTTAGAAACATACATGTGACAAGTTACGATGCATATTCCAGACTTCAATAGTGTTTCAGCCTGATTACCCTTCAGAATGAGATCTTATTGCAGTGGGAGAGGCATCAAACCTTGGAAGTTCACAGCAGATTAACAGTAAAAGTGTTCAGCTACCTCATTTGGAAAACCTTTTTAACGCTTTACATGAAGCGATGTTTGGAACTGCAGACCCCAATGCCTTGGGGATTTTTCAGGAAGCCATCATGAAATGCAATGAGCCAGGGAAAATTTGGGAAGCCAAACTTCAAGATTAAAAGTTAGTTTACATTAAATGTAGCAAGAGTATTTCATAAGTTGATTAACAGATCTCTTTCCTATCACTCAGCAATGGCCAGTCTAACATTCCTGCAAGTCGCTGTCATTTTCTTAACATGCTATTCAATAATAATGAACGTTAGAATTGAATATCCATGATTTTTCAAAAATAGTGTTAAAATAGAAGCCATCACTCTCATATGATGGATCTGACAGTGATGTGGTCACTGGAGTGATAAATTAACATGTGTAAGGATTTTGTCATTGTTTCGCTAATATATTCAATGCATCAACTGCTCACTTGCTACTGTAATCATTAACCGATATTTATGATACATTTCATATTTGCCTCAAAGTGGATTCATTGCAGCCCTAATATACATATGCCTCTTTACAATTTTAGGAATTAAAATCACATAGCTAATGTTACTGCCATATTGCAATGAAATTTCCAATCTGTAATTTACTGCATGTAAGCATTGACAGATTCTTACACCAAGCAGTGAACATAACTGCAGACTTTGCAAACAAATATTAGTTTCTTTACTGGGTAGGAGTCAATAGATATTGTTTGCACTCATATCCTTCAGATAACAGGTAATTCTTACAACACTTGTCAGCTTTATCAGCTGAGCATCATAATAACTATTCCTGCCTGTCCTATTTCTTACATCAGTTGCACATTTGTATGCATATTTCTGTACCACTGCACAGGTTGTAACAGCAGAGAATTTGAACTGTTTGAGAGGCTTTCTAAAAGTTGTGATCAATAGGAATGACAAGTGTTTATGGATGATTAACTTCTTTAGTGTACAATAGCGACATATCGGCACAAATATGTATACGGTTTTCAAGCATGATGATAACCGAAAACGGTATAAGTATCTATACCGAAGCATCGCTATTGTACAATTCACAAGTTGATCATCCATAAACACTATGGTACACAATGTCATCAAGATAGCTTATTTTCAATGGAACATGGTGGTGTATGCTTAGTAACCTAGAAAATGTCATACTCCAATTATTTCTTATAGTTTTATGGGACATGACATATATCAATTAGCACTGATGAATGCCAGTTGTCTTTTAGCAAGATTGTAGCTGTCATTAAAGGCATAAGGGGGGCAACTCTACCTAAGGCAGTATCCTATTTTGCGGTATGATATGTGTGGAATATGTCCTTTACATCACCTCTTGTTATGAATTATGCACAATAATTTCACATGTGGCCACGTTAACTGTGATACTGGTAAGAGTTCCTCCCGTTCCCCCATCCCAAATAATAAGTATAAATATTCTAGAATTATAAACAAAGCTTAACACAACAATTACTAGAGAACTCACAAAATGATGAAATGTCCAAAATTTAAGTTAGGGCTAGGTTTATGGTTAGGTTTAGAGTTTGGGGAACGGAAGGAACTCTTTCCGTGATACTACACAGAAAAGGGTAATGTGTTCAATAAAGCAATGAAACAGTGTGTTTTGTTTTCACACAAGAAAACATCCAACAGGAGATGTAGAACACAAGATTTCCTGATACTATGATAATAAAGTCAAGTCAGATTATTACACAAGATTCAGTTCAAACAACAACATGATATGCACCGGTTCCTTCCAAATGGGTTTCTTATCGTTAGTAGCAATACTATTTAGACAATTACTGACACAGGACCAACTAATAGCTTGAAATCAGACAGAAAGTCAGGTCTCAGTCCCCTTGAGGAAATGGGTACAACACCTCTCACAACGTCCAAGTATGACATTCCTACAGACGTACTCATTGTGAATTGAAATGGAAGCAGTATATATATTGTGATTCGCAAACTGAAACATTTGTATAATCCTCTAAATACAAGGATACAAATGTCATTTCGATTTAATAAAGCAAGAATGATATTTTAATGCCGATTTACAAGGAAACCTCCGCCCAAAAAGGCGTTGCCATAGAGCACCTACCAACACTTCCTCACAGATTTTTTTCAGCTCCTCTTCCACTTTAGTTCGGTAGGTTCTTGCCATCCCTTGCTTTCTTTCTGCACCTTCTCCTCCTGCCATATCACCTTTCTGTTCGATACTACTAATGACCCTCCATGCAGAACGGCGTGCACCAACGACATTTTTGTATGCCACGGATAGCAAGTTTCTTTCCTCGTTGGTAAGAATGTCAGATGTCTTGCCTGTGCAGCACTCCACGCACTGTTTCATCGCTGCTGCCATGTCATCATACCTTTCAGCTTGTTCAGCTATTTTGGCCTTTTCAACAAACTTCGCTTTTTCAGTACCCATTTTGACACTCTTTGGCAATGTTAAGTTTCAACTTCGGCAGACAGAAATTATCAGAACTGCTTCAAAATGGCGGATGGCGGGCCCTACTTTCGGCTGTCAATGACATAATGTATCACATCGCTCGGATTAATACTTTCGAAAGAAAAAAATGATAAAATAGCCAAATTATTGCTGAAGTGTTACAACACGATATCAAAATACGTAATACTAATCAACTTATCAACATTCTGTCTAGTATCATATCTATAAAATTTGGAACTATATTCCCTATTTACATCACTGGTTTGCAAGAGTTATCTACCCTTAGATTCCTGCGCCATTATGGGGAATACAGTCGCTTTCCCAGGGTAGCCTTGACGTCATTGTCTCCATGCCAACCAAAGAGGCAGGGATAACACATCCCTATTAATATGATTTAGTTTGTGTTACTTAAATAAATACCCATTACTATATACGTTTCGAGGCACATTGCTACATGAAGTTAAAAAATTGTAAAAGTGGGTCATGAAAGTTCCCATAACCCAAAGCAAGCACTTGTCAACTTCCGGTTATTTTGACCACATGGTTGAACTGCGAAAATGCCGAAATCGAAACGTGATCGGAAAGGTAGATTTTCCAAGTTATCAATGGGACAACGAAAGTATGATCAGGCGTAATGTTAAGCTTATCGCCAGAGATGATATGATGAAAGAAAGAACATGTTTAAGGACTATAATTTGGGACAGTATGACTTGCCACCGCTTGATTTCAGTTACGTTGTGACATGAGGCAGTGTTTTGTTTAGGTAGGGGTTGGGTTGGTTTGTTAATGCGAATGCACTAAAAAACATTCTTTATGAAATTGACTTTATTTCGATTAATTCAGCAAAGGGTAATATTACCTGGATCGTGCACAACATTGTTCTCCAAGTACAAAGAAAACACGTTTAAAGTCCATGTCTGGTGATCAAGTAATAGAGCCTAACCAGATCAAGTGCATTGTTGGACTGACTGACTGAGTTTAGTTTTGCCCGCTTTTAGCAATATTCCAGCAATATCACGGCGGGGACACCTTGTGCCCACAACCGTCTTGCATTGGCTACCCCACCGGCATTGCTGGAAACTAAGCAAGGGAGTCTAGGGCTCCTTTTCGTTACCTTACTGTTAAAAAAGATTCAAATACTGTAGCAGGAAACCTGAGGACTCACAAACAGTTCCAAGCACGACTTCTTCAGTCATCTGTATGAGTATGGCTGAAGGGGTCGTTGTAGGCACAGGTACTACATATATGCACCCTGGTACATTTCTGTATACAGTAATGTACCCTAAACAAAGTCAAAATACAGAAACGTACCTGGCACCTTACACGGACGAGTCCATATTTCACAAACCGAAACCGTATGTAGTTGTTCCCATTCAACTTATTGCAGATGTTATTGTGCTCCGCGAAATATTCGTTACTGGGTATGGTCGTTTCTTATAGAAGGCAATCAAATGCATCTAATTACAACCATATGACAGTTCCAATCAAGAAAACAACACACTGCGGAATGGGATCGTCATTCCCATCACATCTGCCAGTGGCAAAAAGAAAATCTGAAGTGTTCATTCTTCTGATGCCATTATAGAAAAACCAAAAACCTTTAAGTTGATGGGCCTAATTTTAACATTAAGTGAGCTTATCTCTTTGTACTTAGGGAGCCATGAAGTGCTGAGTCTTCAGAGATACCGAACTTTGCTGTACAAAATTGTGTCGCCCCCCAAAATATGACTGTTGGTTTGAGTTTTTTCATCCTAAAGTGGTAAATATCTGAGACCCACATTACTTCATGTTTTCCTTCCCCATGAAGTTGACCAACCATGATATAATTGGAATACAGTTAAACCCATCTCACTTGCTAACGGTCATAATATTTCAATGAATCTATGGTAAATCAAGAGAGAAAGGTTGTTAATGAAAAGAGGTAATTTGTATTTTTCAGTTTCCTTGACACAGACAAGAAAAAAAGGATTAGAACTAAAGCAGAAACTTGTTGAAGAGGTATGTATTTTGTTTACTGTGTTGTATTATCAGGATGAAGGATCACCACTCACTCACCCACCCAAGTTGCCAAGTTCATGTGCTGAAGCTCTCAATATATGTCAGTTATTTGATCTATCCTCAGTAACCTCCAAGCTAAGATTTGAAATTCTTTGTACGTGTGTAAGATCAAATTTATTGAGTATTTACAAAATTCAAGCGTACTTGTATGCAACAGAATGTATGCAATAGGAATTGAGTTTCCACATAATTATTTGTGTAATTTACGTAGATACGGAGCTTATCCGTACCTCTGCTCGCTTGCTCCTCCCTCCCTCACTCACTCACCCATTTGCTCTATCTGTCATAATTATGAGCTGAAATGTTTTTAACCCCTGGATCCATTCCCACGTCTTTGGCAATGTCAGATTGCATACCCTTGATTTCCATAGGCCAATAGGATTGGTAATACTACTAGGTCAAACATACCAATCAGAATGCAGGTTACAAACAAGCTGTAAAAAACAGTTTGGCAGGCAGTACAACTGGTTACTGGGAAAATCAATATTGAAAAACGGACCGATGCACAACGGATAACCCAGAAAATTCTTTCAGATGGAATAAGTGATTTCATGTCCATAATGACTGACAGTAGCTCTGATTTCTGATGAACTATCAACTGAGCCAGCCTTAACTGCAACCTAAACTGACATGTAACCATTCACTGTTCCTTTCTGGAGCTCTGACAGCTAAGTGGCAAGCTTATTGCTCATGCTGCTGGAAGTTACAGTGCCCAGTCTGGAGTCCCTTTGGCCCACCCATGCAAGGCTTCTCAATCTGCTGTGCAGAGTTACATCTCTTGAGCACACTAAAAACCTATATGACCGTGTGTTTAAATCCTGGTTTGTCCCCATTATGTCTCAAGATGTTATGAATGTCTGAAAACTGTATGCTTTCTTCCCACGTAAAGCTGTCGTAATATTACTGAAATGTTGTTCAAAGCAGCTTCAAACCTGACTCATTCCAGGGGCAGATACAACTTTTTGAGAAAGGGAGGGTGCTCACTCTTGAGAAATGGGGGGTGCACACTTCATTTTCACCCATTTCAACAGGTCATTTAATAAACTTTCAGGACAAAAAAGGGACAATATTCAGCACAACTCTTCAGCTACTGTGATGTTTGGGAATTTCAGCCAGTATGAACTTCACCAGAAAGACTTTGGTTAAAGTTGATGATAAACTGATGGGTACTTTCATCATTTCTGGATCAAATAACCATTGACTCAAAATTTCAGCTTTGTTTTGTTCACCCAAATTTTGTTCTCTTATTTTTCAGATTCGGGATACCGTTGACCGATATGCTAGAATATTCACATTTTCCGTACAAAATATGCGGAACATTCAGTTGAAAGATGTGCGACAGGAATGGAAACACAGTCGGTCAGTACTTGAATAATAATTAAACAACTGTGTTCTGCAGCATGTGAAAAAATGAATGATGTAAACAATGAACAGTTTTCTTCAGTGTCTTTCTTTAGGCTTGCATTCAGTGCATTTCACAAATTATTCTGTTATACATTTCAGAAACTTGACTTGCCTTTCTTTTTGCAGTTAGAATGTAATTCATGTTACACTTTTGTCCCTCAGAAATGTTCATTACACAAGACAGTGTTGTGGATTATACCACATGCTGTTATGCTTTGTTATCTTGAAACAGTGTACCGTGGTATTAGTAGAACCACAGGATTTTGCCTTTGGTTCGGTATACCATAGGGGCTGTCGGGTAGCCTAGTGGTTAAAGCGTTGGCTTGTCACACCGAAGATCCAGGTTCGAATCCCCACATGGGTACAATGTGTAAAGCCCATTTCTGGTGTCCCCCCTTGCTGGAGTATTGCTAAAAGCGGCGTAAAACCAAACCATAATGCAGTCCAAAAATTCGGTGTTTTGAATACTGTCATTTCTATCTAGTCATAAAATGACAGTTTTATTCATTTAAAATAACAAAGATTATTGTTATTTTTTCCCCATGTTATTAAACAATGTAAGGTTTGGCTCTTCTTGACAACTACCTGTTTGGGTTCGGCGGGGCTTACAAAACTGGTTTTGGATTTTCTTTTCCCTGGTCGCTTACACCGATCTATCAACAAACGAAAATCTGCATAAAACACAAATATTTGACCTGCAATATATACGCTTCTGGGTTTCTATTGACATGGTTACTATTTGCTTATATTTTCGCAAGATGACATCTTTGAATATTGACAAAAACGCTATTTTTAACTGTACTGTTGTCATGGCATTATTCTAACCCTGTGCTGTTAGCATGGCATAATTCTAACCCTGTGCTGTTGTCATGGTGTTATTCTAACCCTGTGCTGTTGTCATGGCATTATTCTAACCCTGTGCTGTTGTCATGGTGTTATTCTAACCCTGTGCTGTTGTCATGGTGTTATTCTAACCCTGTGCTGTTGTCATGGTGTTATTCTTACCCTGTGCTGTTGTCATGGTACTTATTCTAACCCTGTGCTGTTGTCATGGCATTATTCTTACCATGTATTGTTGTCATGGTGTATTTCTAACCCTGTGCTGTTGTCATGGCATTATTCTTACCATGTACTGTTGTCATGGTATTATTCTAACCCTGTGATGTTGTCATGGCATTATTCTTACCCTGTGCTGTTGTCATGGTACTATTCTAACCCTGTGCTGTTGTCATGGCATTATTCTTACCTTGTGCTGTTGTCATGGTACTATTCTAACCCTGTGCTGTTGTCATGGCGTTATTCCTAACCCTGTGCTGTTGTCATGGTGTTATTCTAACCCTGTGCTGTTGTCATGGTGTTATTCTAACCCTGTGCTGTTGTCATGGCATTATTCTTACCATGTGCTGTTTGTCATGGTACTATTTTAACCCTGTGCTGTTGTCATGGCATTATTCTTACCATGTACTGTTGTCATGTTATTCTAACCCTGTGCTGTTGTCATGGCATTATTCTTACCATGTACTGTTGTCATGGTACTATTCTAACCCTGTGCTGTTGTCATGGCATTATTCTTACCATGTACTGTTGTCATGGTACTATTCTAACCCTGTGCTGTTGTCATGGCATTATTCTTACCATGTACTGTTGTCATGGTACTATTCTAACCCTGTGCTGTTGTCATGGCATTGTCATTTGTACTATTCTAACCCTGTGCTGTTGTCATGGTGTTATTCTAACCCTGTGCTGTTGTCATGGCATTATTCTTACCCTGTGCTGTTGTCATGGTGTTATTCTTAACCCTGTGCTGTTGTCATGGACATGTCTTAATATTGTCAAGGCACTGTCATAGCATGTTCTGATAAGGATATGACACCATTCTAATCTACTCCTGTTCTTTCACAGGTTTTTCTTTGGCAAGAACAAGGTGATGTCTCTGGCTGTTGGTCAGACCAGTGAGAACGAATATCGAGACAACCTTCACAAGCTCAGTCTTCAACTCCGAGGGCAAACAGGATTGATGTTCACCAACAAGACAAAGAAACAGGTTTTGAAGTGCGGAATATTTCAAGTACTTTTAGATTGATGTTGCAAATGTGCCACACGACTCTCACAAAGATAATTCAGGGTTCCCTTTTTGGTATTGAAAGGTAGCAACAACAACAAGGATACATTTAATGCGTCCTCAAGCCTGGTGAATGTCATTTATCTATAAGGTCCATTTCTACCTTATCAGTTTGAAAGATAATAGTGTCTCAATCTGCATCATCCTTTATATATCATGAAATATTCATTTGTTTCATACATTTTGTCCAGAACATTTATCAGTATCCGCAATCACAAGATAGGGTTTTTATGAAAAGTGATCAGTTTTTCATAACTACATTTATCAGCATATACATTAAAACGATACATTACTAATAAAACAATATATATGATTTTTCCTTATCCTCACTCATGCTTTAATGCTTATCTCCCTTCTCCTTTTGACTGCTACGTGGAAACGTGAATCCCTTAGTTCCCTGAAGAATCGTAAAATCATTCACCCAGCGAGTTGCCTCCCCTTTCCCGCCAAAACTATCCCATGTGATTTGAACCCAGCTCTCATCACTCTCTCCTTCATCGCCCAAGCTTACCGTTGGGTGGTCACTATTTGTCCCTTTTATGAAAAAGATATATAAACAAAATTATAAGGCATTATAATCACAAATCAAATTAGTGCAATATTTTGTACTTGTGTTTACTTCCCTCGAAACGAAGCACCCGAGATACCAAACCCAGTCAGAGCGGGTGGGTGTGCACTCAAATGTAACGAAGACTTTCATTGGTTGGTTCATTTGCCCGATGCCCTCACGGCTCATTGTGTGTGTATATATTAGTGGTGGTCCGATCAATTGAAATAATAGAAGATTGGTGCGCAATGACAAAACCACCAAGCAATCGATCATGTTTTTCTCACAATCAACACAAACAATTTTGGAACACTTGTTTGCAATAACGATATTTTTCAAAAGGTTGATTTTGTCTCTACATTGCATAAGCACTACAAGCTCGTTCCAAGTCATGATAAATTTAACTTAACAACTCCAGGAAATTATGTTCCTAACACACTAGTCATCCTTTAAAGATGTGAAATTTGCAAATGCATTTTGTGCAATTTGCGGGGAAAAAAGCGAGAGAGCGACATGTTTTTCTCTATTTTTGTGCATTAACAAACATAACCAGGAAAATCTGATAAATGGCGGCTAAGGGACTGTTCATAATTTATGGATAGGGGGAGGCTTGATACAAACCCGACCCCCACCCCACCCCACTAAAATTTATGTACAAAATAAGTGACCCCCCTGCATGCCATGTACAAAATCAGTTAGAAATTCTGTCAATGCTAAATAATGACATTGCTTTTAAGTATCGAACTGAGAAAGTGACTCGGTAAGAAGAACGTGTGGTGAAATAGACAAATGAAACTATATAAACAGTTAAATCGATAATCTGCTGTCATAACATATAAAAAGCTTGCGCCTGTGAAATATCAACAAAACATTAGAAAAATAGCTCACATCAAAGCCTTCACCGAGTATTCACCGCCAGCAAAGGTTTTCCGTCTTTAAATGTCGAACGCCTCACTGGTTGACACATAGCTGAGTAGATCTAGATCCTAACACGGTTCTTTTATGTAATGAGTAGATTATTATCCCCCGCCGCATGTAAGCGAAGCTGAGGATATAGTATTAGGCTCCGTCCGATGCGATGCGATTTGGAATATCTTAAGAACCGTTAACTAGATTCTTTTCATATCAACACAAATTAATGAATATTTATTAGCATGTTTACGCAAGGAAATCGAGACAAAGAAAACGTAATAGCAGGGCAGCTGCTGACAGGGGTGCCTCTCATGCATGGGGACCCATGAAGATCCGGGGTAGAATAGGTCTTCAGCAACCTATGCGTGCCACAAAAGGCAACTATGCTTGTTGTAAGAGGCGACTAACGGGATAGGGTGGTCAGGCTCGCTGACTTGGTTGACACATTTCCCACGGTTCCCTATTGCTCGGATCGATGCTCATGCTGTTGATCACTGGATTGTCTGTAGCTGCCATATAGCTGGAATATTGCTGAGTGTGGCGTAAAACTAAACTCACTCACTCACTCACTCAAGCATCGGAGTGTGAGTCATTGGTGCAATCTTCTGAGATTCCTTCCGGGGTTTCTCCTGTCTCTGTCGCTCTTACAGAGACAGCTACACAGCCTCCTCCTGAGAGGAAGTCCCCTCTTAGGTTATTAAAGAAAACCAAAAACATATAAAACACAAATTATTCATGACATATGATATACATTGCTGATTATGAAAAAACATCACAAATCACAAATCAAAAGTGCAATATTTTGTACTTGTGTTTACTTCCCTCGAAACGAAGCACCCGAGATACCGAACCCAGTCAGAGCGGGTGGGTGTGCATTCAAGTGTAACGAAGACTTTTATTGGCTGGTTCATTTGTCGATGCCCACACGGCTCATTGTGTGTGTATATTAGTGGTGGTCCGATCAATTGAAATAATAGAAGATTGGTCACAATGACAAAAGGACCAAGCAATCGATCATGTTTTCTCACAATCGAACACAAACAATTTTGGAACACTTGTTGCAATAACGATATTTTTCAAAAGGTTGATTTTGTCTCTACATTGCATAAGCACTACAAGCTCATTCCAAGTCATGATAAATTTAACTTAACAACTCCAGGAAATGTATGTTCCTAACACACTAGTCATCCTTTAAAGATGTGACATTTGCAAATGCATTTTGTGCAATTTGTGGAAAAAAACGAGAGAACGAAATGTTTTTTCTCTATTTTTTGTGCATTAACAAACATAACCAGGAAAATCTGATAAATGACGCTAAGGGACTGTTCATAATTTATGGATACGGGGGTTTGATACAAACCCCACCCCCACCCCACTAAAATTTATGTACCCCCCCCCCCCCCTACTAAAGTTTATGTACAAAATAAGTGACCCCAAAATTGATGACCTCCCTGTCATGTCAATGCGTTTTGTTTATGGTGTATAGCCTGATAGGTGTATTCAAAATCAGTTAGAAATTTTTGTCTGTGACAACGACATGTCAATGCTAAATAATGACATTGCTTTTAAGTATCGAACTGAGAAAGTGACTCGGTAAGAAGAACGTGTGGTGAAATAGACAAATGAAACTATATAAACAGTTAAATCGATAATCTGCTGTCATAACATATAAAAAGCTCGCGCCTGTGAAATATCAACAAAACATTAGAAAAATAGCTCACATCAAAGCCTTCACCGAGTATTCACCGCCAGCGAAGGTTTTCCGTCTTGAAATGTCGAACGCCTCACTGGTTGACACATAGCTGAGTAGATCTAGATCCTAACACGGTTCTTTTATGTAATGAGTAGATTATTATCCCCCGCCGCACGTTTAGCGCAAAGCTGGGGATATAGTATTAGGCTCCGTCCGTACGTCCATACGTACGATTTGGAATATCTTAAGAACCGTTAACTAGATTCTTTTCATATTTGGTACCTAGGTTCATCACAGTATAAGAAAGGCCCAAGTTAGGTTTGGTGACCTTGACCTTCATTTCAAGGTCACAAGGGGACTTTTAAAGTTTTACCTGCATGTTAAGCTATATGAAGAACGGTTCGCTGGATTTTCTTCATATTCAATACCAAGCTTTATCTAGGGAAGGACAGTTGCTTTTGGTGACCTTCACATAATTTTCAAGGTCATGGGGACACTTTGAAGATTTCAGCATGTAAACCTGCATGTTAAGCTATCTCAAGAACAGTTCACTGGATTTTCTTCATATTTGAAACCAAGCTTTATGTAGGGGAAGGCGCAGGGCCCAGTCAATTTTGGTGACCTTCACTTAATTTTCAAGGTCACAGAGACACTTTTAAGATTTCAGCATATTAACCTGCATGTTATGCTTGTCAGCGAGATACCTCAAGAACCATTCACTGGAGTTTCTTCATATTTGACACCAAGCTTCATCCAGGGAATGCGCAGGGCCCAGTCAATTTTGGTGACCTTCACATAATTTTCAGGGTCACGATGACACTTTGAAGATTTCATATGATAACATATGGATTGTTATAGATAACTAGATATCGAGGCATACTAGATTATCTAAAATCCACGAAATCTGCACGATTTGCTTCTTTTATTGAGCTAAGAGAAGGTGGTCCCCCAATTTGACATCAACATCTTAGATAGCAGCAAGGAAGAGTTCCCAAGGGATATATGATCAGATGCTATTGATCTCACAGTCACAGTGAATCTTTGGTGGCTGACCCGCCACCTATTCCGTCAGATTTGGTAAGCAATAAAGCATGAGTCAGGATAAGGAAAAATGTGTAATTTTTATGATAGAATTGATATTTTATACTTTACCTGACTCGTGATCTAAAGCCCTCCCAACCGTCCCCTCTCAGCACTACGGGCTTCACTGTAAGACCAAGTGTAAGCTTTATCAGGAGAGAGTGATGAGAGCTGGGCTCAAGTCACATGGAACAGTTTTGGCGGGAAAGGGGAGGCAACTCGCTGGGTGAGTGAGTGTAGATTCTTCAGGGAACTAAGGGATTCAAGTTTCTACGTAACCATGAAAGGAGAAGGGAGACAAGCAATAAAGCATGAGTCAGGATAAGTTTGAAATATCAATTTTATCATAAGAATTACATTTTGCCCTTGAGGCACCGAGAACATTGTTGTATTTATTACTCTGCCAGTGGCACTCTAATGAAGGGGACCTCTCTGTTGATGAAAAAGCATTTGTATTTATCACTTTCAGTGTTTAGCAAGTGAAGTGTATATTGTGTTGAAAGTATGTGATCGCTGGTTATGTGTACATCTGAACACATTTCAGACAAGACCATACCTGAGACAGTTTCATGACTCCAACTTAAAATCATTTTGTTAATCTTTATCTATAGTCACACATAGGTTAAATATTGATTATGATGGAATATATGGTTATACTTTTGAGTTGATGTTTGACTAGTGACATTTCCAGTCAAAGAGAACCATAGTCTGATCATGTTTTTAGATTTGTGCTCACCCTGCTCATCTCTTTCATGGTAAACATAATGCAGCACTTATTATCTGCATGGATCATCAGGGGAATTGTTCCCTCTGGGAGTATGCATACATCGTGTCTGCTTCTGTTTCATTTATAGCATGCTTGTTTGTCACTGATGGTGTTTTCTGTTCGCAGGTACTTTGACAGTCTGCGTGTACCAGACTACGCTCGGTCAGGGACAACGGCCACGCAGGCGGTCGAGATAGAGGAGGGGCCTATCCCACAATTCACTCACTCCTTGGAGCCACAGCTTCGCCAGCTCGGTCTGCCAACAAGTCTCAAGAGAGGTGAGAGATGGGACCATGATGTTGCAGCTTTGCCAATAGTTTGTTAAAAGTTGGTTTACAGGTCATCCACTAGTGTGTTAACACTGCATTTTTACTTCTGCATATTGACTATACCTTCAGGTGGCTTACTAGATCAAATTTACAGGAATGGGCTTGTGGCGTAGGTCTCTGTAGCAAGAGAATACCTCATCTATCCTCAGGGTGTGAGAGCATTGTACACCCAGTCATATTTGTTCCACGGAGAGTTGTAGGAAATTATATTCAAAACACTCTCAGTGGATAACCTTTTAAGCTTGCTGTTCTGGAACATAAAATGAGCTGTTTGTACCTGACTGTAACTGCTACAGTGCTTGAAGTACTACCATTATTGGAGCGGTGGGGTAGCCTAGTGGTGAAAGCGTTTGCGCGTCACGCCGAAGACCTGGGTTCGTTTCCCACATGGGTACAATGTGTGAAGCCCATTTCTGGTGTCCCCAGCCGTGATATTGCTGGAATATTGCTAAATGCGACGTAAAACCGAACTCAGTCAGTACTACCATTATGTATCCTGGCAATATACTGTGAGGAGTTAAAGTACTGTCGGAAATAGAAAAAAAATGTTTTTAGGCTGTTACTCTGTATCCCTAAAAATTACACAACTGCAAATAGCATATGTCGAAATAACCCACTTCGGCCTAACTTGGCATTCAGTGGGATGTGTAATAAGATATCCAGAAAAGCATGTTTACTCGTAAAATCGGGCAAAACTTAGAAAAAATACGAATAGCTGCTGAAAACAATAGGTCAGACTTATAGATGGCAATTTGGTCAGTCAGCCAGGTATGACGACGGACCGTCGACTCACCTGGCATGAAATGCATGTGCCTACTACAGGCACAAGGGGGCATCTCAAAGATATTTTGTGCTGTTTCATGTGTGTTGACTATGTCTCATCTGTTGATTAACATCTTACGTGTCTTTCTTTCATAAAGTTTATGTTGAGATATGTAAAAGACCTGATAACCATAGAAACGCATCATATTAAATGTCTCAAAATATATAGGTGGGATGACCACCCAATCGCGAAGATCGACAGGACTGTAGATTGTTATGACATGCCGTGTACTTCCCCAGTATAATTGCCCTAAAGGAATATCTTATCTTAGCTGATATCTCTATCCCCAGCCCGACCCCAACGATCGTCTGCGACACCCACCCCGGTTTTGCTTTTGAGACGAACCCTCCTATCTGTTTCTTTTTATAGTGACAGTGAGACTCCATGGTAGCTACATCCTTCATAGTTTCAGCATGAAAGTTATTATTTTTTACGCCAGCTATCGTTTATCATTAAGCTACGTCTAATTTCAAATTGGGCATTTAAAAAGGGTCCTTTGTAATACAATATCGCGCACACTAATTTGCATAAAGCCATGGTCTGTTCCAAATAAATCGTTTTGGACCTAGAAAAAACCCACATTGCTCATTTCTGCACTAATTTCCCCTCAGTAAAGTCCTTTTTCTCCGTTTCCTATCTCTCTACCACTGAGACTGTAGTTAGGCCGAACTTAGTTTAACAGATATTTCACACTTGCACATATCAACTACATAAATTGTAGAGGTAAATGAGACAATACAGTATTTTTCTATTTCCGACAGTACTATAGCTGTCTTTCATGAAGATGAGAAAAGTCAAATATAAGCTCACATGACTGGACGTCAAGAGACATTTTATCATGACCCCTATATTTTCAGCCATGGTGAGTTAATTTATGATTGATTATTGATTTGAAAAATCAGTAGTCATGCCCGCATCAAGTGAAAGCACTTGGGTCTTGTTTTGGTTGTTTCTCCTTTATGTATTTGTTTTAGATTGAAAGTGGTGAAGTTGGTTGGTAAAAAAGATCCCTCGAAGGAGAAAAATATATCAAATATACATTATTATCTCGAACACACTGAATTGATGAAGACGTATAATGGACTTACTGCCCTTGTTACTTAAGTTCACCCACAGCATACCTTGTTGTCTCCCAAACCCTAGAGTCTAGATTGCCTCATCTCTAGAACCCAAGGATTGTTCTGGTCTCCATTTGCATTTGCTTTGTAGATAAATATATTTTTCATATTTTAAAATAAGATAACTGTATTTCTGGGACCAAATGTCATTCTACATACCATGCTGACTTTGGCAAAGTTATTTTTTCCCAAACTGAAAAAAATGCTGGATAAATGTTATGTAGAACAATCATCAAAGTATTCTGGGTATGATTCATTGTAATCCTAGCATGGTATATGTAGGAGCTGTTGAGGTGATATGAGGCACTGACTGTGGTTACAGATAGTCCCATAGGAGTTACCTCCCTTTACCTATGCACTGCATTCCTTCAAACAAGATTTTCTTTCACTGCTGTATCATTCAGAGTGAGACACACAACATTTGTATCTGACTGTTGAAAAAGCTACATTGTTTTGCCACAAGTTATTTTAGAGGGATAGAATAGTTTAATGACTTCATCATCATGACATTTCCAACATCAGTCCTGTGGAGTTCCTGGGTCAGAATAGGTCCCCACACCTAGTCTGAAAAATATAGCTCGAATATTGGTGATTAGCTCCCTTGGATGGGCTGCAACAATATTGATGGCTATTTGTCAACTGAACATGTTTTCCAGGGGTGATAACTCTACTACACAGCCACACTATATGCCAGGCAGGGGATGTGTTGACACCAGAACAAGCCCGGCTATTGGTGAGTAGAAGTGGATTCATCATTGATTGAAAATGAACAAGAATAAACCAATCATTAGAAGCATTCGTTATGTTTCAGTATGCTTCATGTGGAATATACTTACATAAGTGTCCAATTACACACATGTATGATTTTTTCTATACGACAATACATGTATTTAATCTTTCATGCCATTGCATATCATTGCATAAGTGTTAGCTTTTGATATCTCCTACTCAAAATTTTAAGGATCCCCTGCCTTTTTCTTATTGCTGCCACCCATGAGGATCCGGGTTAGAATTGGTCTTCAGCAACCCATGCTTGTCGTATGAGGCAACTAACAGGATTGGGTGGTCAGGCTCACTGACTTGTTTGACACATGTCATTGTATCCCAGTTGTGTAGATCGATGCTCATGCTGTTGATCACTGGATTGTATGGTCCAGACTCGATTATTTACAGACCACAGCCATATAGCTGGAATATTGCTGAGTGTGGCGTAAAACTAAACTCACTCACTCACTAAAGCAACACAAGCACAGGTACTTAAGAACTGTAGGCAAGAGTAAAAACTGATATATTCCTCACCTGAAAGTACAGACATCCTCAGTGTTGCTTCCTAATTGGTGTCAGAGAGATGAATATAAAGTTATCATAGTAGAATGGATTTGTATTAGTAGAGTGGATTGAAATGTGTACCATGTTGTGTACCAAGATAGTCACGGCAGGAATTTATCCGTGAAATTTTGATCTCTGTCTACTCTGCTATCTTCATGAATGGACTGTAACAATATATAGCACCGTTGATATGTTTCAGAAACTGTTTGGTCACCAGATGGCGCAGTTCCACATCACAATAGAGGGGATGTGGAGTAACGATGGCAAGTGGGAAGTGTTTGATGCCAGGCCAGATCCAGTCGTGCCCACCAAAGTTACAGTCAAACGTAAGGAGTTGTGCCTCAGTAGTCATGATGTTGTCAAGTCGGTGGGGGAACAGTTTAGTGAAGTAGCCTAGTGGTTAAAGGCACAATGTCACACATTTTCGACAATATTTTGGCCAAACTTATATATTTTGCAGCATATGCTCTCGCTTCAGCATTATTATTGATGGATGAAGGGAAGTAACTCTGAGCATGTTTCCGTCATTAGGAGTTAAGCGCTTTAGTTTCGTATTTGCTGTTTTGGCTCGACTTGTTGCCAACACGATAAGTTTGAACTTACCAAACGAAGTAATACCTGTGACATGAGATATTGTAAAAGTTTATATATCGGGAAGTATTTTTTAGCGTCATTATTTCCATCCATATATATCGTTGAACCACGTGCATACAGTGGCAATAATGTCATTCCAAAATGTGGGCCCACTTCACCACCTGTTATAGAAGCCGAAAATAAGTGGGCCCACTTTTAGAAAGTCATCATTTTATTTGTATTTTCTTTTATCATAAATAGTATTCTGAAAAACTAGTGTCATTGAAAATGTGGGCCCATTTATTATGGTCCAGTGTAACAAAGAACAGAAAGTGGGCCCACATTTTAGAAACTTGCTTTTTTTATCATAGTATTCTGTAAATGCCCTTTTGTTTTTATAATATAACGCAAACTGCATGAAATTCAACTAAAACAACTTTAATTTCCCCGAAGTGAACAAGGATGTATTTGCACTTGTTGAATTCCTTAGACACCTCATCAGGTTGAGTTTATTAAGTGTATCCATCCAGGCTTATCACTTAAATCATGCTGAGGGAAATGAAACTATAATTTGTTCCTCAACAAGAACACGTCATACCAATTACACACTTCATCAGGTTCAGTTCATTAAGTGTGTCTCTATGCAAGTTTATCGCATGAATCATGTTGAGGGAAATGGAATTGTATGCCACTCAGAAGGAATGGTAAATACACAACAGTTAATTAAAACTGTGATGGAAATAATTTTACCACAGAGACCTGGAAGTATTTACCAACAAGTAAATACTGTATCTGTAAAGTTATGAACACCAACTTCAAATCGAGTGGTAACTTCGTAGACCTACCTTTGACCTGACCAACGAAGGTCGATTATTTGGGCCAATAGAACGTCATCTGGCTCACAGCTTCACCAATGACATGATGGGGGCTTGACTCATTAATATTCATGAGGTCCGCATCTGACAGTTTCGCAGGGTTTCAACCCTGACTTTTGATTGTGTTTTCATCTTAAAACATTTCCATCAATCGTTTATTTCAAGAAATACATTATGCTTTGAATTTATTTCCTTAGCAATACCTGATTATACTTGGTTGATAATACATAGTTGCTTTATTTTCGAATATGGGCCCACTTCCTTGTATCGGAAAACAAACTTAGAGTTACTTCCCTTCACGTTGCCTCCATCCACCGATAATAATGTACCGCCACTTCAGCTTCCTATTGATGCAATAAAAGACTTATTATCCCTTACAACTTGCCTGAAATCGATAATCGAAACTGTGAGGTGAACAGCTTCCAAATGGATAACACTTGCCATATATGGAATGTAAACAATTGTAAAGAGAGCTCCAAGGGGCATACATCAGAAAGTGTTGCACAGGGTGTTGTCGGTGTTTTCATTTGCCAAACTGGTTTCAATCACAAGTTTGAGGTGAATAGAATATTTCCCTAGTATAGGGAGCTCCAAGGGTGTGATAAGTCTATGGGGTTCCCCACATGCTTATGAAATAATGTTACCTGACCGTAGCTGAGGGCATGAAGGTCGATTTAATGCACCGTTGACTGATTAGTACTTAGACTGATTAGTCAGTAAATTTCACCACTATGAATAGTATTAACTGGATTACAATGGGTTAAATGAGACAATATCTGCATTGACTGAGTATTTTTTTATAGTGTAATTTGTAAATTTATACGTTTTTTTCTCTCTCCACTTGACTTTATGACATAGGAATAACTACACGGGTGTCTTGTCAAATACCATTCATATGAGCTTGTAGTGTATATTTCCCCTGCAATAGCTGAACACCAAAACAACAATATGTTAAACTGTAATGGGTGCAAGTCTTACATTTTGATACATTCCTTGTGCTTGACTAAGGCCAAAGACCATTGAAGTATATTTTCATAATAATAATAATAAATTAATGTTAATTGTTTGAGTGCCATTTTAGAAGTTGGGACGTACAATATTGAACAAACTTTATGGATAACAACTTCTTTTATTTCGTGAGTGCAACGTTTTGATACAGATTCTTGTATCGTCAAGCAGGACATCCATAAAGTTTGTTCAAAATAATTAATGTTATTGTTTACTCTCCGGTTGTATTATTGCTCTTGTTCTGCATCTTATAAACATGGTGAGGCTTTAAGTCCCAGACTCAGTATTCAGCTGTACAGGGCTGTAACTGGTTACTTAAGGAATGATTCATACTTAAGGAAATTCAGCTGAACTCCAAGATCTCTAAGACATTTAAAATTTTATTGTAGAAGTACACATGCAGCTATATCCCATCCAGGGTGTTTCATTGTCAGTAAAATTTGGTTATCTTTGTGTCAAATGTTAACGTGTAACCTTCATGTATGTAGATACTTGGTACGTCATACTCCTCGCTACTAGTATACCTTATTTACGGGTTTCTATGGCCATAAGGCCACAAGGGATCATCCCTGATGAAACATTAACGTAGGAATAAATTTGTTAAGGCATATATTTCATAGAAATCTGGTTCTAAAGTTAAGCTTGAAAATCTGTCCAGAAGATACTTGTGTATTAACAAAACATTATTCTGAATGACAGAGGTCAGTGGTAAAGAGGCAAGAACTAGAGTTGTGTCCCTTGTCTAGATAGCAACATGCAGGCTGGACGTGATAATTGTAATTGTTGAGTGTAATGTAGAGTTCATCCAAGAGCATTGTATGGTTTCTTTAACATTATACAGTTGAGCACCGTTGTGTAAAACTCTGATAACTCAATATCTCGATATAACATCGCAGGCCCAGCAAAATCCTTCATAATTTATCATTATTCAAGCTCTTTTAACTCTATACGGTTGTCTCAATATTTCAGATATCTCGATATAATTTCATGGTCCCAACAAGCAAAATTACCCTTTTAACTCGATATTTGCAAAGAAACTCGATATTCACCTACCTTTCATGGGCAAGTATCCCTCTGAACTGAGGTTGTTTCCACCCGTTTACACACGGTGCGGCATGAATCAAAGGGATGCGGTAGTGTAAAGTAATTAGGGCTAATTGAGTTGAAGGTGTCACTTGTTTGTTATGTAATTAGGATTAATTAAGAAGGAATTAATTAGGAAGTACTCACTGTTACAACTAAACACAGATAACAATAACGGATTATAGTTTCAGATCAAAACGTATTCTGAGAAGCGTTTTGTTTTCTTTCATAGTGATATGTGATGATATACCCTGGTCGGATGTCTCGGAACGGATTACTCATTATTTTTTCTTGGTCCCATGAATATCGATACAACAGGGCTCAACAGTAAATTGAGGATCGTAAATAGATCAGATATAATGTCAGATAATGCATAGAAAGCAGTCAGCCATGTTTACAACATTACATATGAGATATTTGTTGTATTTTTTAAAAGGACAGGTTAGTGCTTCAGATTTGCCTAGTAGACAAGATATGGGCTGCCGCTCACAGGAATGTGATTATGTCAGTTGTTTGACCAGGTTTGAATGCTCTGACATGATTGTGCAGGCCTTTCTCCTAATCTGATTTTACAACTGCTTCTTATAATACATGTGAAGAGTTATCTCCCTTTGACCTGTCATGCATTTTGTTGTAGCTCCTGAAAAGTCCGAGGAAGAGCTTGATGTAGATGAAGACGATGACGACATTGCTGATGACGATAATGATAACAATAACAATGATGATGATGAAGAAGATGACAGTGACGATGATGAAGGAGAGGGCTAAAGATAATAAAATTCTGGTTCAAATTCTGGTGTTTATGTGTTTTATGTAAGTGTTGGGGTATTGATGTAGGAAGTATCAAGTCTGTGTCTGACAGGCTCAGATATAACATGTTGCATAGTAATGACAGAGAAAGTTAATTTACATTTGAAAATCACACATAAAGTTAGCCATTGAGCACTCATTCCAAACCAGACTGATTATTGGCTTATTTGTGCAAGACTAAGTACAGGTGGCATGGAGTAACCAAGTGGTCAGAGTATTTGCTCATCCAACACAAGAATGGGTTCAAGTCTGCTCAAGTTCACCATGTGTCAGGCCTGTTTCACCAGTAATGCTAAAAGCTATGTAAATCATACTCTATCACTCATAACTTAGAATTGGTCTTCAGTAACCCATGCTTGTCGTAGGAGGCGACTAACACAAACAGGTGGTTAGGCTCGCTGACTTGGTTGACACAAGTCATCATATCCCAGTTGTGTAGATTGATATTCATGCTGTTGATCACAGGATTGTCTGGTCCAGACACAATTATTTATAGACCGCCGCCATATAGCTGGAATATTGTTGAGTGCAGCGTTAAACAACAAACCAGCCAACCAACCAACTAGTCGTGGGTGTGCAGTGAGTGCCACAGAAACGTATTTAGGTCATGTGTTACTTAAATCTTCCAGGGTACTGACATTCCTTGAAGACTTCTTGAGGTAAAGCCAAGATATTTTGAACTCTTCAAATGATTTGTCTTCTTAAGACATGCTGAGTTTTCCAGTCAATTAATGAGAGACCTTGGTATGATGATATTCATCAGCATGCTCAATATACAAAGGAGTTCTGTCCCTTGGTCATGACAGGAGCCAATGACCACAAGTTTGAATCGCCAATTTTCATACTTCCCGTGTTGGTTACATATGTGATCTCATCGGCAGCACTTACCAAATGTTCTTGTGTATATTGGACACATTTATGAAATGTCTACTGTGTAGAAGGGGGGGGCACAATTGTCTGCTATTTCTGGCTGTTTTGTATGAAATAATATACAGTAATCTCAGTCCCTGCATTTAAGACAATGCATAGCATCACAGGAGGAAAGAATTTAAATGCTAAATTATTGTGTCTGGTCATGTCTAATCTCAAATGTCAAATTTGTGTTGACAAAGTGTGTTAATATTTGTTTGTTGATACCTGAATTAGCTGAATGGATTACAGTGTAGTTTCTTGTCTGGGCATTATACATGGAATATCCTTTTTCCAAAATACTATACTAGTATCCTCCCTGGAGTGAATGAAAATGTGTGCGCACAGTGTGTACTCTATAGAATATGGTGTGTGGTAAATAGAAATGTATGTGAACTGCAGGACCTTTAGTTTTCCTCCTGATGCATTTGTACAACTGGAATACTGTCACTAACAACCCTGCTCACTTCAATTTCATTTCACAACAGAGATGAACCCATTTAACTCCTCTACCTCAAGACAGTTATTACACAAGACATTATTTCTCTATTGTAACATCTTATAAAGCAATGGGACTGCCTCCCTGGTGTAGTTGTTAGTGCGTCTGCCCGGAGAGCAGAAGGTCGTAGGTTCAATCCCCGACCGTATCATACCAAAAGACGTTAAAATATGGTACTTATTGGTCCCTGCCTGGCGCTCAGCATTAATGGGTACAACAAGGACTGGTCGGCTCGGAGTCAGTATGATGTGTCTGAGTGGGGTATTCATGCTTCACTGCGGCATGGTATCTCAGTGAGCTAGCACTATAAAACATGCTTACGTCTGGGCTAGCACAAGCAGCCTCACATATGCACGTCGTCACATGAGCAACATATTCTTAGTGTGACGTTAAACCCATATCACCTCACCTCGCCTGATAAAGCACACTGAATATATATATTTCCTGCAAGTTTGATCTTGTCAAACAGGAAACTGTTATTTCAAGATAAAGTGATGGGCGCCATCTTTCCATTTGCCTTTTCTTTTCTGGCACATTCAATTTGTTGAAACTTTATGTTCACATAAGGGATGCACTCAGGTGGAGCTGTTTATACTGTGTATGAGGTGGAAGGGGCAGTTGGGAAGCCTAGTGGTAAAAGCATTCACTCATTTCGCCAACATCCCTGCTTCGATTCCCTACATGGTTACAATGTGTGAAGCACATTTCTGGTGTGTCCCGTGGTTTTGCTGGAATATTACTAAAGTGGTGTAAAACCTTGTGGATGTAAAGCAGTAGGCTTGGTTGTCACACCTCTACAGCTCTGTGTAAAGTGAATGCATTAATGATGTGAAGTGACCTTCATTGACCTTGATGGTGACTTTAGGGCAGCGTTCAACAGGTTGTTTTAAAGCTGCATTCACCTGTAAACCATGTACAGTGAGTGAGTGAGTTGAGTTTTACGCCGCACTCAGCAATATTCAAGCTATATGGTGGCGGTCTGTAAATAATCCAGTGATCAACAGCATGAGCATCAATCTGCGCAATTGGGATCCGATGACGTGTCAACCAAGTCAGCGAGCCTGACCACCCGATCCCGTTAGTCGCCTCTTACGACAAGCATAGTCACCTTTTGTGGCAAGCATAAACCATGTACATGTCAATAATAATCAGTCTGGACCAGACTAACCAGTGATTATTATCAGCTAAGCCCAATGCCTGGGGGTTTAGTAGCCAAGTCATCAAATCTGATTAGCTGATCAGGACCAAGTTACGAGAATTGACTGAGTGATTGATCCAACTTCAGTGGCATCTAGCGTTACTCGTGCTATCTGCCGGTCTTCCTTCTTTCGCAGTCTTTAGGTACCAGGTGCCAGACTAAATGTGGAATATTGACAACTGCAAAATAATCAGATCTCCTCCATGGTGTAGTGGATAGAGCATTTGCCACAAGAGTTTATGCTGGGTAGTTTCAGCTCTTGCTGTTCCTTACAAAAGACTACTCAGAGAGAATACTGAGTGGAGTATCCATGTTAAATTTTTGCATGGTATCTCAGTATTCACACTCAAACAAGTGGATGCAATATTATTAAATGTGACACAATGATTACTCCGCAATCAGCAATGTTCCAGCTATATGGCGTCAATGGACCCGACAATCCAGTGATCAACAGCATGAGCATCGATCTACACAATTGGGATACAATGACGTGTCCACCAAGTCAGCATCCCTGACCACCCGATCCGTTAAACACAAATTTCCACAGCAAGGTTAACGTACTGGAGATAAAAAGACAGAGAGATAAATGACAATACACCAGACTTTATTCCTCACGAACACATGACATTCATGAAATGATCCGATGCTACAGACAGGAAGTAATCTGTACATCTACAACGGGGACTACAAAATAAGAAGGATCAATGGCTGCTGTAGGTGAAACAGGAACACGGCCCTCCCTGCCACTCCCCACAACAGGAGGCGGGGAATGGAGGTTGGGACAGCTTGTCCTGTCGGGTAAGTTCACTTAACATCGTCGGAGCAAGAACATATGTACTGTCATTACAATCAAAACTGCAGATATGATGAATGTAGCAATAACACTATGTGAGAGGCTCACCTAGGGTGACTACTAATGGTCCTTTGGTAAATACTGGTGGTGCAAGACGGTAACATGGTTTCGTCCTGGCCCAACCAGCACAAACACAAAGGGCCAGGGGTACAGATGTAGTCGAGTCATTCTCCAATCGCACACAATTAACACATAATCCAAGTACAGTAATCATATGAGATCACAAGCCCATTCCAGCCAACAAGCCTCGTATTATCACCATGTACAAGAATAAGATACCCGTTTAGTTTCCAAGATGGCGTCCAGGGTGGTTCAAGATGACCCCATACCCAGCTGATGTTTACAATATCCACAACAGAGAGCTGGTCCCTCTCACTTAGTTAAGATGGCTGTACAAAGGTAAGATTCTAAATAAATTTTAAGGTGCGGAAATAAGATGTATAGTTGTGAAAATAGTGATGAAATAGAATAAAGCAATATCTTTGTAATCTGTTGAAGCAAATCACCGGTGTCAACTTGATCACAAAATGCTACTGAATGTATTTTACTGATAACAGTTTGGAATGATTGGTTGTCATCGACATGAACAGTACTTTCTCCAAATAAATTCAGGAATGTTTGATCTTTTAATTGTAAGATGAAATAGACTATACTGATTGATATGCTGAGATCTAACAAGATGGCACTTTCACGACTTGACTGGGGGTAGTTCTCCACCATGTTAACCATTTGGCACTCTGAGAAATGATGTTATTTTCCTTACATGTTTTTTTACTTTGTGTTTTGTTGACATTAAATAGAACATCCTGGAACCTACACCTGGCCCACCCTCCAACACATCTCCGGTGTGTACACAGGGTGAGCGGTGTAGAACCGGCCTTGTCGGCTGGCTTTAACAAACTAAACTGTTTCATCATCATTACTGGCAACCCTGGACCCCATCTCTGAAGCTTGTTGGGAGGAAATAAGCTCAAATATTATCAGAATACTGTTATTTATGAACTTGAAACATACAATATGTGAAAACAATGGCAATTGTATATATAATATGTATATATATTTATACGTATATATGGGATGTAAATTTTTACATATAGTCTTTGAGGCAAGGTTGAAATCCACTGTTAGAATGTTGCATATGAGATGAGAGAGGAAATATGCCTTTGATAGTTTTACAAAGTTCTTGCAGCCAGTCAAATAGGTTATTTTCTGATATGCCAATGTTTCAAAATGGTCTGGATTTCTTCTCAAAGGAGATTTAACTTGTTCAATGCCCAATACAAAAATCTTCAAAAGTTGCAGAAAAATACATGGATAAAAAGAGGGGAGGACTCAGTCATGAGGCAATAAACAGTGTGTCAACATCCGAAACACAGCTCACTGAGAGAGTTATCTCCCTTTAGAAATAAAAAAGGGCAGGCAGGTGGAGTGAAAGCTGATTAAGGGTTCAAAGACAGATTGGTGCATTGCATATATTTTATCACCCAAATGCACTTGCAACAACAAGGACAAAACTGGCTTGATAATTGCTTTAAAATACATACAGTGAAATGCCTAAGCATACTGAGAAAGTAATTCATAAATTAATTAAGCTACAAATATACAATAATTAATCAACAGAAATCAGCAATAATCATAAGCTATAGTTATAAGATTGTGTCTGAGTGCTAACAGTATGATACATTTACAACAAACAGCACAGTGTGCTGAACTGGCCTTTGGTAAACAATGGACGAACTGCCCACAAATATTTCATAATTCCCCACTAATATCCACAAACAGATACAGGTTGAACAACCATTAGGTTAAAAGTGTTCACATTATTTTCCTCCAATCAAATTAACATGTTCATCTGAGCATGCCTATGACATAATTGTCTGTTAAGCAAAACAATATTCTCTCTGGTCTTTGAAATACCTGGAAAGGCCATAAACTGTTCAGTTGAATATGCAAGATTACCACAGGCTTGAAAGAACCAATCTGTGAGGACATACACAGAACACAGAATGCTATAATACTTGTCAGGGTACCCAAACTCATCGGTACAGGGGAATAGTACATTTCTCTGCTCCCAGATTTGAACAGATATTGAGCTATCAGAGGAAACAGCATAAGAGTAATACTGTAGGGAAACTGTAGTTATCTCCCTTTGAATGAGTAACATGCGTGAGACATATGGCAACAGTGAGAAAAATACCATGAGATATCAACAGGGGTGAAGGGTATTTATGCAAAACAGACTGTTGGTGAACCAACATGAGGTAGACGCTTAGTGAAACACTTGGAGAGAAAGGTGTATACAAGTATACTCTTGCAGAATATAACCAGTCTGGCTGATCTCCATAACAACAAAATAAATAGGATATATGTGTAGATATGATACATTCGATGAGGAAATCTGAGTGTTTCTAAATGATGCAAACCAAACTACCTTCTCATCATGTTAACCAATCTGGGAAATGGTACTTGCACCCAAAATTTATCAGGAACGTGAACATGAGCATATTTCGAAGTCTTTGAGAGTGGTAGGGTTGCTTTGGTAATGAGCTCTGGATGAAGTTATGTTTAATATCCCCTGAGTAGAAAATCGTAACAAGATGACAGGTGATGAAGATGGCTTTGGAGTGTTTCATAAACAATCAAATTCCTTCTATGAATGTACGCCAATTACAGAGGTATGTTTCATGACAAGGCTGAATGGAACAGAAAGTCAAATCAGTATTTCATACTATTCTAAATCAATACAAAATCAAATAGTTACTAGGATAAGATTTACCCGGTATTATTTCGACTGTGTTTCTCCCTCCATTCAGCCTGTGACACGAACATTCCCCACCTGGTTTTTGCTCCACGTACATGCATTATATATCTTATGCTGAAAGGGCAAACAAGCTGCTGTGTAAGGAAGAGTTGCGTAGGGGGAGACAATCAGCACAATACAACAGAAAAGATTAAAGCTTGAGAAATAAACAAATAATTGTAAGTCAATTGAGACGTGCACAAAGTGCTGAATCATTGCATATTATCATCTTGGATTTGAACAACACAATTTCAAATCTGGTAGACAGTGGCTATACAGTAAGCATCTACAAGTGATGACAAATTAATTAATAATGAATTATGAGCACCGAGGAGAAGAATCATAAATTATAGTAACACTTGTTATACCTATTCGGTATAAAGTCATAACAATTAGCTGACCAAGCTAAAAATCAACATAAATTAAATGGCTAAGCTAAGACTACACATGCTAAAAGCAAAGTTATATGCAGCAGATAGGATAACAAATGGCTCTCATCACTGTGTGTTGAGCTGTTCACGTCATTCATTGGTCTGTACACCTTGCAAAATGGTAAGGCTGTGTATCCTATCTCCCAACTAAGTCCCATGACTGATTACATTTCTTTGGTCAGGTTGCGTACTCCCGTGCCCAAATCATGCCTCCCCCCTCCCCCTCCCCCATTTCACAGGGCATACAAGGACAGCCATGCAGCACTAATTGGTGTAGTTCATCTCCAAAACAATACTGATGTTGAAATGAAAGTCATGTGTTTTCAACCTGAGCTTTAACAATAAAAATCATGATTCCTTATGCATCAACCTATGCATACAACACAAAGAACTCTATGGGACTCCCATCAATAGTTTAGTATTCAGTGCAGCTAACGCTTGACTCTCCAATAATGTTATACTGACTGGACAACAAGGTATGTGTTCTTCAACAGCACAGAGCTAAGTTGACATGGTCTGAACCACAGGTTCCTGCAGCCAGGAAGGACTAGGAGCACCTCAATATTATAGTCCATGGACGCCAACTTTTGTACATCTTGTCCGAAGTGCCGGCCAACATGGGAAGATCATGAGGTAGATAGATGACCTCTCAAGGTCACATCAGGGAGTCAACATGTGCTAAGCCAAGCAGAAGACAAATATTCATCCAATGAGGCACGTGATATTGTAAATACTTGACTGTTTTTCTTCGAGCCTCATGCCCACAGGGAATGCTGCTTTCTTGCACACTATGTGTTGTGTCTGTTATGGCTCTACTACTTTCGTAATGAGTTGCGTCACCAATGACACAGCGAATGATAAGAGTGTGATAAACTAATGATTGGAAAAAAACAACTTGTTTAACAACAGTGAACCTAAAATACCAACATCTGTAATTTGGTTCAGATGGTCTTGGTGGACTAGTTTAATGGTATTCTTTCCACATAGTGCCCATATTTACATATATATTATATCTAACATAATCTTTATACATGATTAAATAACCTAGAATCTTAACAGATACAATCAAAACATGAATTAATGGTTAAAGTGTGGAGTAACTGTAAGAATCTAAATCACATGATGGATGGTGCATACCGAATCTACATCAACTACCAAGACATTCTTGGCAAGCTTATCACTGTTACAAGTCCATTGCAGAATCACAGGATGAACATGGCGTGTAAAGCATATTATGATAGACATACTAAAAGCAAGCCATAACAGACAGTGCTTAACAGTTTAGTTGTGTGCAGCCCGTGCAATGTGGAGGAAGAACTCCACCTTGTCCTTACTGCAGTGGCCGCACATGTTGCACTTGTAAGGATCTTGGTAACCATGGTAACCCATGTGCATGGTATACATGACACAGTCCCGGAATGCTATCTCACAGTAGTGACACTCAAAACTGTCAGCACCACGGAAGGGCTTTGTCTTGCTGTGGTTGAGAGCATTTAGGGACAGTTCACTTGGAAGAGTTAGTGACTTGTCTGTGTCCAGTGGATGCAGTCCATTTCGAGGGTTCTCTAACACAATTTCCCCATTCTGCACAGGGGCACCGTCTGGTCCAGAGTCCTGTAGGATCTTCCATGCCAGTTCTGCTCCACGTCTCAATGCAGATGTCATTGGTGGTTTCTGATGATTCATGTAGTCAGAAACCATGTGGGGCTTGCCTTCCTGATCATTGGGTACATCGGCAGCTGCTCGCATCATTGGTCGGGCTTGGAGCATCCCTTTGATCATTATTCTCAAAATTACTGTGGCTGTCTCCATTGGGACTCTGGGGTTCTGGCTTTATCCCTCTGTTAAGTATTTTCAAATTTTCATGGATTTGTTCAAAGTCATTTTTATGTGTAATTGGGCTGGATCTAAGACCATTTGCCATGTCGTCATCACCTTTGTGTGGAGGTGAATATTTTCCTCTTTCACCCTTCAGTGAGCCTGGACTTTCTCCTCTACCATTTGGGCTACCATCAACTGATTGTGTTCTGGTTTCAGTAACATATTCTTGTGGAGGAACTTCACTGCTAGATTCTTCACTTTCACTATCATAGGGAGAACCAGACTGCTTCTCCTGGAGTTTGAGACACAAAGTGTCTAATTTGTATGCTTTGCCCTTACGAGACCTCTTCCTAGGACTAGGTACAGCATTCTCTGTGGAGTCATTACTTGAAGGAACATCAACTTCTTGGAATGGTCTCTTGACTGGCATCAGAGGCATGTCATGGGGCATAATAGGATGCATACCACTCAAAGGTGAGTAGGCTGGTGGGGAGACTGATTTTGGTTTTGTGAGATCGAGTGGGGACTCTTTGCGTATCCTTGGAGTTACAGCACTACCACCACCGCCACCACCACCAAACTTCAAGGTCATCTGTTTAAGAATATCAGCACCTTCTACAGGCTCTTGAGGAGATGTTGAGTCCTGTCGATTTCTGGAGGAATATGACAGCTCAGGAAGGCTGTGACTGCTGTTTCGATGATGTGGTTGACCACCAAGTTGGTTAGCAGGCCATGAATGAGGACTGGTTTTGCTGGGGGTACTGCCTTGGTCAGTGTGGACATGGAGCATGGTATTGTGCCTTGACTTAGGAGTGACTTCTCCATCTGGTTTTGTCAAAGACCGTTGGCGAGCAAGGTGAGCCTTGAGATTTTGTTCATCCAACAGAGCTTCTGAAGAAATTCCAAACATGCTGAAGAGGTCTTGGTTTTCCCCGGCAGCATGAACCTTCAACACATGGGCATGGAGACCTTCTGGTGAATCTGCCTTGAAACTGCACAAATTGCACTTTGTAGAGCCAAGCTCACCTTTGCCGAGTTTTCCTGGGGATGATGACTGTGGTTGTGGAGGTCTCATCTGCCCAGGCATGTTGTTGACAGGTATGAGAGGTGGGGGTGGTTGCATACCATTCAGCAGTGGCCAGTAGGGAGCCATGAGGCTACTGTTCAACCCTGGATGCATGCCTGGCATAGAGGATTGAGGTAGGTGGAATAATGGACTCATGTACTGGTCCATCTTGTCCTTTCTAGGTCCTCGTGGTCCTCTTGGTGGGCCTCTCTTTGCAAGAAGTGATAAACCAGAGGTTTCCGGTTCCAGTCCTTGAGGCAAGCTCCCATCTGCATTTAATACTGCTGCAGGCTTGTGGTTATACTTCTTGAGGTGGAGTTTGAGACTATGGCAATACTTGGTGGCATAGGTGCAGTCTGCACAACGGTACTGATACACATTTGTGTGGGATTTCATGTGGCTATTGAGCATGGATTTGTTGACACATGAATAATTACATTTGTTGCATTTGAATGGCTTGGACCCAAAATGATTACGAAGATGATATTCCAGATGATGCTTGTACTCTGTGACAAAGGGACATCGTGGGCACTGCAGCAGCTTCTCCTCCTTGATGTGGCTGCGGGAGTGTTGCCAGAAGTCCACCTGAAATTACAAGGAAACATTTCTTACAAAACAGACACAGTGTCTCTTTGCATTGATCTATAAGTATTTGTAAAAGATTATAAAATAAAACTTTGACATTCACAATTACAGTAAAAAATTAACAGTATCATTATCAGTATAAAAAACAATGTTTTTTTTATTAAAACACGATCAAACTCCTTCAGGCTCAAACTACTGATAATGTAATTGGGATCATAATACAAATATCCAGTTTGCTCATCAACCTGAAGACCTGACTTTGATTCTCCATATGGGTACAATTCATTTCTGTGTCCCACCATAATATTGCATGAAAAATGCTAAAAGTTCTGTGAAGTAATGTGTTTTTGTTTTCACTTTCTGCATACCAAGACATTGAATGTTAAGAAAAAACACTGTAATTCTTTTATCAGTGTTTAATGACTGATACTGTTTTGAAAGTAAAACATTTTTGAAAATCATCTGTTTTATCTAACAAAACAATTCTAGCACTTTTGATCATAAGAATTTATTTACATTAATCTGTCTCACACAGGTAATTCAAGAAGAGTTTTTAAATAAATGTCAATTTTCTCTTACTGAAATACATGTTATAACCATCTTGACATTCTAAATGACATTGATCCACGGGTAGAAAACTGAGCATACCTTGGTAGTAGAAGCAAAGCTGCACTGCTTGCACCGATACACTTTAGGTCTGCCAGGCTGCATCCTCTGCATCTTAGCAGTTCCAAAGCCGTCTGAATCACTGGAGTGGAAGTCTTTGATATGTCGTTTGAGTCTACCCTCAGTACGAGAAGTGTAGTCACAGTGTGGGCAACTGTACTCAAAGTGAATGCTCATATGAGCATCAAAGTCATCTTTGCATTTTGCTGGAAAAAGAAGAAGAGAAAATGAAGGTTTTCACACCTTTTTAAGCAATACAAGAAGATAAATTCCCATTATAATTCACATGAAATAAGTCATGTGACAGTATGCTTTGTACCAAAGTTTCATGTCAAGACCGGTTGCCAGGAGTGAGATCTCACGTAACATGCTAGCACACCAGCTGTCTTAACTGTGCTGTACATGAAAAGACAAACATATATTGAGTAATGCTGCAAGTGACACCTAGACAATCGTGGATGTAATCTTCTCTGCAGACTTAATGCAAGGAACTGCTCTATGAGAACTAGAAGACACCCTATTGATTGATGTGTGCAGCTTATGCTTACAAACGACATCAAGGACATTCTTCTAACACTACACAGTCACAATACAAGCTTATAACCATCATATTTTCATAGCTTAATATGAAATTGGATCTACAGTCTGTTTAAATCGAAGAAAAAGGTTGATCAGTTTTATAAGGAAAAGTCATGACATTATCCTTCTTTGAAATGAATCAATAAGACGGACAGTTATTCTTAACATAATATTTACCCATTAAGTTGTGATTTTAAAAAGCCTTGTTACAACCTCAAAAGATTTCAAAGAAATTTTATTACCTGCTGTCATGACATTTCCAGTAGAAGTGTGTAATTACGAAGGGTTCTCAATTGTACACAGTGACCACTTATATCCATAGGGAAAAACATTGCAGGTGTAACATAGTTCCTTAATGCCTCAACAATTCAAATAAAAAAGGAAATGACCCATTGACCAAACATTCTGCATTTGAGTTTTAAAAATAGTATGACATGCAACTAATGATTCCCAAACCAAGCTGTGACATTAAAAATAGTTCATAGATGACTGAAGTGTATTTTCCTCACCTGAGAAGCTGCAAAGATGACAGAAGTAGAGTCCTGTGTGTTTAGAGTATGAGTTGAATGTTGGGGAGGAGGGGTCTATAGACCTGGGCGTGGATGGCAGTGAGAATCGTCGGTTTCCAAGGTAACCAGGGGAAGCTAAGGGGGTGGAGGTAATTCCCTGGAAGGAATAGTTCTTGTAGTCTTCTGGTAGGAGATGCTCAGAGTTGGACTCATTCAAGCCTGACCTGAGCCCTTCGGTAGAACTGTCTTCATCTGAATGGTAAGAGTCATTAAAGGAGCTGTTCAGTTGAGATGTGTTCTGGGCCCCTTCCTCCTGTTCCGGGAAGAATGACCCATTGAGCACCGATTCCCCCTCTCTGCTCTCAGCGTCCCTTGTCAATGAAGGTCCATCTGGATTAGCTTCAGAATGTTTCTTGTACACAGGGCTTCCTGACTCGTCCTTCCTGGGGTAAGGTGGCTCCTCTGTCACTTGGTTCTCCTCTGAAGGATGAGCATTGCCATAGAATGAGGTTGGAGCAGGGTGCTCAATGTCTGCCGCCTTATACTTGCTGTGGAATGAGGGGTGGTCTGGTTTCCTGACTTGCTCCTCCTCGTCCTTGTGAAACTTGGAGTCCGGGTTGGGCAGGTTTGAACTGTCAGTCTCTTCTCTGCGGTAGTTGAACTTCTCACTGGGAGTCAGTTGGTGACTGTACTGGGGGCTGGAGTCCGACTGTTCCGAATCTCTCCTGGAATAAGTGGAGTCTGGGTAGGAGCAGAAGCTGTTCTGTCGGTACAGGTTACTCAGCAGGGCAGACCAGTATTGGCTTCATCTTTATCCTGACTATGGTTGGAGTAAGCAGCAGACTGGTTATGTGCAGTGTAATGTGGACTTGTCTCCTCGTGGTTCACTAGACCGGACTCGGCTGACATCACCTTCTCAAGAACATCCGCCACCTTGGGTGAAATAGCATCACTCCTGGAACACAAGAAAAACAGATTAGTTGAGGTGAAAGAGGTATAATGCTATGATTTCTGCACTTATTTGCATCATGCATGCAGTGGTTGGGGTGGGGTGGGGGTGTGGTTGGGGTGGGGTGGGGGGTGGGGTGGGGTGGGGGTGGGGTGGGATGGAGCATTGGGGGTGGGGGCTGCTTGTACTAGTTTAGACTAATGCTGGTTATAAAGTGCCAGCCCAGTGAAATACCATGCCTCACTTCAACACAGATACCCTTCTGTGAATATGCTGGTTCCAAGATGACCAGTCCTTGTCTCACCCCTCCATACTAAACCATGGAGGTGGTAGAAAGTGTACACAATTAAAAAGAATCTCTTAATTGCAACATCCACTAACAAACGAACCAAACAGTGGTCTTCTTGTAATGCAAAATAACCACGTTTTTCTGTCTGGTTGTCATGACATCACAATACTGTACAAAAACACTAACATGTTTATAAAAATTATTAATGCAATTAAGCATACCTTATGGGAGAACTACTTAAATCTCAATGAATAAATTATAATGTTTCTTCAGCGATTGTTTAAACCTAATTTGGTATTTTTGTATTACTAAAGTAACATGAATTAATAATAATGAATGAATAATTCGAAAAGAAAAACTAAGTTTGCCTACAATTTTCATTTAGAGATCGTGATTAGAGAAAAGATATAATATGGCCTTCCGATGGTGCAACAGTAAAGTAAGACATTTCATGCTGCAGTAGATCAAGCAAAGCGTCTTCTGTCAAACTAATTAATAACAAATAGAAATGAATATTGTGTTTTCAAGCTGCTATGAAAAATCCACATCTTTTCCACTCCTAAAGGTCAGGGATTTGGACATTCAAGACTAAAATGTTGCTTTCTTCAGCTGGAAAGAAACAATCCCATTTAAACTGCAGAAAATAACACAATACCTGATGAATAAAATATTATCCTGGATTCTTACAAAAGTTAGCACTTCAAACATCATAATATAAATGGAATGTTGTTTAGAAAATGACATTAAAATTTGATCTGGCGACAATAACCAGAAGCATAATTTGTGTAAACCTAGAAGCACAAGTTATTTTCCTCTGCACAAAACAATATTTCATCCCTGATAAATTTTCTGAAGTTATTGCTGGAAACATAATCCCCACAGAAATGGTTTTAAGTAGAATGTTCTTGAAGGTTGTACCTGTCATGACACACTGTTTACAGGAATATCAATAAAGGGAGATGTCACAGATACGTCTAGAAAGTTTCAGTTTTTAATCAATATCACGTTTCCTTTGAATTTTCACAAGGTTTGAAATATCACTATACTAATCTATGAAGATATGTTGTACAAGAAACAAATCTTAGATTCTGTTGTTCTGTTAGTCTTAGAGAAATGTAGACACTTAGCCTCAGGCAAAATGTGTATAAGTTTCTTCATAATTTTATTGATTGAAACACAATATCCATAGACGAAACCAGACAAACATAAAAAAACATAAAACTATTTTTTCCACTTTCAATTACTTGCCAAGCATCCTAAAAGGTTAACTACTTTCTAACATATATGGATGTTACATGGAAAATATAAGAAATCACCCGTGGGCAAAAATTTAATGGTACTTTAACTTAACGTAAGACATTTCATTACTTTAAGATGATACAGCTACTCTTGGTATCATGTAACTAAATCAATTTGGAAAGAACAAGTGTTTTCATCATTTTTATGTCTTTTTCACGTTTCTGGAAAAAAATGCTTTCCTAGTTGAACATGTTTTTGTGTTAAATCTAACAAACCAAAAAGCTTCTGCATATCTTTCAAGGGAAAGTAAGATATCTTAAAATTGATTGCAGATTTTGATATTTGAAAAATGAAAATGAAAGTCAAGTTAAAATTTGAATTCTGAAAGTCACATTCTTCAGAGTACAGAAGTCTTGATACTGTACCGTGTATGTTCCATGACAGTCCCTGATTAAGAGACACTCATGTCATCACAGCACTGGAACATGCAAACAGACAAATCTGGCTGTATGTTCTATCCCCGGACTTCCACAAGACAACATTCTTATGAAAACAGACATCAAACGTCAGAAGCTCATAACTGCCCTGTGTCATTCTACATAAGCTGAGGATAGTTGCATGTCTCATTCTCTCCTACATGCAATAAACAAAAGACAGAGTTACACACTGACTCAATCGAAGCCTGTAATCCAGCTGAGGACAGAAAGCTCTCAGGATCTAACAAATGTATTTTGCAGTTATTATTCTTTTCCTCATGCAATAAAAGAACCGAATCACCTTGTTCCTGCTGAATTGTCTGCATTATTCCTATGCCTAATCATGTTTTAAACATGTAATGAATTAAACGAAAGTGTATCTTGTAAATTTTCATAACATAAATAGGATTGTTTGAATGGATTTCTGTTGAAATTATTCATATTGATGATAAACAGATTATGCTCTTTCAACCCCTGTCAGCTACCATGCAAATATTTTACTGAAATTTCAACTTAAATACAAGTTGTTTAGATAAAATAAAGGCTTAAATTTCCAAACATTTCACAAATATTTACTTACGCCACCATATATATCCTCAACACAAGGAAAAGCCATGTTACTATGTTTGCAAGACTTTATGGCCTATTAGGTGTGTCAACTTCAGCTGAATGAAAAAACTCTCCTTAAGCCCAGATATAATATACATTGGTCCATGACTTTTGTAACTTAAAGGAATGTATATGACCTTTTCCACAGTACATGAAATGACTGACAGAGCTATAAAGGTTTATCTATTCAGCTCTACCTAAGTTTTCCTTACTAAACGAAGAATCTATTCAAAAGATATTTCAGGTCCATAAAAAAGATCGGACCCTAGTGGAAAAAAGTACCTTTGGCTTGAACTAAATTATAGTCAGGCATGACTGAGCGTTCGTGACTATCATTTTATCATTCACAACAGAGTAGGATCATCAAAAAACATGTTTACAGGAACAGCGAAGTCATAAAGTACTTCCTTTGTCTGTCCAGCAGCCAACCATAGATGAATATTTCGAAACATTTCTATGAGCAAAACAGAAGTTGATATGACTGCACAAGTCACAGCATATTTCGGCAATCCTTTTGACAGTGGGAACAAAAAGTTTGAAATTAATATCTCATTTAAAGTGCCTGCTGTTGATAGGTGAGATTTAAGGGGGACAGGTCTTATCTGAATGCATTAAACGTTCAATAACCTGGTTCGGAATTCAGAAAAGTTACTTTTTTTATTGTGATTTAGTGGTAATCTTTGATGGTGTGTTTTCCCTGTATACATGCTCATATGTTGAATATCTTCATGGATAGTAGATTGAGTGAGTGAGTAAGGTTTTACGCCACTTTTGGCAATATTCCAGCAACATCAAGGCGGGGAACACCAGAAATGGGCTTCATACATTGTACCCATGCGGGGAATCAAACCCAGGTCTTTGACATGACGAGCAAATACTTCAACCACTGGGCAACCTCACCGCTCCTCATAGCAGATTGAACTGTTAACTGTGCAGCATTATGATAAATACAAGCTCTTATAGTTTTCATTTAAGATTGGTTGCTTACCATAAACATAAAACAGCATATTCACTTGTCTTATTGACAAAGTAAACTACACTTCTCAAAATTTGGTAAGGACCATACCTTTGACTATAAAAGATAACTATGTTGTTCCTTAACAAATGTTGAATAGCATATATACTAGTCATTACATTCTAAACTATACATTCAGATATCCATCCAAGTGTCAACCATGGTAAATATTCATCAGTAACAACGTAAACAGGTTTAGACCAAAGAATCACCCTTAGAGTCGTCAGTCCTAACTTTTCCCACATTTGACAGTGCAACCTCTACCCCATAGATCAGATCACCTTGTATAAAGCAAAAGGATAGCTGTATTGATCAATGATAATGTTTTTTATGCCATGTTCAAAGAATATTTGGCTCAAATCCCCGGAGTGATATGCCAGCCAGTTACCGTTCGGTGGCTTCCACAACAATACAATAGAAGACATGATTTGATTCATTCCTTGCCTTTTACAAATGGGACTTGCACAAAACCTACTGTGAATGCATTCTTGAAAGGTCTTTCAATAAGAGGCCGTTAAACTTGTATGTTTTTTCTTAAGTTCTAAAAACACCTTTGTGTGGGTTAAGGGACTGAGGGAAGGAGGTTTTCTCCTACCCGTCTCTTTCAATATAAGTTGAAATTATTCCGACATATCACTGGTTGCCATAACACCATTAGACTTTTTTGTTTACCAAGTGTATAAGATATTTGATCAAAGTGCTTGTTGTGAGAAATAGGATAAGAAAGGTCACTGAGATAAGCTAGAACAGGTCACCCTCAAGGGCTACAGGAAACTTGTATAGTGGACAGAGTACTATAAGTGGCAAAAAGCTTGTTCAAACACTCCCACCCTGCTCTCTCCATAAAACAATCTTGTGTGAACTTCAAACATGGCCTGCTCACCTGTCTTCATGTTAACACATGAGATGTCAACAAGTAATAAAGACATCAAACTCCACACACAGCTCTTTACTGATTGGTATTCTTGTGGGTTTCAAAATAAACAAGGAAAAATGTGTAAGTATGATATCATATAGCAAATATTAGAAACAAATGCACGTCATTCAGCAAGGGTTAGTCTTAAGGGTCATCTAGGAGATATTTCATGTGACCAAAATACGCAGTTTTCAGAAACACCTGTTTTATCTGGAAGTCAATTTCCTCAATAAATTACTTAATTTGCCTGTGTAACATTTTTCCTGTGAAAGATTAAATAACGTGATAAGAATCAAATGTTTAAATCTAATTTATGTGCATCTTGTTATCATTCATTTCTGCCAATCTCAGAAACAGGTAAACAAATGCATTAGATATTTGTTATTTCCACCAGTACTATCGACTGAATCACACTAACATGGCCAGTAAAGCTGTAAGACATTTCTAGATTTTGCGACAAACATTTTCAAAAGATTTTCTTGGTAAATCGCAAAGGGGCATATACTTATGTTCATTCACGATAGTTTTGAGGAAAACATTATTTTAAGTCTGTTCAAAATGTTTCTTCTATTAAAGAGACAAGCTATGATATACAAAAGTTTTAGAAGGAAGGACTTTACCACCAGAATTAAGTACCTGCTACAATTACAGCAAATACATCATGGGTGGCTTTGTGTCTGAAACTATTGCTCTGTTTATGATGTGAGATATAAACAAACAAATGTCATTTTTTTTCCACAGTTAACAGTGTCAATTGTCTACAGATGTTCAAACTGTTTATTGCTAGAGAAATCTATGACATACACACTTTGAAGAAGGTAGAACTATATTCATATATTCATAACACAGGGCTACTGGTCTAACAATAATTAAGGCAGCACATCCAAAACATGTTACATATAAACATTACACTAATTATCAACGTACGTTTAAACCAAAGAAAAGTGTATTCTCACACTAGGCTTCTAATATTAAGGCCAACATTATAATCTGAATATAATAAAAACAAAAAACAAGGAGATCAATGACAAACAAGTCACATGTTGAGCTTGGTAACAACAAATTATACTTATGAATGATCAAGTCTTTTCCCAAACAGATTTGGAAAGTAAGGATGAGATAAGAAGATATCAAAATCTTGCCAGAGACGTCGCCGTTCACGATGAGCTCAAAACACATGAAAATGATGAAAAGAAATGAAATCAGTCACTGACCGTTTTGTCTTCCATGTCATCAGCGAGAGTATTGTTTTAGCTGCGATGGTATTTTCCTACACACCTTTACGTTAATGAAGCCACACTGACTGTCATCAGTCGAAGTTCTCCAATCACACAGCCACCTCAGTGCACGAGGCAACCAATATAATATCCATGACCCAACGGTATTTTTTACCTGCCCAACGGTGACCCAGGACACGCCACTTCTGACCCACGTAATGCAAGCTTGGGAAGTAAGAACCTCCCATTCAACCTTGCACAAGCGATATTGAACACACCGTCTCCTTCAGTCCAAGCCAATACATTTATCACCCCTGTCAGCGAGGTAGTTTTTTACAAATCTGTCACTCGATATAAATATGACTGAGAATCAATTGTGTAAAACTACACACTTGAGAAGGCACGGGTTTGTGATTCTGTTCACATGTACCATTTGGCTGAAAAGTTATTGTTTTACCTGTGCCGTCGGGAAACAGAGACCAGAGCTCACATTGGACGTGTTATAACGGGCTTTTTTTGTAATGTGATAAGTGGATAATGTATGTCAGTTGAAGTCAGGTGGGCATTTGAACCCGTCTGACCACGGACCCGGTGAATGTGTGGACTCATACATACGATAAGCTCAACAAGATATCAGCATTCGGGATATTGTTCATCACACAACTTAATCACATACACTCAGCTTTGATAAAAAGCTGGAGGAAAGGTTTTATGAAACACTTCCTCCAGAAACTTAACTTCCACTTCTCCCCCATTTAACATATTGAACACTTGGAATACATTGACTACAGTCAACAAAGATCTCTTCAAGTCATTCACAAAATACAACTTTCAACTGCCCTTTCAACATCTGAGTGTGAAGTTCTCAAATCATGTTTTCGTGTAAAGAAACACATTTTAGCAACAAAAATAACTCAATACCGTACAGTATTTTTTTTAAGCTTCAGACTGCTTATTTCAAATATCAAGGAGAATATTTAATTATGTTGATATCTCTTGGTTACCTAAAGGTATTTGTGTATCTCATGACTAAGTCATGTATGAACTGATTATATACTGGATAAAACATTAGATTACTTTGAAATACCTTACACACCCAAGTAACTTATGAAACTTAAATATTTGTTATCATTACAAAGCCTAATCTTTATTATCAAGGCATAACAGTAAACACTCAAACAGTATATACATATGAATCATGCATAAACCCAACATAAAAAGTTTTAGCCAGTGTTTAAACCATTTCTGAACAATTCATTCAAACATTTAACACAACTATGTTCCTTGAATTTCTCATATGGTCATATCATATCAAAATTAATGAACATACACAATTCAACATACACGCATACCAATTATTATACCAAGAACTTGAGATAGTAAACATGATATTTTGCTTAATGTAATTTTCAAGATTGACATTTTGATTGGTTCATTGTTCTGGGAGAAATGTTGCTTCAATTAAATTTCCTTAATCCTTTTCCACATTCTGCTTAATGAGAAGAAGAAGTCAATCCACAGATGAAACACCCAAGAGCCTAGACAACAGTACAATTTGTAGAGAACTGCCCGCAGTATACAATATTGGCTGCTCACACAGCTTCTAACAGAATTACAACAGATCATCATTTGTCATGCTATACCTGATAAACACATTGTTTTTACTACTCATGAACAATGTTTACAGTAATGAAATAAACATTATCTTTCTCTGCCATATAATTTAGAAACATTTAATCTGATTTTACAGACCTGAGAATAATAGCTGTAAGCCTTAATTTAATTTCAAGAAAATTTCATGTTCATAAATAACTGATAAAGATTCTTGAATATATATTCTAAAGAATTATGTACCATAAATAGTAGAATATGTGACAAAAGTCACAATGTTTTGATCAAAATCGAAAGTGTGATATCATATCATCATCAAAAGGATCTCTCCTATGCTAAGCAGGAGTTCTCTCCCTTGCACTAGGGATTCCTTTCATGCAAGACCAGCCTCCCTTACAGAAATAAAATAGCACAAAAATTATCTGAAAGCATGAAGCAAAACAATGTTGACAAAAATGTGAGTGATGATAATGCTGCATCAGTTACAATAAATTTGATTACTTAATGATATAATTATCAACTATAAAATAGACTGCAACTCTATTTCAATGTTTTATAACCAGCCACTAAGAAACCAAATAATTATTTCTATTTGTAACATTCCTTTTCCTATTAGAACTTGTACCACTTAATCAAAAGATATTTTCCTTAACGCTTAGTTATTTTCATTAAAATAATTCCTTATCACATATCATAGAAGAAATAATACATCTTACCTTTCATTCTCTTTTGGTGTCTTTTCAACACCCATTTTGTACTCATTTAATCCCAAAAGAATTTATCTTGCCAAGAAATGAAAATTCGTATCCATCCACTTTGACATGTGGCACAAATGTATAGGGAAGTCTTATGACCCAGCAGCTTATACCAACCGTCATTCAAAGCATGCATTCAACTGAACATTGAAAACCCATAAACACCTACATCTGCTGCACTAACAAGAAAATTTAAATATTGCAACAAAATATGTCAGACACTTCATGTACAATAACGCAGAAGCCATCAAATAACAATTGGTAGAACTCATGAAAATAGATATATTTGACTTGACTGGGAATGTCATAAAGCTAATCATTTCAAGCATCTTATTTGAATTTCATTTAAGGTTCGTCTGAATAAGAGTCAATGCTAACGTGTAGACTTAGCTGCCATTATAAGTTTCCTCCCTATAAGTATTCCCTCCTCTAACGTTTAGGTTTGAGACCAAATCGACTGAATAACACATACACAATAATTCTTATTACACAAAATTACTATTCAGAATTTACATAAATTTATTTAGTCCTATTAATAAAATATTTCAAATGCATAAACATCAGAAACACAGAAACTGTAGCAATCACAAATTTTCACCTTTTTAGGAAATAATGTCTAAACGTCAACAAATCCCCCCCATTTTTGCAGTTTATTCCTACAGGTTTGCCAGATGGTGAAGCAATCCAGAAAATGCCAGTGGTCAAAGGATGCATGGTTTACATAACATTTAGAGCCCACTCCCTAGGCTAGCAACTGGTCAGGAGATAAACAGGCCATAAAAGGGCAGTAGTGGTGATGTTTTACTAGATAAGACATAACACTGCAAGCCTAGGCACTGAAATGACCAGTGTTAGGTAACAGGGCCATAAAAACTCTCCCCAGTCTAACCTGGGGGCAGGGGAGCTAAGTGCATACAAATCATTTCTGACATCTAAGTTTCTGTGATTAAAGGCATGTCCAAGATAAAATTTACTGTTAAAGACATCCTTGAATATCCTGAGTGGTTAGTTTTCAATTATAGGTGTTGAGTTGATAGAGTTTTTGAAAGAAATAATCCTTGTAATTATTCTTATTGACAGCTAGCATTGAGAGGTACCTGCAGAAACTTACATAGAACTCAAATCATCCAATATATCAATGTTATCTTAGCATTTATTTTATCTTGGTCCATATGAAGTTATTAATCAATATCACTGAATATATAAAAAGATCATTGAAAACTAATTTTAACTTATTTTGAATGATAAACATATGTTCAAAAACATGCTCCAGTGATAATTTGAAATATTAAAACAGAAGAAAACAGTTCAAAATGTCTTCATTGATAAGAGTAGGAATGTTTGAAGAGACTCAAGTAAGGATTTATACCGAGAGTACAGAGAGGGGCAACAACCCAATTGATCCAACCATATGATGTCTAACTTAGATCAGTGGAATATTTAACTCTAATGATTAATTTATCATGTCCAAATTGAAGCCGATGCTGCAGCCTTTCTTGACCAATGGTCAGTTGGATACTTTATACTCACTCCGACACTAAAGCTGCCACTAGTTTCAGCAGAGGGCGCACACACACAATGAAGATATAAAATGCAATATACACTTCAATTCAAATTTGATTTGGTGCAAGATAGTAAGAAAGCTGGCAAGTTAACGTCAGTTATTTATGTGTGGCAATTTTTGTTGCTTTATCACAGGAAGCACTGCTGCTTATTTGAAGGAAGTGGCTGTGATGCCATGAACAAAATACAGAGAATATTTCCTGATCAAGACGAGTATTTTCCTGATATATTCCTTGTCTGCCAGGACACAGTGTTACCTCCTTGATACAGACTTGTTGCAGTGAAAGTCTCTCACAAACAGCAACATGCACTCCCATCAACTTCTTAATTGGAAAAATAATGCATAATTTAATTATCTTCAGAATCGTGTAATAAAGGGTTATTATGTAGTTTAGAATATGACAATATGAACATTTGCAACAGATCTCTGTACTACTTTTACAGTATGATATTAAGTCTATTTCATCACAAAAACATTTTCTTCACAAATTATTTTTTTTAATGAAATTACAATGTTTTAGAGCTTGGGTAAATAAATGTGAAAATAGTATACGTGCTACTCACAGGGTCCTTATTTGTACATGATGGATCATCAATCGTTCATGAAACATGTTGTGAACATTTGGGATGTTTTCAAATAAATGGAACCACACAGAATGTCAACAGCAATGATTTTTCCCAGTGGATTGTCAATCAGAATAATATGTACTCCTGATGAATAATTCATGTATCTCTTCCTACCAATACATTTTTGTGACAATATACACAGTGAATAAGTAATATTACCAGCAATATCTTAACAAATGATTGGAATGCTGGTGTGGGGAGGATGGGAATGGAGAAAAGACCCATACACAAGCAAGACTGATCATTTATGAAGTAGAGGAATAATTCATCTGGGCTATTGATGGTGTTGTTTTTAGGTGTCACCGACACCTTGGCTCTTGAAACTTTGGTTCAGGAATGGAATGACTGCCAGCAACGTCAAACAGCTCATTCTCAACAGAAATGATAGGTCTTTCTTGTATGGAAGTGTTTGGAAAATGATACACAATGTATTAAATTCTAAACACACACTGACATTCTCAGACTGAAATATGCTCAGCCTGTCAATCAAAGGATGTAACACTAGCTCATACATCTTTAAAGAAGTAAATATTTAAAGAAAGTAAATTGTGTTATTTCCTTTAACAGTTCATATAATACATTTAAAAAAAAATCAAAATATGAACTAAATCATTTAAAACATTTTTAACCCTTTTTTTCACAATCAAATACATAATCATGTAAATGACAGCAATATATCGTTGGAGTGATGAGAAGGAATTTATCAATATCAAAATTATTTCATTTTTATCCAATGATATAAATCAAGATCAACTAAATCCATTGTTATCCCCAAGATCTCACTTTTCTCGCCCTTTCACGCTCATCTGTATCTTTTTCATCCATACTTCATCCTGAGAGATCCCTTATAGCAAGTTAGCTTCTCAAGTTTCAATCTCCTTTCATAAAGGCATATGCTGCATCATTGAAACACTATCCCTTGTAAATATCACATCATACTTAAAGCTCTCCGGAGCAAAGTCTTTTGTCTAGAAAATCACCAAGTCCCTCCCTTCTTCTTTATTCCAACATAATAGGGCATATGATCACTTAGAAGCTTCGCCTGTAGGATTTACCTATCTCACAATAAACTGCTTGAATAAAGCCACGGGCCTGTGGCGGAACAAGTGATTGTTGTAGAAGAGCATGATAAGTGAGCGTGAAGCTTCAACAAAGCAGCTAGATTTTTTTCTTTCGGAAGCTGAAGAAAAATATTATAAATGAATTTATAATGAAAGCAACCTGTTGAGAAATAAAATATAAATTGATTGTGATTTTGTGTACTTTAATGACTGGTGGGTGTTAAACTGATATTACATTATGAATGCACTTTTGTTTGATTGAAAGGCATATGAGAACAAATCTGATTCATTTGGAAGCAAATGAAATTCTTTACTTGGTTATTGCAAGTGAAGTAAAGAAGATAACAAAAGATGAAAAGTCCATTGATAAAAATTTAATACTCTCTCTTTTGCCCTCTCTTTCTCTCTCGCCCTTTTTTTCTCCCTCTCCCTCCCTCTCTCTCTCCTTCTCCACTTAACCCATCCTACATCATCCGTCACCCCCTGTCCAAGCCCTGGTAATTTCGCCATAAGTAACAGCGCCCATTTGGACTCTGTATATCTCCATTTCCAAGCTCTGGTCCTTCATTACCATTAATACTGTTTTACATAGGTCAAAGTTAGCGGTCAGCTTTGAAATCTGATCCTATGTTACAGCACTGCGGACTGACCGTGCATGTGGAAAGTAGATATACTGGGACAGAGCGGGGTCTTCATTCACCAGGCTGTCGTTAGTGCCTCTAGACCATGATTAGTTCAAGATTTATTTCATATTTCCCTACTTAAATACATTAATAATCATTAAACTTGACTGGCCATCATAAAGAATATGATTTCACCCCTAACGATAATAAATCATTGGATATATTCATATATTAATCATCCTGATTTAGATTGCATATTCCTATCAAAATAATCTTCCTAAATGAAATGTATCATGTTATTTGAAAGTACCAAAATTCAATAGAAGTATTTATTAATCTATATACTGATTTAACCAACAAAAATTATTAATCTTTTTTTTATATTTTGTTCCTTTTCAAGTATTTGCACAGAACTTCATGAGAAACAGGATCTACTTGAAGTTTGTATTTCACGAACTGCACTTTCATATTAAACATCCTGTTTTGTCCTTCATGATGACTTTCCATATTTAACACTTATAAACATAACATCAAGCCTATGACATGTTACTTTCTAGCTGCGCCTTAACAATCCCTTTTCCTATAAGCTATCAGGAAAGGCATTGACAGAACTGTAACAGGACTTACTATTTAACTTAATTCTTTCACATTATTAGGATATAATATGTTCCATGAAATGCATCCTGTCAACCCTTTTTCTTATTTACAAGTTCTCTGATATATATAAATGTTTTGGTGTACAGGATGACTCATGTTATTTTGGTCACGAAACAAGGGCAACTCGCAAGAACAGTGACCACTGGCGAGATAGCTCCGGTACTCATTATTCATGACATTTATGGTAATAAGAGCAAAATAATATTAGAGCTGTGATATTGTGAGCATGTCTTGACTAAAACATAGGGCCTACGTGACCAAACCGGCCTTATTTTGTTTGTACTTTTCAAACTATAATTTTCTCGTATTTAACATGCATAACTACATGCTGGAACATCTGTGGAATAACATGGTGCTTTAAAGGTATATGTATATTTGGTGGAATAAATAAACTCAAGCAATAGTGATTAGAATACCATTTTTTAACAGGTTTAAAGGTGAAAAAGGTCAGTGATATTCAAATAA